CATCTTCTTCACTAGCGGAGCTGCGGTGATCGCCCAAAATCAAGTTGACACTTGGACCGTCCACAAACCAATTGGGTTGGACGTTGACCACTCCCAATTGGATCCGCATGAGACCATTGCAGAGGTCCTGGGCGGGTCGACTGGCACTCCTTATCCCATCAAGGTGGATGAAATCCTAGCCACTAGCTCCTGGCGTCCCAATATCTGTATCGCCGACAGATACCGCTCGGCTAGTGGAAGGGTATTCTTAAGTGGTGATTCAGCCCATCAGAATATTCCAACCGGTGGCTATGGCTACAACACTGCAGTTGGCGACAGTGTCGATATCGCATGGAAGCTTGCCGCTGTACTGACTGGATGGGGCGGCAACTATCTTCTTGACTCGTATGAGATCGAGCGGCGCCCCGTGGCAGTGCGCAATATTGAGTGCTCAGGATTACATCGCCAAACGCATGCCACTTATGTGGAGTGGGTGAAGCAAGCCGACCCACAGACATTGTTTGAGAAAACAGAGGAAGGTCAAAAGCTTCGTCAGCGGATACGCGACCATTTGCAGCAGAACGATGGCGAGAACAAGTTCTTCGGGATTGAAATGGGCTACCGTTATAACCACTCACCGATCGTGGTGTCCGATAACGAAGTAAATGAACCTGACTGGACTGCTGAGGATTACATCCCTTCGACTTGGCCAGGAGCACGACCTCCGCATGTTTTCCTCGCTGACAATGAGACGAGCATCTTCGACTTGTTCGGTCCCGGCTTCTCCTTGGTTGATTTTACTCAAAACAAGAAGTTCATCCACGCCTTCGAACGGGAAGCGAAGTCGCAGAACATTGCAGTCAGGATGATCCATCTACCGGACGAGAAACACGCGCGTAATTTATGGGAGCGTGATGCTGTCCTTGTTCGACCCGACGACATGGTCGCCTGGCGTGCCAATGTCGACGGATCTGTCCCCACTGATACTGCTGCAATCCTCCGAATTTCGGTAGGTAGGGATACTTCAATGGAGCTCGGAAAGGCCGAGGCTTTCCAACAGGAACAGACGGCATTTGTAACCAAGTCTGGGTTTACGGCGACCATTGGAAATGTCGTCAACCAGGATAATATCGAGAAGATGTCTGCTTGGCAGGTGGCCGTTTAGCCACTGACCGAAGAAGCGGCTAGGGATATGTCCTAGGGTCCACCGAGTTGTGATAGAATATTTGGCGCTTGTTGTTTCGGATGTTGCAGGGCTACCATGTTGTGGAAAGAAGACCGAGCATTCATCAAGATCACAGGAGTCTCGGACGACAGAATACAGTTGTGTAATGCACCTAGGTGAGTAGGTCAGCAGTAGATATGGTTTCGAGGTCCCCAATTTACTCCTAGACTTGAGGACAAGGCTTCTATTAGAAGACCGAGTTTGACCGAGACATCATGCATGCTTCCCTTATTGATAATAGATGCACAGAGCGAGGATCTAGACATTGAGCGTGGCTGTAGCTGGTTACAAGCTCGTGACGGCGTTTTGGCAGTGGCCGCGGTTGCCGTGTTCAAGCCCCTCGGCATTGAACTTCCGCCGCCACGTTTCTCACACCCCTCCTTTGCTGCTAGTTCAATCCAATCTTCAAGCATTCTGTGTGGATGCAAGTCAAATATCGCCATCTTGTTGGCCAAATGGTCCTCCACCGCCCCCAGATCCTACCTTGACTCTGTCATATTGTGAATTAGTCGTTGTCATACCTTGAGGTCTCCTGAGAGCATGATCCAGCTGCTCCATGGATTGCCATAATGAGGATTATAGCCTCGATTCTTTCGCTTGTCTTCGTGTCCAATCGGACCATCCTTCTTCGAACGAGCATGACATGACACCGCACCCCAGACTAGACCATGTCAGCCGTGCCTATTCCGTTTGCACATACCCCGGCTTTGGGAGCCGAAGTCTATTTGACTCCCTCTCCGCCTCAACCTCGCCTTCCAGGGATTTGCTCCGCAACATCTACCCAAATGTCTTCCTGTACAGTATTTCGAGGGGGGCCATTGCAATCGAACGCTCATTATCAGTGAGACATGGACCAGGCAGAACCGACCCAAGGTGTTGGGTTAACACACGTGGGAAAGATGATCCGAGCTTGCGAATCGTGTAACAGGAAAAAGAACAAATGTGACCGCCGGAAGCCCATGTGTGGACTTTGCGAGCGCACCGGCGCGCCTTGTGTGTATCCATTGAAAAGGAAACAGCAAACACCAAGGGTTAGAAATGCCCAGAGACGCTCTCTGGGTCTCTCGAAACGCTTGAACGTGCATGATCTGCTCAGCCTCCTCGATCCAGAGCTTCGCCAACAGTTGCTGCCACCACACAGGCTCTTAGACACAGACGCCTCGTCTTGTTCGCCTGGGGTAAATCGAACTGCAACCCTCTCACCGAGCACTACGCTGCAGCCCGAATTTCCACCAATATCAGGATTTGCAGCTGCTCCAGCTCCAGATAGCGAATCGGACGCAGCTGGATATCAGCTACACCCTGTCTCTGGGGACACGTCCGATGTGGAACTGGACGGCTGTACACAACGACTCTATGTGCCATGGATGGATCTGTCGCCGGCGGCTCAAGAATCCACCACGCCCGAACCAAGAAACCAAAACTTCCAGAATACTAGTTCCCCTGGCATCGAGAAACTCCCCCTATCATCCGATGACCAAGCCAAGCTAGTTGAGTTGTATTTTTCCCATGTCCAAGCTTGGCTGCCGCTCCTCCATCGCCCACGGTTCTATGCATGTTACATTACTCCGTTCCAAGCTCAAGGTCAACCCCTTCAACTAGACACACTGCCCTTGGAGGAACAATTGCTTTTTATGGGTATCTTCGCACTCGCGGCAAGATACATGGATACGGCACACCTTATTCATGTTCCACCCCCCGAACGTGGAGACCGCTTCTTTATCGAAGCGCAGCGGATTCACGAAATGCTGCGGCAATCCGAGGCTCCACCGAGTATCCTGCTCCTCCAGGGATCTATACTTCTGGCATTCTATTGCTTTACGTCCGGCCCAATGGCATTGACATGGGGGCTCGTGTCTCGTTGTGTGGATCTCTCATATGCTTTGGATCTAAACTCAATTGATGATGACCCGGGCGATGCACCTGAATCGAGCCCTGAAGAATGGATTACTAAAGAAGAGTTTCGGCGCGTCTGGTGGCTCGTTTGGGAGCTTGACACCTTCAATTCCACAACTTCACGGCGACCATGCATGATCAACAAAAGACGTGTTACGGTACATCTGCCATGCTCAGATGAAGCCTGGTACGCTGGGACACCTGTCCGTTCTGCAAGATTGATACCGGAACCAAAGGAGGCATGGAAGAGCCTTGAGAATTGTGCTAATCAAGATGAAAGAGCGTGGTACTTGGTGACAAAGTACCTGTCATCGATTGCGCATGACCTGGCACAGCTGCCAGCAGGGGTGCTCTCAGAACAGAAACAGGAGTTGGCACAATCTCTTTGTTGCCTCAGGCTTACTCTTCCTCCCATCTTCCATTTGAGGACTAATCCGTTTGCCTTCGACAACACCAATTTTGCTCGCGGGAACTGCATCATTGCCACGCATCTCATTCTTGCCGGGACGAAATTGACAATGTCGACAATTGTCGAAGAGCGATTCTTTGATCATGACAAAGAGGTGGCCTCATCCAGCGCATCAGCGTCGAAGGCACGCCTCAGCGACATCACATGGATAGTCAGCAATTGGCCGCCGGACTTTATTGCTATGGCACATCCCTTTATCGCTTGCACGATGATGCCAGTGTATTCATCATCGAATTCAGCGACAATGACAGCATCTTCATCTCTTCCTCACGACCTCTCCAGATTAGTCCTGACCAACTACGGCCGGGTATGGAAACTCGGGAGCACTCTGCAAAGTGTGGGCGACTTGCGAGAACGGTCAGAGCCGCTGTCAGAAAACGAAGTCGAGCTTGCTCGCCGTTTCGCAGCCATCTTCCCCCGCAAGACCACTAAGAGGACATACAAAGAGTACCGCCCAGTTTGGTCGCCGAAAAATGCAAGTGCTTCTATGTCGTCCGCTGAGCTTTCACCCTCGGGGGTCGTTCAGCGGCTGCATGTACAACCTGAGGTTTACCAGCAGGGCTCCGACTCAAAACTGCAAGAGACGAGTGTCGGAAGACAGAATCTATCTCCTATGTGCACCGATGGCGCGGACCTCGATATGTTCGCACTCGACTCATCAATCCCTGAGAGAGACTGGCCGACTGAGGTTGACTTTCTTGGTGCACCATTCGATGCATTCCTAAATGACCTGGTCATTCTATAGTGATAGCCGACTACTCGAGATCCAACCCGTGTCTCTGATACCCACACAGAAATAGGCCGATCCCGAGCATGGAGTCTTCTATAACCTATAGGAGACTGGCAGTCTCAATGTTGACGCTATCGAAATTCTGTGCGAGAACCGGGGAGTGTGACAGAAGACCCAGAAATACAGAGAACCATGTTTCAGCTCTATCCGCAACAGGTCTCACAGAGAATGATCCCGCACGGTGGCCGCTATGCACACACTCCTGGTGTAGGACGCCGCCAACGTGCCCGTGGTATTCTCGTTGCGATATTTCAGACCCCCTCAAATCTTTACACGAGAGAAAGTTGCGGTGGTACATACTGAGAAGCTCTAGAACCAAGCCTGATCACCACGCCGAGTCAAAGTTGGGCCAACACGACTGTCGAAGTGAAGCTCGTGTATGCCTCGCCTCGCCTCGCCTACCCTCGCTAAATACATCTCAGCTGGATAGTACATTCCAGCACTCGCGGTGACAATGTGTACTGTAATCGTTGGAGTAAACGATGATGCAATATTCGTTATCTGCACCAAGATAGTGCCAAAAATACGCCTGATCGAGACACATTCACCATGATTAATCTTTGCAGCGGTACAATTCGTTAGTCATCACATTAGATCCTACTGTCGCAGGTAAACCCCTTTGCCTGTGTCCTCCTCTCGTCACCGTCATTCGCTTCCCTCATAAAAGGTGTATAGCCCACGTGCTGCCAATGCCCAGTCTCTGAAGTCCCAGGTCTCAGCGCGACAGCAGAAAGATTACATCAGGTCCCTTTCGTCAGCTTCGTCGATGGGTGAGATGGTCAGCTCAGCACCATCGGCGAAGTGCACCGCCCTCGTCGTCGATTCGGATTCCTGTCGCATGCGCGCCTGCACAGCTCGGACAATGGGCACAATCCTCGCCTGGGGTTTCTCCTCGTGCGCAGGAGGGACGAGGGTGTTGAGCTGCTCCAGCGTCGGCCATTTCGGCCGCCTCTTCTTCTCCTTCTTCTCCTCCGTGAACAGCTCCTTCAGCTTGGCCTTGTAGTCCCAGCGCGGCAGGAGGATCTTGCCGTCCAGCTTCTCCGGCTCGCCCGCGGCCTGTCGCGTGGCCTCGGCCACCCACGCCTCCCACACTTCGGTATCCGGCACAATCGGCGACCGCAGCCACCGCGTGTTGCGCGTCAGTGCGATGGCGATCCACAAGATGTCGGTGAAACTCTCCAGGGACTCGGGCAGCTTCACTTTGTCCACTGCCTCAGGCTGCTTCCGTGGGACGGCCAAACTGCTGATTTTGCGGAAACCCGTCAGGCTCAGTCTCCGGTTGGGGTTGGGAGGCGGAAGCCCGTTGGCCTCCAACTGCACCGACGATTTCCGCAAGGGCGAGACGGGACTGCTGAGCGGGGCTTGGCGGGAAATCTCGACGTCGTGGAGCTTGGTCCCCTTCCGCGTCGGGAGGTGTATCTCGATCGGAGTGACCGTGTACGCATGGGACCAGTGATGCTGCTCGTGATACGCCGAGGAAGCCCAGTAGAGAGCGTTCAGGATGATGTATGAAGTAGCGAAGCCGATCTGCAGGACGGTATGCGCGTTTCCCAAGCAAATCAGACCGAAGATCAGGGTCGCCGAACCCACCATGGCGAGCGCGCGGTACCAGTTGTCGTTGAGCAGGTATTCACATTCTTCCGCCTGGAAATAAAGACGAGACACGACCTCGTTGCACCGGATCACTCGAAAGGCTCCTGGACCAGGGTAGTAAATGACGACGTCTCCATCGGGTATGACCTCCTCTGGGTTCCGGGGATTCTCCTCCTTGAAGATGAGCCTCCAGCGAGAGGCGAAGCCTACAATCGTCGACGTCAGAGAAAGTAGGATGGTGGCGATGAGAGCGAATCCATCTTTTCTCCAGATTGACAATCCGAGCAGCGCACAGGACATCAAACAACCCAGGCAGGAAAGTGCGTGAAGCACGCCGTAGTCGTTGACGCCAAAGATAAAGTCTTTCCTGTCGTCGTACTCATCGTTCCTGCAGACCTCCACCACCTCGATTTGGAACCGTTTGAGCTCACCCGGGTGAAGCAGGCGGGTGAAGAAATTCAGCTCGTGGCGGACGTTGCCTGAATAGACTCCGCTTACGATGCCCGTCTGCGTCGGAAGCCTCCCAGTCTGCTCGTGCTTGAGGAGCGCTTGCGGAGCCGGGATCAGGCGGGGAAGGACGTGGTGCCATGATAAGGCTGAAGCTTGGGCATTCCGGAGGATGCTGCCTTCTCCGAGGATGGCGACGATCCCAACGATGTCCAGCTGCAGAGAATCCCCTTTGCCAACGAACAACATTGTAACGCTTCGCGGACAAGAAGTCAAGTATGGCAGTCAGGCCAGCATGGAGTAGAAAGCGGGAGATGTTGTTGCTGTTGAGGCTGGCGATGGAAAATGATCAACCGATCGACTGCAGCTGAAATGCGGCTGAGCCTCTGCTCGAGACCAGCATCGCTTCTGGAGTGGCATTCCGGGCTGCGATTGGCGCCAGCCGAGATGCTATCTCGCAAGTGCTGGAGCCCTGAAGATACAAGTCATTGGCTGCCCCATCTCGGTACACTTTGTGTCCGAGACTAAGGCCTGCCAGGCCTTGAGGTCCTGCCATCGCGATTCGTTGCAGAATCTGGCACAATCGCGAAGGGGAATGAGATCGAAGCCTGTTACGAAGAACTGTCGGGTCGAGTCACATTGTCTCAGCACGGCGCACTGTAAACAAATGAGCCCTGTCGCTGAGCCTCAGCGGTTCATGGTTGACTATCGCCGGGATGCACTGTTCCTGACAACAGACGAGTGTGCTGTACTAGCTAGTCGAGGCATGAGGCACGGGCCGTGGCCAAGGCCGTGGCGAGGCTTGCCTGGCTTGGGCTAGGGACGCAACGCCCCGGAGCTGTAGAGAGTGATATGCACGCCAACGAGTATTAGGGACAGAACTTCAAGGGCAGACCACCGGCAAATAGACGTTCGACTAAGCTGTATCACGTAGATATAATTTGACTCACGAGGTGCTCGTAAAACCAAAGGGCACGTTACTGGGGGCAAGGTACATTAAATCAGAGGGACAGAGGGATGACGGGCATAGGACACGAGGTTCTTTCCGTGAAAAGCAGGCAGCTAGCCTAGTCTAGAGGATACCCAAAGTGACCGAGCCTCCTAAATCGAAGGTGAGATTCACGGGCACCAACTTTACAGCACCACGCAGGTTGTAGGGAAATTTCCCGCCGAATTTGGAGGGTTTCTCTTCCCTCGATGCCAAGATCCCGCCCCCTGTAGCAATGTCGGACTCGGAGTTGGTGGAAAGAGCCGCCCTTAGCAGAGCCGCCGCACATGAGCGTGTCGTAACCGAAGAATAATCTTCAATATGTCGCAACGACCGACAAGATCAACAGCTCGAGGAGATCAGAGGTCCAAGCACTCGTATGTGGTTGCGGCTTGGGAACTATTAGACCGCACCGGGAAGGCAGGGAAAAAGGACGAATCTCACCTCTGGCAAGAAAACCCTGTTCCTGTTAAGTCACATAGTAACCCTCTGCCCAACAAACTTCACGTTGATCATTTATCTGAGGCTCTTCTGGGTATATTTTGGCTCAATGGGTTTTGACGGAAGAGTAGATTACGTCCGTGGCGACTTCAAATGGGGAGGAGGGCGCGGTATTGCGAGGTAATTTGTCGTACGCAGACAAGCTCTCAACTGGCTCTTCGACAGTGTTGATTTTTGAGCTATGGCGCCTTGTGCTGCTTCGGATATCTCCCGGGGCACTTGATTCCCACTTTTCAGAGAGCGTGGCTACCTATGAGATAAGTCGTATGCTACATCATGATTTGTTTTGGAGAAGGATGTTCAGATATACCCGCATTGTCGCGGGGGTCAGAGGAGAAGGTGGTGCCAGTTTAGGCACCCCAGCCGGACGAGCGACCGTCTGTTTCGCCACAGCCGAGGGGTGGTAAAGGTGCGAGTATTTGGCGACAAATGAGGGATCGATCTTGAAGCGGTGCATTTGGCTGTCCGTAGGTGGCGTGGAGTGGCTACACGTTGGTGATGCTGCGGTCGTTGGATAGGCGAAGAGAAGGTCCGGCTGCGAAGTCGTGAAGCCACTTGCTCCGTGGCCCGAATTCAGCGATGTCAACACAAGATCCATGACGTTGAGCGAGCTTGCCGACGACTCTCCGACGCCCGGCTCCTTGACGTAGGCCTCGGTGAGGTGACAAATCATAGTGTCCAAGTCATAGGCCATGTAGGTACTGATCAAGCTGTCCCGGAGGGCAGCATGAGGCACCCAGTCAATAACCTTCGGATAACACGGGGTCATCATCTGCATGAGCGTGGGTCGGTAGATTGGGGCAATGGCCATCCGAGCCGCTTCGGTTCTCGTCGCTTGCCACCACAAGATGGGCACAATAAGTCCACATGAATTGGTCCAGGTCACCCAGTAATCCATGAAGGGCCAGGCAACGTGAAAGAGCGCATGGAGCAGATCGTTCATGATGTAGGGAGCACTATAATGCAGTGAGTTTCTCTGCAACCGTTCTAAGAAGGCGTTCTCGGTGCAAACCTGGTAAATCTAGAAGGCAGCGAGCTCAGCTGGACCAGGTCACAGACGTATTGGAGGTGATCTGACAAGTTAGACGTCTTTTGGACCAGGGCCCGCTCCGAAAGCGAGACCAGTGGCAAGGAGACAGCGTCCACGGCTGCCTCTGTAAAGTCGAGCTCTTTACCCAGATAGTTTTGTAGCTGGGCAGGTTGACTGGACGCCCCTCCAAGGACATGGAACGAGGAATCACTCCAGTTCCAGTCTGCCAGGACGCCGCCTGTGTTCGAGGAACCCGTTTTCGAGGACATCATCCAAGGGTCAGCTCCCAATTTGGCCATGTCGTCATGGCAGGATGGAGAATCTGTCGACGTGGTCAAAAAGTCGAGGTTGACCGGGCCAGCAGACTGGGATCCGTCGTGGCTTCCGTTGATATTCATCGAAACGCCATCGTCACTGCTGTGCAGCACCGCATCAGGTGACGACATGGCAGGTGCTGGCGGCGAGTCGATCGTCGGCCGAGTCAATATGGAGCTTTCACCCTCGGTCTCTGCAGTCTCTGCAGCACACGGGGTGACACGGTCAGTTCAGATCCAACCAAAAGCTGAAGCTAAGTTTGTAAACTCGAAAGAAGTCTCACTGACTCGAGGAATTCAGGATCGGCAACACGCTATCCGACAATCCAATAATAGTCGTCGAAATGCTGAGCAGCTTCTTGCGCAACGCGCGCAGGGAGTCTTGCAGTGCCTCGTTTCGTTGCCAGAGCTCCGATGATGGGTCGACCGATTCTTGCTGAGACAGAAAGGCCACTTTGGCCTCGAGCTGTTCAATGTAGGCCGATCGTCGCTCCCGAATGGCTTTTTGAGACAGCCGGTTTCTCATGCGTCTGGACCGCGGTCATCTACCTGAAATTGCTTGGGACCGGAGAGGAATCAATGGAACTCACTTCTGCTCCTCTTTGAGGTCTTGCTGGTTCCGGCTTCGCTTCGCCGGGGAAGACGGCCGACAGTCTGCTCTCGTGCCCATGGAGAATCGCAGAGATAATCGGGACAGGTATGTATTCACGAGGGGGAAAAAGTGTCATTCCTTGAGATCAACATCACCACCACTTCTGGATCTGGTCGTCGATAAATCTGAGTCAGTCCAACGCGACTCAAGAGCAGAACGTGATTACGAAAGCCCTCCAACCTTCCTGGGGCGAACGGAGACGGACACGCCAATTGGTAGCTTAGGCCGTGGGGACCCCGCAGGATACCAAAGAGTTTAGATCCTCGGGTAGAAGTCCCCTGATTCGTTTATTGACTAGTTATGGGTTCTTAATTTTTCAGCCTTGTCAATGGCCAGTCACACACACACACACCTATTCTCACATTCTGAGCATAAGATATATTATGGGTGCGAGCCACTTGTCAATCATGCTTGCCTATCTCGTCCACATTTCCATCTCCCTCTACTAACGGCCCATGACTAAGGTCAGATTAACAGATCACAGACAACAACCCTCCTACAACTCACTCAGGGAGACATACACCCCTTTGGACGATTCAGTGAGTTGTCAGATCTGCCTCGAGCTGCTTTTGGATGGCATTCTCCAGATCCTTCTCTTCCTTCTTCTTGTGAAGGGTCACCGCAACGCTGTCCGTCATTTTGGCATCCACGCTCGGCGCGAAGAGACTGAGGATGATGCCTGTCCCAGTAAACGCCAGCGAGGCAAAGAAGACTGTCCGGTACGCCGACGTGTTGCCTTCCTTGTAAGCGTTGACGACCGCTTCCCGGATCTGGGATGTGAGCCCATGATCCCTTGAAAACACGTCGAAAGTGCCCAAATTCAGAGCAGACAGCAGTTCCGGGACGGAGCTCACGGGGATGCCGGCAGCAGTGGCGGCTGGCGTGACGGCGGCCGGTACCGTTTCGGCGAGGCGATTGTTCAGGATGGCAACATAGATCGTAGAAGCAAGCGTGGACAATGCTGAGCGCACCGAGCCGGCCACACCAACGGCCACCCCAATTTGATTCTGATCCCGAATGTACATGCCTGGCAGCGTGAGAGTGAGGGCTTCCATCCAACCGATGAAAAAGTTCCCAGGGATCAGCAGTCCGATGGGTAAATTGACGTCCGAGGGGTCCGCGCCTGCGACACCTGCCTGCAGTTAGCACACCAATCCGGGCAGTTGGGGATTTCCTCCTGACCTGCGAGTAATGCACCGCCTACCAGCGTCGTCACCGTGAGTTGCACTCGCACCGAGCCGATGAACTTGTACAAGAAACTGCCCGTGACTTGTCCTAGGGTGAAGGCACCCCCCACGCAGCATTGCAACCAACCCGCGTAGATCGAGTCCCCGTTAGCGTACAGGACGTTGACCATCGAAGGCCAGACAATCCCAAAGGCGTAGTAAATGCTTGCTCCGATCGACACCAGCAGTGCCGAGATAAGCCACCCGCGATTCTGGAAAAGATGCATCGGTACCAGCGGCTCGTCCATCGGGTGGTAAACCTCCCAGGCAAAGAAGGCCATTAGGACAAGCGCACCAACCACGAGTGTCGCGATCACGGCCGCCGATTTCCAGGGATAGACATTCCCACCCCATGAGATGCCCAAGAGGAACACTAGACAAAGGACACCCCCAAATTAGCATCCCAGCAGCAATCCACCCTGGGGTAAAGGAACTACTCACAAACAATCCCGCTGGTAAAAAGGAAGATGCCAACATAGTCGAAGGTGCGGATCATCCGGAGTTTTTCTTTTCGGCTGTGTTTCATGCCAAAGGTCGGCGGGTGGTAGAAGAGGAGGTACGAGAGCATCGACAACGCGTTGAAGATGATCATGAGATAGTAGCACCATCTCCAGCTCGCTTTGGTGGCCAGTGAATTCGCAATGGCGGGCGCCAGGCCGGAGAAGGGGATACAGCAGAAGCACGCGTACGCGGTCCCGATGAACCTGTACTTCATAGGCACCAGCTCGCCGATGAGGAACGGGTAGGATAGCGCCGTCGCCCCCGCAAGACCAACGATGACCGAGCCCCCGATCAGGGTGGGCACATCACGCGCTGTGGCGCAGATGACGGCGCCAACGAGGCCGAGTCCCTGGCCGCCGGCGAAGAACCAGCGACGTCCAAAGATGTCGGAAATCCGACCCAGCAGTGTCTGGCCCACGGCCAACCCCACGGGGAACATCAGGGGGACCCAAGCAATGTTCTTGTTCGGCCCAATGTCGGCGTTGATGGTACCCAGAATCGGGGCGGCGAGGGCATATCCCCCAACGCTGCCCAACAGACTCATTCCGCATGCAACCATCGAGCCCAGAAAGTATGGGCTGTAGAAATAGCCCCGCGGCAAGCTGGCAGAGTCGGCGCCGAAGAGGGCCACCGTTGGCTCGAAGGCTGCGTGATCTTCGGTATGATCGACGTGCGGTTGTTCCTTGTCCGACAGCGAGGCCATCGCCATGGAATGCTCGTTACTCGCGTGGGACATGTTGATATCGGTCTGCCTTTCCGAGAGATTTCTCTCGAGACGAAAGAGGGATGTCGGGCAGGGAGTGAACTTCCACCAGGGGGGCAGGATACATTATTTATCCTGGAGCCATCGATGAATCCCATCATGTCCAATCCATATATGCCCCCTGGACGAATCCCGCTCTCCACCATTCAGGACCGGGGAAATGACCTCAGAAAATGTGTGGAGAGTCATAGACCGGGGTACCGGGGAGCTGTCCCGCCGTTGTCTGTGTGTCCTACAAACGTGAATCAACAAGCTCCACCACCGAGCTTGGAAAGCCCCGAGCGAGAGAATGCTTGGCAGGCAATATCCGAGGCTTGTCATAGATCTACACGTGATGGAAGCCCATGGCAGGGAACGTAGGACACAGAGAATGCAGTCTCTGTCAAACATCAGCGAAACATCAGCACATATCTTCGATTGGTGATTCGAGTCCCCTCGAGGGTGAAGGACCCCCTTCCCTCACACCAGTGACTTCCACAACCGTGATTCACTCTCACCGTGCGAGGGCGAGGAGAAGGACAAGGAGTAAATGAAGGAGCGTCTAGACTCTCGGGGCCTCTCGAATAGGGGTTGCTGGCTCTATACCTGAAAGATGAGCGCGTGACGGGCTCAATGTTGAACAGTTTCGTATCGACAGTGACAATTGCTTTGCATTCCACGGTTGATTATGGTGACATGTCGTGCCTCCTTACAGTGATAGGGTGAAGACTCGATGTGATTTATGATTTTCTATTTTGATTCCGAGCTCTGAGGCCCGGAATGAAGAGGCCATCTTATCTCCCCATAATTTCTACCAGCCGCTGTCGTAAATACGGCGCCGCCGGACATGCTCAAAGACATCGTGGGAAGACTGTACCTAGATCCAGACTTGTGGATGTTTAGGAGTTGCTTTCGTTGACCGTGAAGCCTCTGACAAACATCATCAGTTCATCAAGATCCTCAGAGGCTCCAAGAACATTGACTTACCCGTCAATGAAAATATTTTGGCCCACGACTAGACTCATCTGCGGTGTGCACATCAGAGCCACTACGTCCCCAATTTCGTCGAAGCTGGCAGATCGGCCTTGTCGGGAGACGAAGTGCTGCCACATCGCCATGCCCCGCGCGTCGACAACATCGTCCTCCATCAGAGACTCTTCTGCCATCTTGGTCAAGAGAAAGCCTGGCGAGACTGCATTGACTCGGATGCCGTGGCTTCGGCCCTCTAATGCCGCCTAGAAGCCGCGAAAAATCGAGTCGAGTTAGACTGCTGGTTGGGAGGATTCGAGGCCCAGTGCCCACTCACCGTCTTCGTGATTCCGTAGCAAGCGTGTTTGGACGCCGTATAAGGCCCAGTACCGGGCATGGTCAGCATGGAATTGACGGACGCGCAATTCACAATCGCACCCCGTTGTGGAGGCCGCCCATCTTCACTAAGAGTTGTGCAATGTCCTGGTTAGATGGCATCCCGAGGAGTAGAGTAATCCAAAGCTTACACGGCCAGCGAGTCTTGCTTCATCATTTGAATCATCTCGTATTTCGTGCAAAGCATGACACCGGTGGCATTGACATCGAGCGTCTTCTTCCACTTCGCCACGTCCAGGTTCACGATGGTGTCAGGGGGTCCTACGATCCCTGCGAAGTTGGCCGCGTAGTCGATCCGGCCGAATTTTGTTACAGCTTCGGCGACGGCTGAAGCCACCTCTTCTTCCTGCGTCACGTCGGCGCGGATAGCGAGGCACTGTGTAACCTCCCATGTTAGTGATCAAGCAATCCAGTCCAGGAAAAAGGAAAGAACTGGTCACCTCAGCCCCATGGGCCTCGACCGCTGCCTTGCCATGTTGCATAGTTTCCTCGTCATTGATATCGACAATCACCACGCCCTTGGCCCCTTCTTTTGCAAAAGAGACAGCCACGGCATTCCCGAGACCCCTGGCAGCACCGGTGACAAAAGCTATCCCAGGTGTATTTGGACCATGTCGTCGGCCCATTTTTGAAATGTCAATCCTGTAAGGTGCCCGAGGCTGAGGTTGATGCGGACAACTATCAATCCAAACCTGCCGAAGTTCCCTACCAAACAGAGGGCAATATGTTACTTATTGTGTGTGGTAGTCTCTGCCTCCATCTGATAGCCCAGTTCTGGCCACTTGGAGTTCAAGAGGTCACCTTTTTTCGGCTTTGCATCCGCATCTCCTTGGGACAATTGGAGGTGCGCCGCAAAATCCTAGCCCAATGTCTGGCACCGAGTGTTGATGTGTGGTTGTGGAACTAGGAAAAGTCGCCGATTGCTATGAGTCCTTCAAGTGTGTGTCTATCAGCCTCGGTCAGAAGTCACTGACTCGTGCCATAGCAGCAACGTTTTGCACGTCCATTCTCTCCGCAAAGTGGAGCACTTTGCGCATTCGACAGGGAGGAGAGTAATTTCAAGGCTGCATGACTCCCGAAATCGTGACCAACAGTCTAGTGCGTTGGAGCAGTAAAGCCTTGTTCTTCCGCGTCTAACCAACTCGAGTGCCGCGGTATATGACCTGAATAGATGCGCGTCGACACCTTCACTCACGGAGCCTGACAATTTCAATTTTGGAGATATTCTGCACTTACTTACTTTGGCTTGCAAAGTCAGACCTTGATCAAGATGCCTCACTCTACTGCCGAAACGAACGGAGTTGTTGGCGGGTTTCGCGTCGAGGAGCATTGGCATTCTGACCCTGGAGACCTGCGTGTAATCTGTGTGGGAGCAGGCGCGGCGGGTTTGTTGGTCGCCTACAAAATGAAGAAGCTATTTTCCAAATACGACCTGGTGGTCTACGACAAAAACCCGAGCGTCGCTGGGACTTGGTACGAAAACCGGTATCCTGGGTGCGCGTGTGACGTGTAAGTGAGATGGAACATTCTTCCCCGGCTATCTCTCTGTATCTGACAAGAGGGTCGCAAGACCTGCACATGCTTATACCTTTACTTTCGAGCCGAACCCTGACTGGTCTGCATTCTATGCGGGCTCGGCGGAGATCAAGAAATACTTTGAGTCTTTTGCCGAGAAGTATGATCTGATGCCTTGGATCAAGCTCAACACAAAAGTCCTGAAAGCGACATGGATAGAGAGCGAGGGCATTTGTGAGTCCAATCCCAGATCCGCTTCCACCGGTGACCACCCCTGACAGGAGTCCGTGCAGACAAGGTTGAGCTCGAGAGTGAAGGTCGCAAATTCGAGGACTGGTGTCATGTCCTGATCAATGGAACTGGGTTTCTGAATTCATGGAAATGGCCCCAGATACCTGGTCTACACGATTTCCAAGGCCAGCTCCTGCACAGCGCCAACTGGGATCCAAATTTCAGCTGGGAAGGTAAAACGGTGGCCGTTATTGGGACCGGCTCTTCAGCAATTCAAATGGTGCCACAGATCCAAAAGACCGCAAAGCACCTGACGTCGTTCATGCGATCAGTAACTTGGATATCCCCTCCCGTGGGCGCGGCAGCGCTCGAGCAGGAGAAGAATAAGAGCGTCAAGAACGCATCGGGGGAGCCCGTGAAGGAGGCTGAGCCAGCCGCCCAATACTACTATACCGAGGAGGAGAAACAGCGCTTCAAAGACGACCCGGAGTACCATTTGCTCTACCGCCGAAAGCTTGAATCGTCGGTTAACAATCTCTTTGACATGTTTATCGCCGATTCCGAGACTTCGAAACAAGCACAGCAGCAAATGCATTCCGAAATGGAGCGTCGACTCGGACCGGGCCACGAAGAACTAAAACGCCGTCTCATTCCGTCCTGGCCGCCAGGATGTCGTCGGATCACCCCTGGCGATGGTTATCTCGAGGCCCTTGTCCAGTCGAACGTCACGCCAGTTCATGAAGAGATTGAGAAGATTGTGCCCGAGGGTCTAGTGGACAGCTCGGGCAAGCTACACAAGGTCGACATTATCGCATGTGCCACGGGGTTCAACCTGGCTTTTGCGCCCCCGTTCGAGCTCTGTGGAGTTGATGGCGTGACTATGCGCGAGGCATTCGATCCGGAGCCACAAGTCTATCTTGCCACGGCGGTTCCCAAATTCCCCAACTACTTTGTCGTCAATGGAGTTAGGGGGAACTGGGCCGCGGGAACGGCGTTGCCCTCTCACGAGGTCTGTGTGGAATATATCCTCAAATGTGCAGCCAAGATCCAGACGGAGAACATTCGAGCGCTCGAGGTGAAGCAGGAGCCTATCGACCAACTGTACGAATACATCGACGAGTGGCACAAACGATCAGTCTGGAGCCGAGACTGCAAGAGCTGGTATAAGAACAATATTCCCGGCGGCAAGTTGTGGATCTGGGGTGGTTCGGTAAGGATTCCACGCCCTGGAAAACATATTTTTCTGTCGGCATATGCTAACTGATGTCTTCCGTCGCAGGCCATGCACTTTATGAAAACCATCAAAGAGGTCAAGTGGGAGCACTACGACCACCGATATCGTAAAAGCAATATGTGGTCCTATCTGGGCAACGGACGGGTCAAGGCCGAAGTGTGGAGGGACGTGGATAAACTCGCCCCGTATATGAGGAACGCCGATGTGCCGTGGGAGATAGAATAGATTGGCCATGAATATAGATAATTAGATGGAGAGATTTGAGGCCAATTTTGACCAAAGGCACTGACACACCCCTGACCTCAAGGGGAGCGTCCCCGAGGCCGAGTGATTCACCAATTGATGACAGTCTCGTGGGGCCCTAAGATCTCTCTAGATCTAAATAATGGCTGGAATATCAGCTTATAGGCTTAGGACATATACCTCAAAGACCAAATCCGACCAATTTGAAACATCAGACCAGCATTATCATGGTACTCCCGTCCTTTACCGCCAAATACCATCATGCTCCATACCCCAGCATTGATCCCTCTCGACCTGAACTTTCCGCTGCGGACAAGGTCGTCGTTGTAACTGGTATGGAAAAGACCTCGAATTTTGCACTTGATGGTCCGGGGGGACCAATATGAACTAACCCTGCTACAGGAGGTGGCACCGGGATCGGAGCTGCAACGGCTCTTGCCTTTGTCGCGGCCGGAGCCAGGGCGGCCGTGCTGCTTGCGCGCCGACCTCAGCCGTTGCAAGAGACCAAAGCCCAGATCCAATCAGCATACCCTTCGGCAGAGGTCCTCACGTTTTCAGTCGATGTTACCGACGAGGTCACGGTGGCGGATTGCTTTGCCTCTGTCGCCCGTCGCTACGGGGCAATCGACGTCTGCATCAACGCGGCGGCCTATCTGTCGGATCAGGGCACCATCGCCGCTGGACCGGTCGACGAGTTCTGGAAATCCTTCGAAGTGAATGTGAAAGGGGGATACATTATCGCGCGACAATTTCTCCGCAATGCCTCCCGTGGCGACCCGGTCTTGATTGGCATCAACTCTCTGATCGCGCACCTCCCGGCGTCGACCGTGGAACAATGTCCCGCCAGCTACGCGAGTAGCAAGATCGCGCTGTCCAAGCTGTACGAGTACGTCGCCGCCGAGAATCCCGGTGTCCGTTGTTATTCGGTCCACCCGGGAGTCGTCGAGACTGACATGGCCGCCAAAAGCGACGCCATGGCGCCACCGCAGAAGGACAATCCATTTCTTCCCAGAGACGATGGTGAGTGATTCCCCCCCGTAGATGACCCAAGTTCGCCCATCCAACGAGCTTGGTACACACTTTGACGAAACACGACGTTAAACCGAGTCATCTCTTCAGCTTCCCTTCCCGGACAATTCTGTGTCTGGCTCAGTTCCAAGCTCGGAGCGGCCATCCCATCCGGACGATATCTCTGGTCGAACTGGGATGTCGACGAGTTGGCGGCGATGAGTACGGAGCTCAAGAATGACCCGGTTGCTTTGACGATGACTTTACCACATTGGCCATTTCCGCTGCCGTCACCAAGGAACACATGAAAAGCTCAACTGCTTCATGCCGAACGACTACCGTGGCTCTACAATCCCATGCCTAGTAACTCCATATAGTAGAAAACGCCAAAGGTTCACCTAGCTCCGCATGTGACGCACGACGGACGCACCAGGGCAACGGAGATGAGAATAGACAACAGGTTGATTGGAGGAGAACTAGGGCGAGGGTTCTTATAGACGTCAAAAGCGGCGGCGTGCCCAGCACCAACTTGACAAGAACAGCATCAACTTGTCAGCGGGGTTTTATAGTGGGGATATTCAAGAACTGTTGTTATCTCCGGTCTTCTCCTTGTAGTTCTTGTTCGGCGTTCGTCCTCCGAGCGCCGGAATTCTCGACTTCCGGCCCCGAATGCAGACGGTTAGCATCAGCGCCCAATCTGGGCAACAAAGCACCACCACCCACACCACCGTCGATAGCCGCAGTTGGAGTCATGAGCACTCTCCCGGGGAGACTTGTGGCAGACCGAGAGCGGGGTCTAGTGCAAGTCTCCTGGCACTGGTGTGATGACGGTCCTAGAAACCCGGGGTAGATTATGGGACTCGTTGCAGCATGGGTGGTAAGCTTATACAAGCCCTGAGTATCTCAAAACTGCTCGAAGCACGTTGCTCAGAGCTGCTCGAAGAAGTAAAGGAAGATGTCACAGCACTGCAGACCGCTGCGAAAAGCCGTCTCTACGACACGCTCGGCCATCCGTTCCTATGCAACCCAGGCAGCGCGGCCGGCAAAGCGGAAGTTGAATGTGCCCATTGATTTCGGAAACACACCTCTTCTGCACCATTCCGCAAAGAGCTTTCCACAAACGCCTGGTCTCCCGCAGGACAGCTCTTCGACACGGTTGAATCTCTGCCAGGCAGTGAACGAAGGCTTGAGAACTGCTTTGAGGGAGGACAACAAGGTGCTCTGTTTTGGCGAGGATGTCGCCTTCGGCGGCGTCTTTCGGTGCACGCTGAATCTGCAGTCGGAATTTGGGCCGGATAGAGTTTTCAACACGCCCATCACCGAGCAGGGCATTGTGGGAGCGGCGATTGGCATGGCCGCCGAGGGCGCGAAACCGGTGGTTGAGATCCAGTTTGCGGACTATGTTTTTCCAGCCTTCGACCAGATTGTGAATGAGGCTTCAAAGTTTCGGTACCGAGAGGGCTCGACAGGTGCCAACCTGGCTGGTATGGTGATCAGGATGCCCTGTGGTGGAGTGGGACACGGTGCCTTGTGAGCCTTGCCAACTGGCAGTCGACTTCTTCGTCGTGCTAACCCCTTCGCCTCTTAGATATCACACTCAATCTCCGGAGTCGCTCTTTTGCCATGTGCCGGGCTTCAAAGTTGTCGTCCCCCGATCACCATCCCAAGCGAAAGGGCTTCTTCTCTCTTCGATCCTTGAGTCCAAAGATCCGGTGATTTTCATGGAACCAAAGATCCTCTACCGCGCCGCTGTCGAAGAAGTCCCCGATGAGCTCTATACCCTTCCGCTATGTGAAGCGGAAGTCGTCAAGCCTGGAGCCGATCTGACCATAATCTCCTATGGTCGCCCTCTGTATAATTGCCTTGCGGCTATTGAGGCGGCAGAGAAAGTTTCCCCGGGCATCAGTATCGAGCTGATCGATCTGCGGACGATATATCCGTGGGACAGAAAGACGATTTTGGACAGTGTGTCGAAGACGGGACGGGCCATCGTTGTTCATGAGAGTATGGTCAACTATGGCGTTGGATCGGAGATCGCTGCAACGATTCAAGAACGGGCGCTCCTGTCTCTTCAGGCGCCGGTGAAGCGACTGGGTGGTTGGACTACGCATACCGGGTTGGCGTGGGAGAAGTTTATTTTCCCCGATGTCACGAGTGAGTCCCTTCTTCAACCTCCATGGTTTTGGTTACTGACTTCAACAGGGATATATGATGCCATCCTGGAAGTGTTGGAGTTTTGAGCGGGTGTTGCAGAAGTATATAGAGCGAGGATACCAGGAATGAGCAAAAATTGAATCTCGGGCATGGCACTGGGTCAGAGAGCTTCTGGCGTTCGGGGGTCTGCATTCAACCTCAAGTCTATTACTACCTACAGCCGTATTACTCGAGGATATTACAGAGCTTTGAGGCCGCCTTCATAGTCCTCCGCATCGTACTCCTCCGGATATTTCTCCATCAGACGCTTGAGTTCCTGCCGCTGAGCCTCTTGCTCTTCCGAATACTCCGCATACACGTCGTCGAAGACCGAACTCAGCCGTGGTTTCTTCTCCCTCTCAGCAGCCTTCAGCTCAGTCAAAATATCTTTCCGTATCTGATTTCTCGTCTCCTTGTCCATATCGTCACTCCAAAGACCCTTGTTCTCCAACCATTTCTTGAGCCGGGCAATCGGATTGTCCCGAGTCTTCCACGGGTTCACCTCATCATGCGTCCGGTAGGCAAAGCTGTCGTCGCTGGTGCTGTGGTGGGAAATGCGGTAACTCATCATTTCCAAGAGAATAGGACGTCCGCCGTTCTCGAGAGCCCGCCGTCGTGCTTCTTTCGTGGCTTCATAGACCGCAAAGATATCCGTCCCGTCCACTCGCAAAGTTTCAATGCCGTACCCGATGCCACGGCTTGCGATGCCATCGCCCCGATACTGCTCCGTTGTCGGCGTAGAGATTGCGAACCCGTTGTTACGGCAAATGAAAATGACTGGGCAGTCGCGAACAGCGGCAAGATTCAGCGCCCCGTGAAAATCCCCTTCGCTCGCTGCGCCGTCCCCAAAATATGCTACCGCAACTCTCGGTGACTTGTTCCCGGTCTCTCGATCTGCGAGCTTCAAGGCATATGCAGCTCCCGTGGCGTGGGGGATTTGAGTTCCGAGCGTCGATGCAACAGCATGCTGCGCACATTAAGATCGATCAGCGATATTCGTGCCGCAGCCTCCGTAACCATTCACCAGCAAAATACCGAGAACTTACCACTCCTGTTTTCAATCTCCCACTATAGTGACAGGGCATGTTGCGTCCTTTGCCAGGATCATTCTTGTTATGCACCAACTGGCTGAGGAAGTCCTTAAGCGTGTAGCCCCGTTGCTTGAACACTCCCGTCTCCCGATACTGGCACGTAATCACATCATCGGGTCCAAGCGCTGCTGCTGATCCTACCATGATTCCTTCTTCGCCTGCTGAGACCTGAAAGATGTGTATGTGAGCAATCTGTTTGTTTGGGAGCAGTCTTTGCGCTACGCACCATGTAGAAACTCAGTCGACCCTGTCTTTGGGCTTCGGACATGATGGTATCCAAGATATTGACTGTTTCCTCGGATGGTTTGTTCTCAGCATGCCGTCGCTAGAATCTGCTTGGGTAGGGGCAAAGTTACCGGTCAACATGTTCTTGTACCACTCAAGGACCTGCTCGTCTGTCACGTCCGGGGGTGCGCGAGCGTCATCCTGCACTCTCCCTTCCGCGTTCATGACCCGATAGGTGGCAATAGGTGGTAAGGATTTCGGCACCAAAAAGTCCATTTTGGTACTGAGGGGACTGCCGGTCGCACCTGGAAAGCGAGGTCTGTCGCCAGCTGCTTGTTAACTTCGTCCCAGCAAGATTCGTGGACCCCTTTGGGTGAGGGCACTGACGAGGTAGATATCTCCCCCAGCGTCACTGTTGAATTCCATCTTGCAAACACTCTTACAGAGGCGCGTCGACTGGCGGACGATTTGGTCGCACCTCCTGCTGCTCGAAGCCACATAGTGCACGGCGACCCTGTCGTCTAGAACTGGCATTCAGAATTCCATTGAACTCGGGGTGAATCTCAGCTATCCTAACTACCAAAGATAACCATCGAGCACAGAAACAATCGACGTGGATTGAGCGGTTATCGACGGTGATGACCTGCATTAGCAGACCCCGCTAATGGATCGATCCGGCTCTTAGGGATGCTGATTGATGATTTCGGTGAAGTCGATGGACAATGCCGACGCAAAGCATAACGAAACGTCGAAGGGAGCTCGGGGTTCGGCGAAGTATTCCTATTGGCCCGGAGGAACAGCTGACTCCGGTAGCACCATAATAATCCCCACTAGCGGTCACACTATCCAAGAGAATACCCAATGTTGACTTTCGAACCAGGTACGAGGTACATGTCCTAATTCAAAGGGGCCAGTCAGCTCGGAGCCTGCGCAATCAGTCGTTCGACTCTCAGGCGTGAGCTCCTCACACCGATGATCAGGGGCAGGACCTAGCTGCCAGACATGGACTGGAACAGCCGAAATGCAAGCGACAATTCAGCCGCAAGGAACCGCGGAGAGCCGCAGGCCCTGCTCCTTTTCATCGAGATCAATGTCAGGGTAGCTGTGGAGCCACAAGTGATAATACCTGCCGTCTGGAACACCGACCTCATCTCACTTTGAGGAGTTTCTCAGGAACGAAATTCCAGAAATATGAGCCGGGTGCTGGTCAGAGACTTTGTGCGTCGAAGTCAGCGGCTTTTGGTGGCAGGACACTGTTCAAATCGACACGCCTTCCACAGCTCGCCGTCATGGTGTGCGGTCAGGCCGTATCTCCTAGCAGACATTGGGGAAGGTAAGGCCACACCCAAGTTCGAATCGGCTTGGAACAGCAGGATAACGATAGCAGGAATCACTGAGTGTCAAATCATCAACTGGTCGGTAAAGCCGGGAGACCGCGTTGCCCAATTCGACCCAATATGTGAGGTTCAGTCGGATAAAGCAACTGTAGAGGTGCTTCGGGTACTCCCCTGTATTCCTCAGCAAGCTGCTAACAAGCCGACGTGAACAGATTACCTCGCGATTTGATGGCGTGGTCAAAGCACTCCACTATGAGCAGGATGAAGTTGCCATCGTGGGGAAGGTGTGTTGGGCCGCTTCGAGAATCTGTATGCTGGCTAACATCATGTAAAAGCCACTGTTGGATATGGATATTGCGGACGAAATCACAGGAGATCCAATTCTTGCGGACGCCGCTGTGGAGCAACACTCAGAGACTGGGGAGGCGCCGGAGAAGGGGAGCTCTGAGGGAGAAACAGAACAACCAACATCGTCACTTGAATCCCAGTCTACCGTACAGGCCTCATCGCTGACCTCGTCGGCACCCGCGACGAGAGAAAAGCTAGCCCCTAAAACTTCGGCACTCCTCACCCCGGCTGTGCGACATATGCTCAGACAGGCAGGCATCGATGTATACGATGTTCAAGGGACTGGCAGGGATGGACGCATTACAAAGGACGATGTCCAACGCCATATCCAGGCACAATCGAACTCCAGTACAACCCTACCGCCCGCTCCTCCCGTCCATGAATCGCAGTCGACGAAGACGGCAGAAGACAAGGTTGTCGCTTTGAACCCGGTTGAGAAACAGATGTTCAAAGTTATGACGCACTCCCTCACGATCCCTCACTTCCTCTACACTCACAGCGTCGACGTCACATCGATCAACCTGCTCCGCCGAAAGTTCAACATCAACCAAAGTCTCGCGTCCACACTTTCCGCACCAGGCTCCTCTGTTTCGAAGCTGACAATCCTCCCCTTCATCATGAAGGCGTTGGCGCAAGCGTTTTCACAATTTCCGAAACTCAACGCCCACCTAGACACGGCAACCAACCCGTCAAGTCCCCAACTGATTCTCAAATCCTCCTGCAATTTCGGGATTGCGGTAGACACCCCTCAGGGCCTGCTGGTTCCTGTGGTCAAGGACGTACAGAAGCACTCCATCATTTCACTTGCTGTGGAAATCAAGCGGTTGAGCGATCTGGCGCAAGCTGGACGTCTCGCGCCAGACGACTTCAAGGATGCCACCTTCACGATCAGCAACATTGGGAGTATCGGCGGAAGTGCCGTCGCGCCTGTGATTGTGGCTCCGATGGTGGGGATCCTGGGGCTTGGTAGAGCTCAAGATGTCCCGGTTTTCATCACAGACAAGGAGGGTGGTGAACGCGTTGTCAAGCAGGAGCAGGTGGTGCTAAGCTGGAGTGCCGACCACAGGGTTCTCGACGGCGCAACTGTCGCCAAAGCCGCTGAAGTTGTGGGCACGTTGATCCAAAACGCCGAGAGTCTGGGACTGGCGTTGCGATGACATTAATCTGATATGTAAAAAACTCCTCGGCGACGAATCCTGGGGTGGCGTAAGCCAGATTGTGTCGCAATGGAAAATGTCGCAAACTTCCCTACTTGGGATACTTGGGATACTTGGGATACTTGGGTTTCGATATCGCATAGTTACTTATCGAGCTTTGGCACCCAATTTGTATGCCAATCAAAGCTCAGATAGAGTCTTCTTCTCTAAGCGGCTCGAGCTCCTCGCCCCACTCCTCGTACAGCAACAGTTAGTCCTCTCCCTTGTCATTAGTGACAGGTTTCGCTTCCCGCAGTGCCGCTGCCGTCACACCAGGCGTGCTTCCAAGAATCCCCTGTGGAACCCGCATCGAATTCCGCCCACAAACATTATTTTAAGATGACAGTCCTGGCGAATCGACTTCAGTACGAGGATCACTGATGACCGATTTGGGCTCACACTCACTCTGCCGTCCTGACCACGCCACCCTTCGACGCTGTTCCCCTCGTACCACTTTGAATTCGTGCTTATCTTTCCACCCTCTGGTACTTCGACATCAAACCCAAGGTACACGGGAACGACCGGCGGTGTTCCAGGTTGTGAGGGTATGCTTCCTCGTCGCATAAGTCTGCGTTGTTATGTGTAGACCGTGGGTTTTAATGTCTTTCCATGGGGTACAATCCACGATGGCTTTTGCATTTCCTCTCGCCCATGCCTTAAGGCGCAGTGTGGCAGTATGCACGACACTGAACAGGGGGCAGTCCATTTCGCCTTTTCACGGCAAGGCCGCAGCGGACCCACTAAAGAGTGAACTGTATTTCTGGGATCATAGTCACGCACCCCTCCGCGTTGAGAGAGACATTGATGAACCTCGAAATCCATAACTGCAAGCTGGCGTACCTTTCCGCCTGCGAGTCCGCATTCAACGGCGAGCGGAATTTGCGGGAAGAGAGCTTACATGTGGCCGGAGCGTTTCTCCTTGCTGGAATCCCCAGTGCCATAGCGACGTGGCGGCCGATTCTGGACGAGAAGTCCATGGATGTTGCTGAAGAGTTCGACCGACGGTTAATGACAGGAAGAGCAACTGTGGATGTGAAAAAGGCGGCCGAGGCTCTCCATGGTGCTGTGAGTAACTTGAGGCAGGATGTCGATGATCCTTTCGTATGGGCGTCATACGCACATTTTGGCTGTTGAAAGCTGCAACTGTCTCTGGGCCATCTACCGCGCTCAGCATCTAAAATCGTACTCTGTCGATATTCTGCAAGAAAAGAAAAGGACTCGGACTACACTGAGGCAGTAGAATGCTTTGAACTCTGACTTCCTCAGATACGACAGCTATTTCCGGGCTTGCACGCACCCTCCCTAGCAGAACATGCCGAGAACTCACCCGCAAAATCAAATCCTGAACAGTGCCAAAGTATCGGTGAATCCAGAGAAAGTACTCTTGGCCCTTTGAACCAGGGTTCGCCCATCCCGGACGATCAGATTCCTCGTGCCCACGGTATTCAAGTTATACACGCCGATGTTCGAGATGTTCCCTTCAAGCGAGAAGATGGCCGGCTGGCACGTGCTGGTGTCCAGACAACCCTGGTCGTAGTTGCTAAAAAAGCTATACAGCCCGGCGCCATAGGTGAGGATCGAGCCTGAGTCGAGGATACGCAAAGCGTACGCAGTACAGTTGCGCGGACCGAAGATGGCTGAGTTGCAAATCGCCGTGTAATTCGGATCTCTGATTGCAGGATTCACGGGGAAGGGCAAATAAGCCGGTGGATTGGGCTGATAGTACGCCGTCTCGGTCTGGATTAAGCCCCTATTGTCATTGTCAGCCTGGAAAGTCCGTGCCGCGAAAAGAACAAAGCCTGGCGGACCTCCCAGCCATACCGGCCTTGCTTTTCAGAATGACTTACATGAAAACATTTTGCGTGTTGGCAAATTGGTACTCATACAGAGTGTGGTGCTCGACCGCGGTGCCCACGAACCAGAAATTGCCCGACAAGCTTTCATCGTAGAGTCCACGACCCGCGTAAATGGTAATTTTTCTCTGTCCGGGGTCGTCGAGGTCGTGGTCGGCCACCCAAAGCCACCCGTTCTCCAAATACAAACCAGACGAGGACTTGGTTAAATGCATCGTCATATATGCCGCGATGCATTTCGCATTAATGGGTGTAGGCGGCGTTGCATCATGGGGCGTGATCGAGCACTGCGCGATGCCTAGCTCTGAGCCGGCGAAGCCCCCAATCCGTGCGTGGACATCCCACATTCCCGAGGGCGAGTTGGATGGGGAAGCGAGATTGTATTCGATGAGAATGGCACCGGGTGTGGATCCCTGGGTGCTGATGATCAAGTCGGACAGCTCGACAGATCCCTTTTCGCCAGGCTGGCCGACTCGCAGGACGGGGAACGGCTGGTTCATGTCTGCAAACCAACCTCCGCTTCCCATAATGACAGAGAATGACTCGCCGACGATTTTGGCGCCCGCAGGGATGTAGACAGTCGATGAGACCTTATACGTACCATGGTCTATAAAGAGGATCTTGTCGGAAAAGGCGGCGGTCAGGATGGCAGCTTGGAGAACTGCCGTGTCATCTGTCACGCCATCGCCTCGACATCCGATAGATCTCGCGCTGACGAACTGAGACGGGGGAACTGTTTCGTATTGTGGCTTGGACCGTACGTAGTAATTGTCGCCGCTGATGAGAGAAGCTGGTCTTGCGTTCGCACTGATAGGGCCTTGGAACTTGTTGACACCGGTAGACGTAAATACATTACCCTCTCCCCAGGCAGCAACTGTCACGGTGCTAGAGCCCTTTGCGCCAGAAAGAATGGGCCCGCTCAACCCTTGAACAGCAACATCGACGTTCTTTAGCTTGACGTTCTCTAATACCAAGCTCCCTTCTGCGGGTGTTCGGGAGGGGGAGTTGTACGCGGTAAGTATGCCCACATGCGTGTCGGTGATGCTCGAGTCGAAGAAGGTCACCGAACCGACGCCTTGTTGGTTCGGGCCTCCGCCAGACATGTCCACACCTGTCGAGCAATTGATGATGTTGACGTTCTGGTAGGTCCAGCTCCAGTCCCAGGTATTCTGTATTGCAGTCACCGCATTATGAAATGTCAGATTTCTCATGGTGAATTGCTGATTGCCGATCCTGGCGGCTTGATACCCTCCATAAAACACTAGGTCGCCGAGAAAGCCACCCGACCCCTCGTAGATGACCAAACCAGTGTGCCGAGTTCCCTTCGCATCACTCATAAAAATCCTCAGATTTTGAAGACTTGTGGCTTGTGAAGTAGTCCATTGGACGCCGATCGCTTTCCGCGCCGGGGAAACCAGAGTCATGTCAATGTTGAGATTGCGAATCTGGCGCCAGAAGATATTGGTGGGATCGTAACTGCCATTGACGTTCGCTTCGATCAGGATACTCCCCGTAAAATTTACATTTGCGCGAAGGGTAGGTATGCAGTAAGGGTTGCCGATGATCTGAGTGTAGTAATAATCTATGATCGAGGACGATATCATGTACGTGCCCGCAGGAAAGTAGACAACGGCTGGTGTGGTCGTAGAAGATTTGCATGCTCCTGGAGCACATCTGCCCCCGCTACTAATTGCCAGGTTGATGGCGGCTGTGTCATCAGTCACGCCGTCGCCCTTTGCGCCGAAATCTTTGACATTCCGAAAGACTTGATAGCTGCTCGGATGGGGGTTGAAGGCTGCAATGCCCTGGTGAGGGATGTCCTCAAGCCAGTAAGGACATGCATTGGGGCCACTGGAGTCAGATGGCGACACTGAGTCTTTGATGCGGATAGGATTCAACGGATCCTGGGTGTCGTGGTCTATGAGTGCAGAAGACGTCAAGACGTGAAGGCAGCATAGCGCTAGAATGAGGTAAGAGGCCATCTTCAGAGCCGTTAAAAGATGCGCTTGATTGAGGAGGTCAAGATGATTATAGAGAGATGACGGCGACGCCTCGGCCTCTTTGCTGCAACAGCGTTTCAATACTTCCTCTTCTGACCCAGGACATGAGGATCAGCCGTATGCTGTGCGAGGGTGTAAGTTCAACAGAATCACCATCCCCAGCTTTTTGTGATATGCCAATAAAATGTGCTGGGGTAAGTGCTACCACCAATCCCCGTCAAGCAGCTAAAGCTTCGATGGCGCAAAAATTCCAGGATAGAAAAGCTGAATATATTTGACGAAGACTGGGCCTGCTGTTGAATGGTTGGCAGGCTGGAAACCGAGCACCTCGAGTTTCAAGGCCGAAGACGAGCTGAGCAGGGTCAGCTAGCCTTCTTCCGTGGCGCTCATCTAGAACCTGGCGTTTGTTTGCTTATTGGTACTCACATGCAGTCAGCACACCCCAACCAAAAGGTATGCAGCGATGCACAGCTTCGAGCTGGTCTGGTCACGCTTCAACGATACCTGGATGATTGGTGGGCCAACGATAAGTAGATGAGGGACGATTGCTATTGATTTGAGCAGGGCGGAGAGTGGAGAACGAAGGTAGAAAGCTGAGTCAAACACGAATCAAATACGGCGATGTCCAAGAACTAGGAGGAGCAAGTAGCGTATAAGGTGGCCGGGAATACGAGTTGGAGGTATGGTTTTGGAGCTGGAACTCTTGGCCTCGTCTGTGGAGAGGCTCTGTCCCCAAGGTCAGGTACCATACGGCTGAAAATCGTTTCATCAATCGTCAGCGCTTTGAAAACACTCACTAGGTCTCCCCAGGTACATCCTCGATCACCGATCATGTGTCAAGCAGTGGTCGGCCAACAATGGACGTGGGAGAAATCCTAGAAGTATGGACTGCGTCGGAACAGGAGAGAGCGGAGTAAGGCACCTCCCCGAAGTGGCCAGCGAGTGAGTACGGCAGATCAAACAACAGGATTGTGCAGCTCTTTCTCCGTCCCATTCAGCAAGAGACAAGCCGACCTTTGATGGGTGATTCGCAACATTCGCATCTTTAAATCCCATGCTGCGATGTGTCACTCCGTTGCTACTCAACTTGGTGTTCCCGTATAGTTTTGGTGTTGGAGGCGCATTGATCTGTCCAGATTTGGGCTAAATCGTTACGCCATCGAGGCCTCGAACAGTCTGGGCCTTCGTGGGCGGCGACGCCCAGAGCCTACGTGGGGGAACATGTTGTCACAACGCAATCTTTTTTGACCATGCTTTCAGCTTGGGTGCTTCGTATGCAACAACAGGCCAAATTGATGCGGGATGGCAGGCAACTTGATGTGTCGCGTACTTCCTCAGCTGAAGAAACTCACGGGAGACGTTTACAATGGCAGACTGAAGATGGTTTGTGGCCATCCACCGTGCTGATTTCCGGCAGATGCGATCGGCGTCATTGTCCATTGCGAAGTGTGGTCGTGGCCAAGTTCCATCGGTTCTGGATGCATGAGCCTGGCTTTTCCTGTGTCCGTTTGGCATCACAGAGCTCGAGGATTTTGGGAGCAACAGTGATCGGAGTGGTGCCATTCCCAGTCCCCGCAGTTTTGTGAACAGCTAAAAGTGATTTATGATGCCATTGTGAATTTACCATTCGCGGAATTTGGGATTGGGGCCTGCCAGACACTACGCACTGATGGGAATAGAGCAGAGCGAAGGAGGCTGTGGTGGAGGAGGATGCAGAAAATACCGGGGCACATCACAGAGGAGCTCCACCACCTACACCTGGAGCTCGGAAACTTGAGATTTATACCTCAGTTTTCGATGATAGTACGGAATAGTGTCAAGCAGCAATAGAGATTTTTGGTATCCGTGTTACCTAACGTCTTCCCATTAATATCTTCTCCTGTGATAGGCTGCCCTGCCGTTCTCGCCCTCACTATAGTATCATTAGTGGTAGTGTCCTGTTCGACCGATACTTCCACCAGAAAGACAATCTCGACTACCGATCTAGTTGACAAACCTCTGTGCGTTGTTATACGTGCATAATGAACCGCGAAGTGCTCTGTTACAAAAAGCTAGATATGCGAAGGTGGTTACAGCTAAATACTTCCATCGATCCGCCCGTCCTTTAATAGCCTTCTCTCACAAATTATAAGAGAACTGGGTAACGTTTACCCAACCTCCACTATCACCTTGGTGCGTCTGCCTTGGCTCAGAAATCGACACTCCTAGCAAGAGCCAACCGAAAATCTGAACGAGACCTGCCTAGACCACTTTTACAGACACGTAAGTGGCATCACCTATACATCCAAGGGCGACTTCATCCGCGCCAAGTTCGTTGATTACTCCACCGGCACCCCATCCTCTGGAATTGCAGTATCTGTGGGCTGCTGCAACGCAGCCGGAGGACTGCGCCAGGCTTGGAGAGGTGCAGTCTGGGTGAAGTGCCCTCAGGTCAGCAATTTTGACAGTGATATACCATGGAGTGGCAACACATGCCAGGCCTGCGACGCCATTTCCTAGCTCTTGAATGATGCCGGCTCCGTTCTGCCCAGTGCGATCGCAATACCGGTGAGCAGAGGAATAGCATGCTGCGGACTGGGTGTTTCCGTTGCAATTGGGGATTTCCGAGTATGCCACGTCACCATACCATTTGGTGGAGGTACAGAGAAACCCGATCTCATCTTGGCCCGCTTCCTGAGGATATGCAGCGGCCCCGAGGCCGTTGAGATAGCAGTACCGATGCATTGCAGCCATACAATCGGTAGTCCGTGAACCGGCCACGCTGTTACATCCAGCATGGAATGTATTCAAAGGCCTCCGTCGTCCGTACATCACCTGAAGCCCTTGGATGTCCATATCACTCAGCTCTCCACCGTTGTTCCATTTCGTGTTGCAATAATTCATGACTGAATTTGCATCATAATCAGTCACGAGATAGTTTCCGTTGTCTCCTTGGGGAGCATCGTTGCACGAAGCTGGCCTGTCAGGTCGATTTTGCTCGTGAGCAAAACCGAGCGCGTGGCCGAATTCGTGCACCGCAATGGTTCGGATGCAGAACTCGCGGTTGGTGGTAGAACAGAAATCTCTTGACCAGTTCGAAAACGCAAAGTTCAACACCATGCCATTTGGGAGGCCATTGAGCCGACTTCCAAGCACCTGGGCGTACGGACCAGTGTCTTGGACTGAGATGCGGATTCCACTGTCACCGGCACCGCACTGGTTCCACCCAGTAAAGCGAACGACAGAATAAGTTTCCCATGTCCTCTGCACCGCATCCCGAACCCAGCCTCTTTCAGCTTGGAACGTTCCACCCCCAATGCCTTCCCAACACACTGGAATATCATTCTGCAGCCAGACGGTCGTAGTAAGTGGGAACAGAAAATACGGCTGTTGGGCCAACACAAATACCCTCCATTGTGCCATGACAAGTAGAGTCCCGAGCAGCCATGCTCCAATTGAAGCCATTTTTCTTGTAGGATGTTAGAGTCTGAAGGCTCGGACAGCTGAAAGTCAATTCAGGGACCTTTAAGAAGCACTGAGTCCAAGAAATGTTGACTTTGGGGCTCCGATCCTAATAAGCTTGACTGGTGGGCATTTTCAGCTTCATTTTGTGAGCAAGTTCATCATCTGTAACAGTAAGCGAGAGTTAACTCTGGTTTCAACCAGCCACCCAAGACTCGTGGGTTGGCATTCAGAGATTGTTCTGATGCGTGCAAGTCGGCCTCGTACGGCAAGACACAGGCAACCTTTCAGCCCTCGACTAAAGCTACTCTTTTTCTTGCGGCTGGACTCTCTTCTATCATCCCTCCTCGCAAGAACCACGGAACTGCCTCTTACCACATTGAAAGAGTGGTCACAAGGGTCAGGGTGGGTTTTTGGTTCTAACTACGAAAGCTGGGCGTTCGCCGCCAAGGGTTCGAAACTGCATCTTGGCAATGCAAGCCAGTTCGACTCGTGGCGGGAGTGGCATTTCACAACATCTATTTGCGTCTAGATCTTGCAGTTCGCGAACTGATCACACGACTTCACTCATCTTTTAACGAAGGACTCAGTGGCTGCGTTGTAGCCTGCTCTCTGAATTCCAGAATTCAAATACGAATCCCCTAACTACCTCATGTTGGAACACAGAGCAAAAAAGGAGAGGAATGGTAGCTCTCTGGCTAGTTCTGCAAGTTTGTACCTATGGTATAGAATCTAGGACTCTTTGTATAGCTATTTTGCCTGTGGTCCCCCCACCATATGTCCATTCAGTACGAATTCTGCACTTTTCGTATGACCTCGTACACACGGCTGAGCAGGGCTGACGAGGCTGAACATTTCATACGGATAGTGCCTTGGCCTCGCCCAACTCGATGGAGTGCCGTCTGACCACCATGATGGAATCTATAGTCCAAGACTTCAATCCGAGGAGCGCAAAGGGCCGCAAGGCGAATGGCATCCATAATAGCACACCGGTCACACCACGCCTCTCGCTTGATATAGCTTTAGAATTCCAGAATTTTGCAAAGAGTACGTCACGCGGGTACCCTCTGATGTGATCCGTCGTCCTCCATCATGGCATCAGAGATTGATGGCTGAAAAGGAGGGGACAAAATGCAGCTGAAGACCGATGAGGTTGACTCTCACTGATTTCAAGACTCCTGCCCATTCCTCATCGCTGCTACAAATCTAGGGCTTTATCGCTATATGTCTACCATGTTCCAACTTCGCTGTTTGAAAGCCTCATTGAAGAGAAGTCTGCCAACCTCATCACATCATCCCCGCGACATGTTTAGTACTCAAGAGCCTATCTCGAGCAACTCTGCTCTTTGCACCATCATTCCCCCTGATCTGCTGGACCACATCTCCAAGTCTGATCATGTCTCCCAAGAATGTCGTGACAAAGCTGGCAACACATTGCACCGCGTCAAGCATTGTCATCAACTTCGCCGAATGATCCAGGCCCAACGACCAGCTCGTAGATTGCTTGCCGAAGCTCCAACACCAGGTCGCTTAAACCGCACGCTGTACGATTGCAAGGGTAAAGGCGGTCTCCCACTCGATCTTAATCGTGATGGTGAGATCGATCCTATCCTTCCAAAGGAGCTGCGAGACCTTCCCCGATGGAGAGGTTCGCTTCTCTTCAGAGAAGGACACACCGTGGCACCCTCGGATGACCCTAGTGCCGTCAATGTATACAACCAATTCAAATCTACCTACGACTTCTTTCGAGAGGTCTTCGGACGCGACTCTATCGACAACCAGGGCCTCCCACTCGTTGGCTGCGTCCACTACGACGAAGCATCAGACCCGCATCCCGGATTCTTCAACGCCTTCTTCTGGCTTGATGTCATGGCCTACGGTGACGGCGACGGAGAGATCTTCCGCAGTTTCACGGATCTGATCGACATCACGGGCCACGAACTGACACACGGAATCACAGAAAATACAGCTCAACTCGAATACGAAAATCAGGCTGGAGCCCTCAACGAATCTCTCTCCGATGTGTTTGGGTCAATGATCAAGCAATGGTCCCATGAGCCACAACAAACAGCCACCATGGCAGACTGGTTGATCGGTCGCGGCCTCTTCTTGATTCCCAACGCGCGTGCTCTCAGAGACATGGCGAACCCCGGAACTGCCCACGGCAACACGCGCATTACCGGCGGCGATAGACAGCCGCGGGACATGAGTGGCTACGTCGAGTTCTACCCACCCGTCGAAACCAACGACTTCGGCGGCGTGCATCAATACTCCGGCATCTGCAACCGCGCCTTCTACCTCGTCGCCACCACGCTCGGCGGCTTCTCGTGGGAGAAAGCAGGCAAGATCTGGTACGACACTATGAACGACCGTGTTCTGCGGGCGTTAAAGGATGACCCATACTTTAAGCGCACTGCGTTTAAGACCTTTGCGGACCTGACTGCCAAGCATGCTGAGCAATTTGGCCCGGACGCTGTGAAGGCGGTCAAGGATGCGTGGACGGACGTCAAGGTCTATCCGTGGAATACGAACTGGAGAACTACGGCGCCTAGGGGCCAGACTGTGGCGGATATTGGACCTAGCCGGGGAGCTGTGAAGAGTGCGCTTTAAGTATGTCGGATGGGGCAGGGAGGGAAGTCTCTTGTCGAAAAGTGTTGTTGGTACTGGTTCAACGTTCAAACCCTAATGTACGGGAACATAGTCATTTTTATCTTACTCCTGCGCTGGAAAATTTATGATATTGTCTGAAGTTCCGATTTATCAGGAATGAATCAGTATCTGTAGGGACTTTGTTCGGACACTTGGCTGGTTGAAATACAGCCTCCAAGCACTTCAGTCTATGCGCTAGATCAACGTCAGCTCTCATGCACTCCTCAATCCACGCTTGCCTGCCACGCCGATGCTGTTGGGAGAACCTAAATTAGTATACTTACGTCGTTCAGCATCCCATCTTATTCCTCTCTGCGAAGTTCATAGACCAAAGAAGATAGGACAGCCACCCCAAGCCTGAGAACTGTCGCGCCTCATCTTGGAAACCTACTTTCTGGTGGTTGTCGAACAACCTCCTCCCACTCCCAGCTTCGATCCTCGGGGATGGTTACGCGTAGAATGACCGCCCTACCCATGGCCGTAAAGAGACAACCTGCGTCTTTTCTGAGGACCGCTGCCTTACCTTGTAGACTTGTTTAGTAGTCCATGCTTCCTCCCTTTAGACGTAGCACAGGGTGGCAACACCCCATTCCCGAATAGGATAAGCTTCCAGCAGTTTTAGCTCGGCTTGGCACCGCTGTTCGAGTTGCAGCCATCCCATAATTTTTCGACCCTGGCTTGCCCATCTCCAAATATTTCGTTCTGCGCCAACATCCGCTGTCTCAAAGATCCCCTGTGTTGCCGTTGATGATTTTGACTGCCGCAATGACGGGCACTGAGCCTGAAGACTCCTCGGTTACTCGAGTCTATGTTTCGGGCTTGCCGCCGTCCATGACCAAGGAGCAACTGCGGTCGCATTTTGCAGGGAAGTATTCGGTCACAGATGCTCATGTTATCCCCGACCGCCGCATAGGCTTCGTGGGATTTCCGAGTCATGAACAGGCTAAGAGCGCAGTCCGGTACTTCAACAGAACTTTCGTTCGCATGTCAAAGATATCCGTAACCCTAGCCAAACCCGTACAGGTCAAGCGCAATGAAAAAGGCCAAGCGGTCCCTGTCTCCGACCGTGCTTCGCGGAAAAGAAAACGTGAACCTCGAGATGATGGCGAAGAAATTCAGCGACCCTCGATAGGACAGCCTCGAAAAGCTACCGGCAATGCCCCATCAGACAAGGAAACTACCACGGAACTCGATTCTCAAGAGAAGGACATTTCCACAGATGAGGCTACTTCGGAACGGGAGCAGGAAGAAGCCATCGCGGACGAAGCACCCAGATCTGATGCTGATTGGCTGCGTGGAAAAACGAGCAGGACATTGGGTTTGGTCGAGGAAGCTGAAGATATGGGGGACAGCCCGAGGTCTCGAAGAAATACTGGTATAGGATCCGATCCATCGGAAACAATGGAAGACGTCAAGGCCAGCCAGAATACAGCAGATGTAAGAAATGCTGCAGATTCAGACCAGCGGCATCAACCTTCAGTGCCAAATGCTCGACTCTTCATCAGGAATCTTCCGTTCGACACCCACGAAGATGACCTTCGGAAAGTCTTTGCGCCATATGGCAGGATTTCAGAAGTAAGCTTGTATCCTTTTCATTCTTCACTCTACCACGCCTTAGTGATGATTTCCTGATAGGGACAGCTTATGCCTTGCATATGATTCGAACCGGGAAAGAGTATTTTAGTAGATGCTTCTCATTTCTGATCCATCTCTTTGCAAACTCGCTCTTTGTAACCTATTGGCGCCTCCGCTAATGCTTGAACAGATTCATTTAGTGACCGACACCAAAAAATCCACCGGGAAAGGCCTTGGTTATGTTCAATTTGTGGAGCCGGAGCATGCAGAGCAGGCCCTCCTCGAACTCGACGGAAAGGACTTCAAGGGTAGACTTCTGCACATCCTACCATCTTCGGACAAGAAAATTCAAAAGCTCAGTGAGTTTGAAATCTCGAAGCTGCCTCTGAAACAGCAAAGAGCGCTCAAACGGAAGAATGAGGCATCCACTTCGAGTTTCAGCTGGAACTCGCTTTATATGAATCCAGATGCTGTCCTGGCGTCGGTGGCCGACCGCCTGAAGGTCTCCAAAGCAGATTTGCTTGATCCTGCTTCTTCCGATGCCGCTGTAAAACAAGCCCATGCGGAGACAAGCGTGATCAAGGAGACCAAGGAATACTTGAAATCCAATGGAGTGAATCTTGACGCCTTCAAAAACAAATCCCGCGATGACAAAACTCTGCTGCTGAAGAACTTTTCCTTCGGGACCACGGCAGAAGAACTCTCACAAATGCTTGGTCAGTACGGTACGATAGAGTCTCTGCTCTTTCCTCCAACAGGCACCATGGCTGTCGTTCGCTATCAAGACGGTGGTCAAGCAACTTTAGCGCTCAAGCAATTGGCGTATCGAAATCTGAGAGGCTCCATATTGTTTGTTGAGAAAGCACCGGCAGGTCTTTGGGACGGTCTCGAGCCTATAAGAAACACTGATCTATCAACTGCCGCTGGAGATGATGAAAACAGGGGCGCTCTCGGTACCACATCTACGGTGTTTGTGCGCAATCTGAATTTCTCAACAACGAGCGTTAGATTAGCTGAAGCATTCAAGCCGCTGTCGGGCTTCCTTTCGGCCAAAGTGAAAACGAGGACTGACCCCAACCGGCCAGGCGAAGTTCTTAGCATGGGCTTCGGCTTTGTCGAGTTCCGCACCAAGGTTCAAGCAGAAGCTGCAGTCGCCACAATGAACGGCAAGCGACTGGACGGATATGAGCTCCTGGTGCAGACATCACAAAAGTCAACTGATCTGGGAGAAGAGAGACGTAAAGAGGATACGTCGAAAAAGCTCGACTCCACAAGGACAAAGATCGTCGTCAAAAACCTCCCTTTCGAGGCCACCAAGAAGGACGTTCGTGCTCTGTTTGGGGCATACGGTCAGCTGCGCACTGTCCGAATGCCCAAGAAATTCGACAATACAGCTCGAGGTTTTGCCTTTGCTGAATTTCTCACTGCTAAAGAAGCTGAAAATGCCATTGAGGCTCTTTCCAACACCCACTTGCTCGGCCGGAGGCTTGTTCTGGACTTCGCAGAAGGCGAAATAGTCGACCCAGAGGCTGAGATCGAAGCCATGGAGAGGAAAATCCAGGGCCATCAAGACACATTGACTCACCACAGGATGACAGGCTCGGCCCGGAAGAAGTTCAACGTTGGTGCGAGAGAAGATTTCGATCCTCTTTGAATGATCGGCAATCTAGGGAGCAGTGCTTGCCCCTTGCAGAGAGCCCTTTCCTTCACTTCTCCAGCCCCCGAAATCATTCATATATTCTGCTTGAATCAAACCAAATTTGCATGCCACACCCTTTTGGTTTTTCTCAATAATAGTTTCAGACAGAATTCACCATCCTGATGACCAGAAAGCGAGTTCGGCCAAGGGAGCACCCATTGTTGTGCGGATCAGTGACGCAAAGTATCATTCCAAAGGCAGATTGGCCACCGTCTCACCCGATCTCTAATTCGTCTGTCCATCATCCGTGCACAGTCTTTCCTTTCCACGATTCCATTATATTCGCCTCCCGTGCACTGAGTTAGACCACCGAAGCGTCGAGATCGAGGTTATCCCCGCCTTACTGGCTTACTCTATTAGGAAGCCGGCTATCCCTTGCATTGACATCTTTGCACCTGAACCAGTACAGCAAGGATCGAAAGGGAAGTTCACATCTGTGAAATTACCTGTCTTGCTTAGTCTCGACTCTCTGGACCAGTGGAGTATCGAATGTCCGTGGGGTTATACGTCTATCTGCTCGACTGGTCAATCGAAGGGTTGTGGCTGTCAGGTCCGATTGAAGACATCAAAGGGAAGGTTAGATTGCACGAGCAGTTCTCGTGACATGGCGATTGTTATATGTTAACCCAGCTGTTTCCTTTGCCGCATTCCCTTCTCTCATTCCGAAAGTCTTTTCTGTCCTTATCGAACATTGCCAACCGCATTTTTCATTTTCATTCTCGAGCATACCTGGGTAAGCATTGGGCGCATCACGCTCTGATGGAGTGCCTACATTCCGGTATGTCAACACCGGTAGACCTTGGAGACGTAAGGACAGCCACTGAGCATCTCGCCGTCTCCTCGGGGAATGTTCAGCTGCTTGCAGTCACCCATAAGGAGGGTATTGAGAATCAATATCCTCTCCCAGGAGTGGACACTGTGGGAGGACAGTTACCCCATTTTCCTATTCCAGTATTGAAGCTCGGCTCCAACGATGGAACAAATGGTGCATTGGCTTCGAAAAGAAAACGACATCCTCTCAAGCCACATCGATCCAAGCACTTGGGGAACCCAGACCGTCCATACCTCCATCATCCAAAATACCTCGAATACAGATCTCGACCGAGGCAGGACATTGGGAAAGATGGCAAACCGATTTGGCCGGACAATATCGAGGCTGCCTTTCAGGACGGTGGGTCAAATTCAGGCCTGTAGTGGTTGGGTCAAGACTGACGAGCAACAGCGCTTGTGCACATCAAGCCGATGGGTCGAAAGAAATGCTCACAACGAGGAAAGCCTTATGGACGAAACATGCTCATTGCCGAGTGGATATACCGAGCAACCGGTCAGAAGCGAGAACGGAAACAGGTCTCCAGTCACATACAGGTCCTCGACAGATTTCTCCAAGGCATTCCAGAATGTACGTCGACTGGTGTCTTGTACACAAGGGATCCTAGCTTATCTTATTCCAGGGGACCGGTTGATCAAGCCTGGCGATGACGACGATACCAGTCCTTCGGAGGGTCACAAGTTTTACCACAACTCTATCGAGCACATGGTCAACGAGCAAAAGGCAAGAAGCAAAGCTAGGCTGCACAGCGATGGCATCTGGGAGGACGAGCTCGAGGGTCACCAAGATCCATTCGTCAATGGAACCCTAGCAGGTGACTTGGCTGTTGTGCCGCGCGTTGAACGACTGAATTTTGAGATGTGGGTAAGCTCACCCGTTGACCACGAGACTGCTTTGCACTGCTATACCGGACTGAAACCTACAAAACTCATGCCGTTTCCCCTGGAAGAACTTGGCGGGTGGCGACTGTCATTTCCGCACCTGAAGTCCCTGGTTGATCACGGAAAGCGCCTCGACAACTGCGACCTTATCCTCCTCAATGCCAGCTTCAAATTGATGGACGATTTCCCACCGCGACACTCCAAGCTAGGCATTTGCTTCGAACTCAAGTATCCAGATCCAACTTGGAAAAGTCTCCAGCAAGACGCGAAGCTCAACAGGTGGTCTTGCGTCACCTACATGTACCGTGAAGGTGTGCTCATCACCGAGCCTACTCGTGAGGAGTGCCAGACCCAAGACCACTGGAAGGTTCGACCGTTCTTCCAGTCGAAGTGGTGGGCGTCGACGTTCACCTCTCTCACGGAGGCGAGAAAAGTGGCCGAAGATTCCAAGGATCACGAGGCCATCGAGATCGCCAACGAGCAATCCCGCAGTTTCTTCCGCGGCCTCTCGATCATGCAGGAAATATATATTGTTCGCCCCTCCACCGAGAGCCACTTCGGCGACGGCGCGAAACGGGAGTCGCGAAAGAGGACGGCGATCCTGCTCTGGCAATTTTCCCAAGCAACAGCTGACAGCGTCGGAGCCACGACCTGGCAGAACCTGATTCCTCCCCCGGATCGGCTGGCAACGAACAGCCCGTTCCCGCACGGCGTGGAGATGAGCCTCCCGCCGCTCTCAATGGATTCCATTGTCGACTGTTCACCTGGCGTCGGGTCGTTCGAAAGCAATAGCCACTTCCAGCCCGAGCACGGCATGTCCTACGACCTGTACCCCGACGCAATGGACGAGGAACTGTGTCAGGATGGATTTATGGCCCTGAAGCACGACCCGATCCACGATTTCGGCCACTTGCAGTCCTCCTTCGACGTGGGCTCGAACCATGAGTTCACTAGTCTCGAACCCTCCATTCACGACACATTCGGTCTCCCGCACGCCAGTCTGCCCCCGTGGTCCCCACAAGTCGACGAGCAGGATGAGGCACTGCGCCACGCCTTGCTGGCCGCATCGGGCATGGACCTCGACGCCGGAGCGCCTCCGCCACACGCGTCGCCCGCGCCGCGGCCGCAGCAGGAGTACCAAAGCCATGCCGACACAGAGAGTCACGCACTGTAGCAATTCTCGCCATTCTGGAAACTGCCGAAGCACCTTCATGCTGTCTAATCATGGCCTGCACCCAACTCTTAAAGGGACAGGTCATAGCCAATATCCGTCCTGGTTGAGGATTGCGATCCAGTTATTTCCGCCTATCACCAACAATGATGACAGTGAGGGGCTCGAGGGAGGAAATGTCTAGGGAGGCAGGTTAGGGATGGTTGGCCCACTGCATTCCGATCGGACCACGATCGTTTCAATCGTCCCTGGCTTTGAGGGATACACGGTTTTTCAGATCTTGACACTGTTATTGGTTGAGCAGAGATGGCCCTGAGAGATTAATGTTATTCATGTCATTTTATGCCGCGCTATACCAGGTGCCTCTTTAAAGCTTCATCTAATTCTAACTCCTTTTTGTGGCACCCCCCCCCCCCCCCAACGATCGCTTTTTATATTGTGGACGCAGCGAGCTCGACTAGCTTGGCCTGGTGCTGGTGGTCTTACCAAGAAACGTGCACTCTCTGAACGCAACCTTATTTGGCGCCGCGTAGTGGAGCCGAGTGCTACTCGTATAACTGATCCATACCCAAGTCCTGCCTCCGAGTCAAGCCTACTAATATTACAGAACCGAATCTCCATATCATGACTCGGCGTCTGAATCTTTACTAGAAATCAATAACCTCATCATCGCCCGACCTTGAAAGCCCGCGCTGATCTGGAAAACGTTGCATTGAAACTAAAGTACACAGAGGCTATCTCGACACAGGACACAATTACCTCCTCGACCTCGATGACAAACCGACCGTAGCCCCAGAACTTCTTCGCACTGCGATATTGATTGACTTTCTCCCTGACTTGGGATCCTGCAAGGATTCGAAATCGATGGAGAGGTCCCTGAAGAACACGCGGCTGGACTTCCAGCCCTCCGCAAGGGCCAATTTGCTAATTGCCGCCGCCAGTCCGGAATCCTCGAGCTCTGCAACGGACACGTGTTCTCTGCCGTCCTCATCCTCTAGGTCATTTCCTTCTTCGTCCTCTTCTTTCACGGCAGCATTCTCATCCTCTTCGCTGTTGTCCTCCTGCCGTTTCTTGCTTCTCAACCGAGAAGAAGAATTGGTTTTCGCCGCCTTGGCTGAAGAGCGCGTTACGGGCTTTGGTGGCTTTGAAGGCGTCTCCGGAGGCGACGGGCTTTGATCCCAAGTTGACGACCCCTTCGGTGGTGCCGACTCTGGACGTCTCGGCAGCGCAGGTTCTGATAGATCCCTTTGACGTACTTTACGGGTGGCCGATGACGTCTGGGGAACAGCAGGGCTGCCATTGGGTGTTTTTTGGGGTGTTCTCTTTTTCGATGCAAACCGCAAGGTCCCGTTTTGGAGAAGCTGTACTGGGTGTTCTGCCAAAGACGTTAACATTGGGGCGCGTGAGAGTGAGTTACGCCATCTCCAGGCAAGTTGGGACTCGACGTCGTTGAGGAAAAATTCAAACCAGTCCATGGGTTCATCGGAATCTTGACTCCGCTCGAAAATATCCAAGGCTTCTTTCCAGTTGTCTTTCAATGAACCCGTTTCGCCTTCTATCAAATAAGGCTCCTTGAGAAGCCATGTCGTCACAACGTCGATTGTTGATATGGCAAAGCCAAGTCCACAGTCAAAGTATTCCTTGTGTTTATTTATGCACCTAGTACATTCCACCTCCTTGTTCCATTGGGAAAGTAGGCCATGGACTATTTTTTCAGCTCTGAATGCCCCTCTGAAATTTGGCGTTTCGAATATTCTCCCGGGATCAAACTTGCATTTTGCCATATCGGTGGGTCGATCTAGACTGCTAATACCGCCGTATCCAACTTTCACGAGTCCGTTTGTTCGATTGTGGGTTGCATAGATATAGCCCTCATTAGCGGCTGTCGCACACAGAGTCGCCCTGATGCCACGGATCACTGCCGTGGTTTTTTTCTTCTGCTTTCTTTGAAGTGCGGCCTGTTCCAGAAGTGCCGTCTGGGATCCTGCCGACCTGTCCGGCGTCTGAGGTACTCCATTAACCAACAAGTTGTTGTTGGCAGCAGTTGGCCTTATATGTACTGGTAGCATTTGGATTATAGCTGATGAAAATGTTGGGGTCCGTTAGATGTCTCTACCCAGTTTCCGATCGGCTTGAAGTGAAAACTGGTAAGCCGGAGGACACACCCCGTCTTGCAGTTCTTCAGACTGATGAGGGGATTGAGGGATTGAGGCCAATTCTTGTCCCAGTGGTGATTGATGGAGACGTGAACGTATAACCCAATTGGCGTAGAGGGTCTGGAAAGTCTGAAGAAGACGTTGTCGTCCGTGTGACTATACAGGAAAGCGTTGACTAGAAGAGACTCGAGATGGTCAAGACAGAGGGCGACAGTCCGCACTTGGATTTGGCTTGCCTGATATAATATCGCTCGAACCACTAGCCATGGGGGGAGCCAGGGCGCTTTGGTCATGTCGCAGTGCATGGGTGCCGTACTGTATGAAAGTCGAAGGCTGGTATCGGGGCGGTGCCGACCTTCAAAAGCAGATAGCCCCCAGCCGGAGGCGCACTTCTTTCTGAGACACAGCCTAGACGTTAGCTTTATCTAAGTAGCCTACGTACCTTGCACAGAAGCCGAACCATACTGTCCTTAGCAGATTGCACCGGGTACACCGGTCTCCTGGATGTACGGGGTACTGGGAGTTGGGAGTTGTCCGCAATAGTTTAAGGACTTTTTGCAGGATGGATACCGGTGAGGTGCACTGCCTGTGCATGCACTCTCAGAGACGAAATTGACCACTTCCTCCTTGAGCTTGACAGATGACCACAGGTCCCAGTAGCTGCATTGTTAGCCGCCTCGAAGTCTGCAGCCACATGCAACCCAGGAGTAATTTAGCGTAGACGTAGCGCCAGGAAATGGCGACTGGCATGGACGGTCGGGGTTTTTGTTTCAGCCACCTTCCTTCTCCCTTCTCCCTTGCTCACCTGGTGCCTTCCCAGTTACGCTGGGGTGCGTGTATTTGGTCACTTGGGTGTGGTAGACAGGTACGAGGTAGGTAGCAAGGGTTCTTCGCTTGGGGTTAAACTCCCTCAAGGTCAATGCTAAGCGCCAGCTTGGCAAGGCAGACTTACCTACCCCCACAGCACAATCTCGACCCAGGCTTTAGCTTTGGTCCAGGTTACAGATCAACGGGGAGTTGAGATTCCGCGGCCATTGTCCTTTTGGCGAAAGCCTAGCGACAGGTTTTGGCGGGAGAGCTCGAGGAAGCTACCATCTGTACGAGGTGTGTATCCGAATAGCCGACGAGCAGCATAAATCAGGACATGTACCTCGCACTGGTAGCGAGAAATAACCCGCTGTCTCCTTTGTGGTCCCATGACTGCAATCCCTTGAAATCAAGTGCGTACCTATCATCGAGGGTTTCAAGGTCATTTTACAGCCTGGCGATCACTATCACAGTATCTAACCCACCGTATTCGTGATTCTTCTTCCTTGCCTTTGCTTAGTCAGGAGAGAACAGTAGAAGGAAGCTACGGGCTTGAAAGACGCCTGTCTCAATGCTCAAAACGCTCCAAGCAAGTACCGGCATCGGCCGGATCGGCTTGGGGCTCGGTTACCGGGTGGAAGTGGGAGGTTGAGGTAGTAGACAATCCTCACCCTCCTACGATTGTACCCATACTCCTCGGTCAATTCAGCGAGGGACGTCTGCAATTGCGTTCTAAGCCTAAGCATAAATGGAATGATAGATACCCGCTTTCGACCAGCGCACTCAGTGGTAGAGTCCAGACATCTAGGAACAAATGTCCTCAGAATATGGAAAATGTCTCGGGAGCGTAGATGTGAGTGCACAAGGTGAGGATGGGATTGACACTGTACTGAAGCTATCTGCTTTCGCACAGGCGCCATGGGCCCCCTTATTTGGGTGTGTGTTGTCTTTCAAGGTGGCTGGCACTGTCGGGACCCCTTACAATAAGATCCTGTTTGTGATCCTGATTCACTCCCTGATCGGACTCAATATAGTCTTTTACATGGAGCACAGCCGCCGTGACCAGGAAGCATGTGATGGAGCGTCGGCAAGGCCCGACGGAGCACAGGGCTGTCGAGGAAGCCACGATGGCTACTTGCCAGTTTCGGTGCTCGGTAATGGCCCAATCCCGTGCCTTTTCCACGCTGCTGGCTGGTGATGGCACCATTTGATCGATTATTGTGATTATTCTACGAGGTACATAAGGGACCTCCTCGCTATAATCACACAACGGATCCGAGTACACTGCGTGTACAGGCTATTACAGCCACCTTGTTCCCTTGTTGCGTATTCACTCCAAACTCCTTGATGGGACTGAGATTTCATCGAAACCCCTCTGGGTAGCTTACTTAACCCACGTCAAACGCCGCTTTTCGACCTCTCCAAGAACATTTTTGTTGCAATTTGATCAGAGGAGTTGGTTCAGAGCCCAAAAAAATACCCCTCGGGCGTTTGTGGATTTTCTCTATGCAAGCGGTGGAGTGGCAAATTCCATCGGCAACTCGTTGAATTACACTGCACAAGAGCAGCTGAATATATAGGTACTCAGCGTGAGAAAGACGCCAGATATCAAACGAACTTGGTCTTTAGTGACACTGATGATGTCGCCACGGGGAGTTTACAGATCATGGGAGGGCCATCTAACACCTTCTGGTCCGATATGTTCCTCTTCTACGACAAATCAATGGGCATCCACTTACCGGACTTCGTCGCGTTATCGAAGTGACAGACTAAATATTGTAGAACATATAGAACATCAGGAACACAGGACGCGCGTGGTTGAAAGAGCCACTTGTGGTCCCTAAAAACAGGAATACGGAAAGCATACTCTCTACTGTGCAGGCTATGGAGTTCTGGCCAATATAAGGATGGGTATCTGGGCAAGAAACGTGATAAAGGACCCAAGACGACGGGGGAGATCACATCTCCAGGAGGTCAAGACATTGAAACAACAGCATTGATTGGCTATATGAATCTCAAATCACCACATGCGTCCAGCAGTCTCGTGGACACCGCGACTTTCATGGCAGGACACGGGTCATTGGCAATCCCCCTAAGTCTCTGACCTCTCGCAAACAACATCCACACCAAGAGAGACTTGCTCGGTCCGTGGATGGGACAGCGTCAGGGAGACCAACAAATCCCCGCTCAGCACCGAAAAGAATGGTCGAAGTCCTTTGTGGGTCGAGGCTTCACGAATTGTGGTTTAATGCTGTGTGGCCAACGTCAGCACACTGGCTTTCCAAGAGGCTCTGCTTCAGAGGTATCGACTTACTCCGCAGGAGGTGCATTTGCAGCCAGGGCCGCAGTTGCAGCTGCTGGGGCCGGAACAAGTGCAGGGACCCATGGTGGAGATGGTTGTTGTTGGTGATGAAAAACTTTTGTGTTGGTTATAGGGTTGTTTGTGATCCGAGGTCGATGGGATACAGACCGGAGAAGATTCAGTGAGTCGATGAGAATGGAGAAAACGAAGCCACGGAGAACCGAGGGGACCACCAATACTTATACAACAAACAGAAGCAAGTCGAGTCGGCCAGCACAGCGCCCTGCGTGCTTTCTGCGTTTTTTCAAACCAATCAAGGCAGAACGCAGTGTGCCGTTCTACGTTGCCTGGACGAACCAGATCGACCCGAATCGAAGGGCAAAGGGAGGCGGCCAACCAGCACGAAGTGACCGTCCTGGCAAAACCGGCTCTCGGCTTTGGTAGACGGGGTAGGAGGAAGGCGGCGTGGGGTCTGGGCGTGGTTGTGGTGAGCGATCTTTGCGTCTTCGACATCCTGTCAGCAGGCGTGGTGGTTTGTCTGATGGTGGAGTTAGCCGGACCAGCGCAGCTGCGCCTTCATTGGTCCAAGATCAGGGTTTCAGGGGGTCAAGGTTTACGCACAATGGACTCAGGGGCTCGGCACCGCGCACAAACGGCTCAGGGTTCACGAAAGGCTCGGATCGAGGTGATTCACGCCCCGTGGTGCTGGACGAAGGCGACGACGGAGAGGCCATGAGTATCTGTGTGCATCTCTATTGACAAGAAGCCGAGACAAGAAAGCGCTATGAACGAGCAAGACATGGTGGATGACCACAAGAGAGCTATCACCTCGACGGTGAAGGAGAACAGGCACGACAAATCATCTCACATGCGTCTGGGCTTTTGTTCGTCTAAGTGTATTCATACATCTCTTCCCAACTCAGGAGGCTGTATCCCTCTGCAAACCGGCTAATGGGACAGTCGTGATCTGCGCTTACAAAAAGAATGGAACAGCAAGACCGGCGGCAGCGATGAGGCCTTGGACCAATTGAGGCCCGTTCGTTGGGGCAGCCAGACCAGCTGAGCTGGACGAGGCGGCGCTTCCCGAGGCGGTGGCAGACGCTGATGGGGAGGAAGTCGCTGACATGGTTCCCGAGGCTGAAGATGACGAGCTGGTGTCGAAGTTATTCTGGTTGGTGAGGGTTGCCGTCAACCCAGTCACATTTGTGCAGCTGGAGCTGACCGTTGAGTTGACGCCGGTGACGAAGTTGACGGCTGCGCACTGTGAGGTTCGATGTGTCAACACACTTTGCCCGGGACGAACGACGCGATGGATTTTTTCTTTCGGTTATTCAGCTTACCTGGTACAGAACACCGTCGGGCCCGTTCTGGATGACTTGGATAACGCCCTTGTTGCCGGCAAAATCCGCCGGGGCGACGAGTTGCGGCAGGCAGAATTGACCCAGCCCCGTCTCTGAGACGACGGGGAGCAAGTTGGTCCAGTTGAAGGGTGCCTTCTGGTCGAGGGTGACGCGGAAGAGCCAGTCGGCGGCGGGATGGGTGCTCAGCATGGACACTGGGAAGCCGCCGACAGGGATAGAGTCGTCGGTGCTGTTGAAGACCACGTCGAAGCCGCCACAGGGCGCCGTCGATTCAATGTCATCGTCGAAGCCGAGGGACTGGGGGTACTGGAGGATGAAGTGGGCGGAGGTGCAGAGAGCCCAGGCGGACAGGAGAGAGAGATGAGGGAGGAAATGCATTTCTCTGAGAGGGTGGAGGGTGAGAGCAAGAGGCAGCAGCTGGTGGAATGTATGAAGGGAGGCAAGAAGTGATGGCCAAGCGATGCGGCTCTCTGTGGTCTGCGGTCTGCGGTCTGCGGTCTGCGGTCTGTTGTCGGTGTCTGGCTCTTTTTCTTTGGTTTTTCTTTTCCGTCGAACTCTGCTCGGCGCCCTCGCCCTCTATATTGACCTTGGGGAGCAGCCAGAGATTATGATTCCACGCGTTGGTGCTCCAGCTTCACCTCACCGTTTCCTCACTTGTGTCTTGCCCCCCGTTGCATGGCGCTAGTCGCGGTGAGCAAGTTTCGCAGGTGGGGCCCTCGAAGACGAGCAGGTTTTCCAGCCAATCACGTGCCGAGGGGCCCTGCGCTGAGCGGTCGTGGGCCACAGTGAGCAGACGCCAGCGAGCAGCAGCTTCACCAAGCACGCAACTCTCTCGACGCTCATCCCTTTATTAGTTGCGCTCCATCTCACCCACTGCATCCCACCGCCATGCCGCTGCCGACCTGCTCCTCCCCCTCCGCTTCGGATACGAGTCCAAACTGCTCAGCAGCGCGCGCGCCGGGGGATCGCCGCCCTTTTTCTTGCTCACTTCTCCGTCTCGTCAACCGCGCTGGACCGGACGAGCACGTTTCCCATGTTTCGGATACCAACGCCTCTCTCACTGTGTCTATTCTTACCCCATGCGCCTGGAACCATGATGACACAGATGGACTAAAAAGGACTCCGTAATCTTCTTTGTACCTACTGTGCAGTCGTTTCCCGACACCTAACTACATACTTTGATATCTGCGGCCGCCATCTTTCGTCCCTTGACTGACGAGGCGTTTCTCTGCACACCAACGACCGGCCAACCACTACTACCACCACCACCACCGCAAATTCAAGCGCCAACATGGACATGTCAGGTATGTCCGGCATGGGCGGCATGGACATGTCCAGTGCGGGCATGTTCACGCCGACGAATAAAAAGGTGGCGCATCTGTACTGGTACTTGGTCACTGCAGTGGTTGGTGTACTTGTCGTTCGGAGGGTGGTAGATCGACTCAGAATCCTCTTGAAGTAGGTAAAATCCACACAAACAGTTCGTGGTATGAGAGTGACTGACGCCGCCACTAAGTAAACGAAAATCCCAGCACCAACCAGGACAGATTCCAGGCAGACCGCAAAATGCCCTCGAGCAACTCTACGACACCACCATAGCCGTCTGCAGGGAGCTGGCATACCCGCAACTGTGGACGTGCACCGGCAAATTCACCAAATATTTCACTCCCCCGTCCTTGGGGAGATGTCTGCTGCTCCTCACCTATTGGGCTGTCATTCTGACAATGCTGTGGTCGAATGTTCTCCTGACTCCCTCCTCGCCCAACTACGCCTACAAGTGGGAGATTGTGGGGTTTCGTGCGGCTTGGGTCTCGGTCACTCAACTACCCCTGATCTACATTTTATCTGGGAAAGCCAACATCATCACCATCCTCACCGGCATCTCGTACGAAAGATTAAACTGGTTGCACCGTTGGGTCAGCCGCACCATTTTCCTGACCGTCATCGTCCACTGGTCTTACTTCTTTACTGAGTGGTCTATTGCCGACTTTGTGAGCTTGGAGCTGGAATGGATGCCCATGGTCAAATATGGATTTGGTGCTTGGGCGACACTGGGATGGATGGTGATTACCGGATTTGGCTTTGTCCGGAATCTCTCCTACGAGCTCTGGTTCCTGCAGCATCTCGCGGCAGCCATGGTCTTGTTGTGGCTCGTCCATTCTCACGTTCCTTCTTATGCGCAATACAACGTGTGGTTTGCGATTGGCGTCGTTGTGTTCGACAGACTTGTCAGGACGGTCATGTCTTTGGTGATCAATCTACATCTCCTGCCCAGCAAAAGAGACAGCGTCCCGTCCGGCCGACGGATCGGGTATGAAGCCGAGGTCAAGGCTCTTTCGGGCGAGTTTCTCCAGGTCACGGTGCGAAATGTCGCAATGTCGTGGCGACCCGGTCAGCACGTGTACCTGTCCATTCCTCGCGCTGGAATCGTGGAAGCACACCCCTTTACCATTGCCAGCGTCCCGAAATCGATATCAGGAGAGAGTGGTCCGAACAATGTTGTGCTATATTTGCGGGTGCACAATGGATTCACCAGAAGGCTCTACCGGCGATGCCAAAACCAGCTGACATCACGGACCTTCCTGTCGTTCATCAGTGGACCGTGGGGAAACCCTCCCTCCGTTGAACGATTTGAATCGATGGTCTTCGCTGCTACGGGCAATGGCGTGTCCTTTACGCTGCCTATCTTCCAACAAGCCGTTCTAACGAATAACAATCTACGACAAATTTCCTTCATTTGGATCTTCCGGCAAGCGGAGCAACTCGACTGGTTCAAGGCAGAGTTGCTCTCGGCCTGGATGGCAGCCCGACAGCGAAACATCAGGATAAACATATACGCTTTCATTACTGGAAGTGGACAGTCTCGAAGCGTGTCACCATCAGAGAGTAATCTACTGCTCGAGCAAACATTAGCTTCAAACCTATCATCCGCAGAGAAGCTGGCCGACCGCGCCCCTATAATGGACAAAACGCCAAACCCCATCAAGCTGTCCATGGAAAAGAGGGACATAGGCAGTGTGAGCGAGAACTCGGTCTCCTCGACCTCATCACTGAACGAGCAGCCCACAATACAGGTCGGCTACGGTCGCCCGGATTTTGATTCTCTCATTCATCCCGTGGTGGAAGCGGCGTGGGGCGAGACAGGAATCCTCGCTTGCGGTGGCAGCCATTTTTCGGGGCAGCTGAGGAATTATGTTGCAAAGCTGTCTGACGAGAGAGCCGTGCACAAGGGAACGGGCGCTCAAGGCATATATCTGTTCTGTGAGACTTATGGATGGTAAAAGCATAGCGACGGTTGTTTAAGACTATATATTATGCATTTAGATATGAGATATGAATCCCGACAATTACTGTGTTCTTGAACTCCGCCTCCCCGTCTTGTTCCCAATACTGTCTGCAATCTCTCCCCTTGTCGCTGTGTACCTAAGGCCGTCACCCGCGCCGTGCCCGCCGTTGGTGCTCCCTGCTCGACTCCCGTCCTCAATGCACGCCAAGGTCCCACTCGCGCTCAGCACCAGCATCAACTGCAGTCCCGGTCTACATACGGAGCATTGCCAAGGATGCCAAGAACCGAGAGGAATAGACCGTCCAGATGAGCAAGTTTATCATTATGTCTGTTCTGCCTCCCTTGCCAATGAGAAGGCGCAACATTGGTCGGGGCGGCCACTCGTGGAGAGTGGATGCTGCTGCAACCATTTTCTTTCCGGCCCAAGCCCAGATGGTCGTGTAGCTAGAGGTCCGAAAAGTGGCATTGGCTGGGAGAGAGGATAGGGAATGCTCGTTCAAGGCAGGGGGAAAGAAAGTACAAAAGGTCGAGAGGCCGCGGGGCTTGAAGCCTCGAATCACCCAGGTCCAGAATTCTCTTCAACTTCGTCTGAATGCACCTGATCTTGAAGGCGTAATCCTGTGCCAGTCGAAGTCGAGTCTACACTACTCTCCCACGTGGTCCCAGTATGAAGCTCTTCATTGCTGCTCTCCTGGTCGCGGCCAAGGTGGTGTCCGCCCACTTCGAGCTCCAATACCCATACTGGCGAGGCGACTCCTTCCTGCCGCCTGCGTCTCAGTATATCTTCCCATGTAAGTCGCCTCAGAGCACATCCTTCTCCCTGCCACCACTACCGGTAGGCCTCAACTTCATCGCAGTCGACTGAGCGTGGGTGCTGGCACAGGTGCAAACGTCAATACCACCGCCGAATCCAACGCCAACCGCACCCTCTGGCCCCTCGACGGCGGCTCGCTGGTGATCGATTTCCACCACCCATGGACGTATGTCGCATTCAACCTGGGCTTCGGCTCGGACATCGCGACCTTCAACATCTCCCTGAACCCCATGCTCCTCAACGAGACGGGCAACGGGACCATTTGCATTCCCAAGTGGACGCTCCCCGCGGACCTGGGCATCGTCGACGGCATGGACGCGTCCCTGCAGGTTATCACGATCGGGGACAGTGGGACTGCTCTGTACAACGTACGTCCTTCTTCCCTTGCCCGAACTTCCCTCGGCGATTGAGAGGAACCAACCCTTAATTAAGCCACCAGCTCACTGACTGGCTGACTGACCATGTCGTCGATGTTTTTAGTGTGCGGATATCAGATTCAGCGCCAACGCAACGACCTTGTCCGGCGACCAGTGCCAGAACTCGACGGGCGTTGAGATCTACCCGCTCGTTCAGCAACAGGCGAATGGATCCACTGCACAAGCGACAGCCACTGTCACGGTGACTGCGAGTGCAGCTGCGGCTACGTCGACCAATGGTGCGGCGAGGATGAGCACACAACATATGGCAGGCCTTGCTTGGAGCATTGGGTTCGCTCTTATCGTGACATATGCACTCGGGTTCTAGGGGCGATGATAACTTGGTGGCAGCGCAAGTCGGCGATTTTGCACTTTGCACTTAGAGCGGAAGAGCATCAAAATAGAGCGGCCTTCAGCTGGACTTGGCACAAGTTTGGCCTCGCAAAGGATGCAAGCTGAATTGCTCAGATATAGTTGCCTTTCCGGCAAAAGCGCACAGGTTGAGCAAGGTCTCTGGGGCTCGAAAGCCACTCGGTCCCCGACTTTGATTTCTGTTTGTTGTGCTGCAATTGCTCCGACTGCGACCCCCTCTCCTGCTCCCTCGTGGCCCAAGACCAAAGGACTCTCAACGATGAATGATCCATTTCGGCCGTGCTGGGAGTAGTGCAGATCCGTACCACAGATTCCGGTGGCTCGAGGCGCGATCTCTGAACTTCGTTGGGCTCTGTTGCTCGTTACTCCGCTCCAAGATTGGAATTCCTTCAGAGGTCGTGTATTATATTGAAAAAAGAGAATCTTCTTCCCAGAGACTAGGGACTGTGTCAGCTTCCCCCTCCAGATGCTGTGATCTGAGGTGTTGAACCACAGGGTAACAGGAGGATCAAAGGCACGTTTCCTTGTTTTTTCCACACTTGAATTCGCGCGGCAGCATGATGTATTGCCTTGTGTGACTTACGCCTGATATGCTGCAACAGGGTATAATCAAGACTTCCTCCCGAGCGATTAAAGCCAAGCGCAACTTAAGTTATCTATATTTCGCTGGTGTCACTCGGGTTTCGCATCTGACCCCCTCCTCAGGGTACAGGATGCTGTTGTCAAAGCCAGTATAGGCTATTATGAGGGTGAGAACTGGTACAATTCAGTCTATGGAAGATGAGAGAAGATGTCTCAACTATATAGACCGGGGATTTCCCACCTAGGAGCGAGTAGGGGGGTCACGTCATTTTGCCAACAAATTCGCTCTATTTCATTTATGTGCTTTCTAATGCCTATACAGCGACAATTGAATCTATTTGAGATCTCCCGTATGATTCGAAGCCTTTTCTTGTAGCCATTCTTCAGAAAATCCGTAGTCGATGTAGCCATTCGGGCTCTTGACTTTGTAGAAAGTGTCGCGTTGATATGGTGTCAGGGCCAGATTCTTCGCAGCTCTATATGGCAGGTCGGGATTTGAGATAAAGAATCTGCCAAACGCAATTGCTATGTCCCCGTCCTTGAGAGTGGTGTCAAGTGCTTGACTGGCAGTCGCCGGTGTATAACCTCCAGCGAGGATGATGGGGCTGCACTTCTGCCAAGCGGCCCTTGCGAAGTCGAGGCTATCCGTCTCAAGTGTCTTCGAATGTAAATCCACGTTTCCAGACACACGTGGTTCAATCAAATGGAGATAAGAAAGACCGAAGGTTTTCAGCTTCGAAATGAGATAGGTGAATTGAGGGATTGGATCCTCCATGCGCATTCCTTGGAAGGTACTGAAAGGCGACAGACGAATGCCCGTCCGTTCAGGGCCAATAGCGTCGCAGACTGCACGGACAATCTCGAGGCAAAATCGCGATCTGTTCTCGATGCTTCCTCCCCATTTATCGGTGCGTTGATTGCATGTGTCCTGGGTGAATTGGTCGATCAAATAGCCATTTGCTCCATGTATCTCGACGCCATCGAACCCAGCTTCGATAGCATTTTCAGCTGCCTGCGCAAAATCGTCGATACAATTCTGAATTTCTTCTTCCGTCATAGGTCGCGGTGTCGGATGCTCTGCGCTAATAGGGATTGCGCTGCTGCTGAGCATCTCTAGCCCTGCCTTCTCCAAAGCACTTTTCCGTGCAGCTCTTCCAACATGCCAGAGCTGGACGTATATGAAGGAACCTCGGTCATGCACCTCGCGAGTCACCTGCCGCCAATGATCGATCTGAGCCTGCGTGAAAATACCAGGCGCATTTTCATCCCTTCCACGTGATCTCGCCGCTATAAAATTGGATTCTGTGATAATGAGCGTCCCAGGAACAGAAGCCCGCTGTGAGTAGTATTCTACCATCATCTCTGGCGGAACATGCTCATCATCGGCCCTGAGACGCGTCATGGGAGCCATGACGATGCGATGTTTCAGAGAGCACATCCCGATTTGTAAGGGCTCAAAAAGCCGTGTCATGTTGGCAGATCACAACCTTCAATCTGTTCTTTTCTTGAAGTAGAACTACCTGTCGTGTCGCTGTCTTGCGTGCAGTGCGTGCAGCGTTGTCTTGCGGACTTCTTATGGCGACTCCATACTGTAACAAAAGTTCAGACTACTCATTGCTATTTCTATTGACTTAAGGTGTCGAGATAACGCCCTGCGGAGATTTGCCGTCCGTCGTCTCCGCATCATTTTCACCGGAAAATCGGACCCCGCACACTCTGGATATTCTTCGGCCACCTCCATTCATGTACCTTCAACCTCAGGGACGCTGGTCAGCTATACAATGCTGAACCGACATCACAAGAGAAAGGGTGCATCTGTGAAGCACAAATTCGACACTCTTGGAACAGAGTGGATGGCGACGGACTTGACCTCCCAGAGACTCACAATGTGGTGCGTGTACGCCTTATCGATACCACGGCCGTCATGACCGTCAAAGCACAAGCTTTCATTGAGTCTGTGGTCCCTGGACTGCAACAGATTGAAATACCAGATGCAGCCTTCCTCATTGACAATGAGGCCACCGGGCAGAAGGTGTTGTTCGATCTCGGAGTCCGCAAGGACTACTGGAATCTTCCACCCGTTCTCCTTAGTCTTCTTGCTCGTGGCGTCAGTGTTACCTCTCTCAAGACACAGAACGACATCACGGAGATCCTGGAAGACAATAAGATTGATCTTGGAGAGATATGTATGTCATGGTATTGACTTAGCAACAAGATCTACAGTTTGCATGCTGACACGGACTAATGCTCTCTCGAAATTACTAGCTTTTAATGGCCCCATTGACATCTACCTTCATGTAATCAATCTGACCTACCCGCCATGTCTCGGGGTCATCCAACCTCAGAGGGCTCCCCAAACTAATCTTTCTGACTTGTGACATTCCCCGCCACCGTCCCGTGGGCGTCTTCAAACCTCGCCCACGCGCTGTTCAACCCATAGACGACCGCATTTACAGTTACAGCGGGATTGAGATCGCCCGAGCTGATCTTCAGGGTATCGAGCTCCTGCTCGGGAAAGAACGTCACCGTGGCAGACGACTCGCCGCCATTAATGAAAACCTCGAGGATACTCCGGTCGATCACGCCCTCGACGCTCCAGGTGAGCGACGACGCCGAGGAATTGTACGGACAGCTCGTCGAGAACTTGTCGGTGAAGAACGGGTTATCGAACCCCCTGACGTTGCCGCGGTCGATGAAGAAGGCGCTGTCCGGGGCGAGGAAGTAGCCTGCCTTGAGCGACTCGCCGGAGCGGGACGACGAAAACGTGAAGTTGGCGGTGCCCGTGATGTTGGCCACGGGGATGTTGGTGATGTTGATTTGGAAGTACAGCGCCCCGGAAGTCACCGAGGAGTAATCGAGGCTCACGCTGCCGTTGCCCATCGTCTTTCGGACCAGGGCCGTGGTGTTGATCACAGGAGCCAAGCTGGATGGCGCCGACACCAGATCATAGCCAACCCGGCTGACGTTCTTCAGGTAATTGACGCGGGGGAGCGACATGGACGAACGCCAGCCCTCCGAAGGTCCCGTGGGGACCACTTGCGAGTACTGCCAGTTGCTCGTCCAGGCGATGGATATTTGGTCTTGGTCTCCGGGGATGCCATAGAAGAACTGACCTGCATAATTGTCTTTGCCGAAATCACCAATCCGTGCCGCGCCATCGACCGGTGTGAAGACGGAGCCATTAAACGAGCCTGGGAAGTACTGGGTTATCGAGCCACCGAGGGGAGCGCCGGGATTGATGCTCACGGCGAGCAAGTACATCGGCTCCTTTTGGCCCTCCATCCGAATCTCCACCAGGTTGGGGCATTCGTACTGGTCACCAAGCAGGCCATAATGAGAGAAGTTGTAGACATGCTGCCAATCCTTGAGGTTGTCGGACGTGAAGAAGCCCACTGTCAGAGCCTGCGCGTAGGCAACCACCATCACCCATTGCTGCGTGGGCGCGTGCCAGATGACCTTAGGGTCGCGGAACTGGCTCGAGTTGTCGCTAAGGACCGGGTTACCAGAGTAGGGTTGGAAGGTGTAGCCGCCATCAATAGAATACGAAAGTGCCTGTGTTTGCGATGTGGGAGTGTTGATGGTGTACACAGCCACCACACCATTGTCTTGATGTGGGAAGAATCCTGATGTGTTGTTCACGTCCACTACCGCCGACCCCGAGTAGATGTTGGAATGTGCGTCGGGAGGGAAGATGGCGATTTGTTGGTTCACCCAGTGGTATAGATCTTTGGAAGTCGCATGGCCCCAATGCTGGTTGCCTGCCACGACGCCTGTCGGATTGTCTTCTTACATTCAGTAAGGGGGCATTTTTTGGGAGCGGGCTGCACACGTACATTGATAATACAGGTGGTACGTGCCGTTCGCATCGACAAACATCCCATTGGGATCATTCATAAAGTCCTTGGGAGGGGAGAAATGGACTTGGGGGCGGAGAGCACCACTATAGTTTCCGGAAATTGGAACTCCTGTAGGAACCGAAGGCTCGACATATTTGGGAGTCTGAGCGTAGGTGGATGCAATCAAGGCAGCACATGCTATAAAGAGTAACGAAACCATGACAGCTAGCAGGCGAAGTGAGCTTCAGGGACTCGATACTAGATCGCAAAGCATTTGCTTCCTGTCCCCTCATGAGCTTAAATACATTGGACCACCGAAGCAATATTGATGTCTGTGCGGAGTCACGTCCTGTCTTGCAGCAAGATGCCGACGTCATTTCTCTGGGAAAATCCAGTGCGAATCATGTCAAATTGCGCGTGCAAAGTACGCACGGGCACCGTGCTCATCGCTCTCTGAGTCAAGAACCTGCGAGATAATCGGACCGATTAGAAAGAAGAAAATACCACTTGAAGCAGAGAAAGAGCTCCTAACCGGTCTTGTCCGTAATTCTGCATGCTGGTCTCCCAATGTTGCGGGGTACATGGTCCATACATGGGCTGCTGCATACGAAACAAGGATGTTTATTGGCTTGAAACGGGAGATGATGCATCAATCTATCTCAAAAGGTATTGGTTTCCTATTGTTCAGTCGAGCCAAATGCACTTTAACGCAGGAGCTGGGGCAGGGTCTCGTGCGAGGCTGCCCATTCCGAGCTTTGAGTGAAGGTGGTTGAAAGCCTCTCAGGCTCTGAGAGGGATCTGATTGGGCAACGGTGTTCCGTCGTCGGCATGTCGGCTACCAAGGTTTCAAAAGCCGCCATTGCGGGGCAGAACTTGGTCACGTGGACGCCCTTGAGTGGCTAGCTCGGTGAAATACGGAGAAATAATAACCCGCGCCGCCCACCGCTCTCCACCGGGCCCCCCAGCTTTTACCCCGTGGTCGTCTTAATCTAGCACAAGCTGACGGACGCCAGACAAGCATTTCTCTTCTGTCTGGGCTCCCCGCTTCAACTTCCCTAGCGATGAGCGCATTGTGCAACCTCGCGTCGAACTTTCCACCGTGAATTCTACCAACGAGGACACGGGATCGGCTGCGCTGATGTGACCCAAGTCTCTGAACCCTGGACCAGGACATTTCACGACCGCAAAGCTAAGACATGAATGGACAACGGCGTGTGATCTGTGGAGGGGGCCAAGGATCCAGCTTCATGCAGAATTGGGAATATTTCGCCGACACTCGGCGTAACAGCACTCAACCACTGCTGTCAACCACGACATTCAATGCGTTTGACGCTGGACGAGCTCCCTGAGCACATGCAGCATGTGTATTTATACCCGAGCGGCTTCCCCTCCCACGCCGTTCTCAAGATATAGGTTGGGAACTCGCAACCTTCAGCTTTTTGACTTCTCATATATTATCTGTCCCATTGTGAGCAGAGAAGCTCCCTAGCTACGACATCATGGCTATCCTCTTCTCAAAGCCTGCGGATACCCCAGGCTCTGCCTTGCCTGCGATCGTCATAGGATGTTTCGTAGCGTTTGGCGGTGTCTTGTGTAAGTCCCCCATACCACCCGACACCCGAATGCCGTTTCCCAGCTCTGTTGTATTTCCACAAGCTCTTGCTGACGTTCACATTTGATTGCAACAGTTGGCTATGATACAGGCACGATAGGCGGCATATTGGCAATGAAGTACTGGAGGAACCTCTTCTCGACTGGGTATATCAACCCAAAAGATCATTACCCAGACGTGACGGCGAGTCAGACATCTGAAATTGTCTCCATCTTGTCAGCTGGCACTTTCTTCGGTGCCCTGTTCAGTGCCCCTATAGCAGATTTCATGGGTCGCCGGCTAGCTAGTAAGTCTCTCTGCGCAATCCTGTCCCAGCTACCCCCTGGTCATCCCTGTTTCACTTCTACTATTATTGTGAAGCTATGGAACTTATACTGACATATCCCTCAAGTGATCTTCAACACTGGCGTCTTTACGTTTGGTGTTATTCTCCAGACGGCCGCCACCGCAATTCCGATGTTCGTCGCCGGTCGTTTCTTCGCCGGCCTCGGTGTTGGTCTCCTGAGCGCAACCATTCCACTATATCAGTCAGAGACAGCACCAAAATGGATCAGAGGAGCCATTGTCGGCTGTTATCAGTGGGCCAGTAAGTCTCCTATACCTCAAGCATATGACAAGGCTTCTCGGCAGCGTTCGCGACATACTGACGCTTCCTTACAGTTACGATTGGTCTCTTCCTTGCGGCCATTGTCCTTAATTCTACGAGGAACCGTAATGATACAGGATCTTACCGGATCCCTGTCGCTGTCCAATTCGCATGGGCCATCATCTTGGTGGCTGGCATGCTGATCCTCCCCGAAACTCCACGTTACTTGATCAAGAAGGGAAATGGTGAAAAAGCCGCAAAGTCCCTCGCCCGCCTCCGTAGACTTCCTACGGATCACCCTGCGATCGTTGAGGAACTGACCGAAATCATTGCCAACCATGAGTACGAGATGGCCATTGGCACAGCCTCTTACCTTGCCTGCTTCAAAGCTCCCATCAGGAAGCGACTGTTCACCGGGATGGCTCTCCAGGCGCTTCAACAGCTGACCGGTGTTAACTTCATCTTTTACTATGGCACGACCTACTTCACAAGCGCTGGCATACACAACCCGTTTATCATCTCCGTCATCACTGACGTCGTCAACGTCTGCAGCACGGTTCCTGGTCTGTGGATGGTCGAGCGTTGGGGGAGACGACCGCTGCTTCTCTTCGGTGCCATTGGCATGTCCGTCTGTCAGCTTATCGTCGCGAGCGTCGGCACCGCCAGACCTGGTGAGCCAGCCGCCAGCAATGCCTTGATCGCTTTCGTCTGTATCTACATCTTCTTCTTCGCCTGCTCGTGGGGCCCTTGCGCGTGGGTTGTAACCGGTACGTTGCTCTCTCGTATCAAATATTGCGATCCTGCTGACTCTTGCTCAGGGGAAATCTTTCCATTGAAAGCCCGGGCGAAAGGCTTGTCCATGACCACAGCCTCAAACTGGTTGCTCAATTGGGCCATCGCCTATGCCACGCCGTACATGGTGAACCCGGGCCCCGGGAATGCGTGAGTACCTTCAAGCTATCGTGCCAAGTGTCCTTGTCTGACTGTTCCACAGGAACCTTGGCTCCAAGGTTTTCTTCGTCTGGGGCGGATTCTGCTGCATCTGCTGCGCATTCGTATATTTCTTCATCTACGAGACGAAAGGGTTGACCCTCGAGCAAGTCGACGAGCTCTACGCGAAAGTCAGCTCCGCCAGAAAGTCGCCTGACTTTGTTCCAACTGTCCGCTTCACCGAGGTCAAGGACATGGGAGCAAACGAGGCTCGTCGCAGCACCTTGGCAGATCTTGAGCAGGCTGCAGTTCGTCGGAAGAGCTCGGCTGGCGTCCATGAGGAATATGTCAAGGCTTAAGGCTTGTTAGCTAAGCATCAGCAGCGCGGAGACTGATAAACGTTCAGTTTGGAGATGCGCAGACAATTACAACAGGATGGATGTCGTTGGAACTCCTACGAGGTGGATGGTCACACGAATTACCTTTCCCAAGCCTATGCTGTTGCTGGGTCACTAGGCATTGTGGAATTTTGGCCCGGAGCTGGTGGCCGGCGGTCTTATGCAAAGAATACTATCTTGACTATCTTAGATAAACGCACTACAGTTTCGTGGGCGTAGAGTGGCCTCTCGGCTTCTCCCTGATTGTTAACTTCGCACTTTAACCTACCAAATCACAACCTTGTGTCCAAGAATACATAGCTGGAAATCGGAGCGCGGACTCTGCGGTGATGCGTCTGAACATCCCTGGATCGAGCACCATCCTACATCCTGGGTGCCATCTGGTACTGTTTCATCACATTCTAGTGCCCTTCCCTCATTTTGCTTTACTTGCACGGATCTTGCCTTTCTGGACCCGAGTATCCACCACGTGGGTGGTTGAGACGCGCCACAAAAACAAGTCTCGGGGCGTCGAATCTCGAGAGAACCGCAGGCCACTACTCTGTACTAAGCGGACGCCACCTTTCTGGCCTGCAAGGTGGGACCATGGCTTAGCTATCGCAGCAATAAATACGCCAGGGGGAAAACGACAGTGTTCGCCACCGTCGCATCGCTACCTATGCAAGGGGTCGCTGATTTCTGCATAAAATTTCTCCCTGCGTCAGGCGAAATGAAGTGGCAGATGCCAACGCCAAACCGCGCAGCTACGCAGATGTAGTGGCAAGACGGGCGAAATGCGCGAATAACGAAAGGCTTGATGAGGCTTGGAGAAAGCTTGAACAACCTAACTTTAGGCAAGGCAGATCTCACCGTTTGACTGGCGCAATGCTTATCTTCCTGCCTCGACAGCTACTTGTAGGCTCGACAACCCCGGACCCATCATGTGCACGTCCCCCAAGCGAAGATTGTCGGCGCATCGATATCATTGGAGAGGCTACGGGTGTTGACGTATCCGTCGCTGCACAGCCCCCGGCAGTCTTACATACATAAAACGCGGAGATTGCTATCGCACGACTCTGCTACGCCCACAGGTCCCCATTATGGAGTCGAAACAAAGGAGCACCAACTTTGAACAAAGGAAAGACAGCAACTCCACTGATCAGGTATCTGATTCCTCTCAGAAAACCGCGGGTCGGTATTCCTGCACTCGCTGCGGCCAAACGATGGACTCAGACCGTGAGGGTGAACACGAAGATTGGCATCTTGCACTGGAAATGCAGGCGCACGAAGACGAGGGCGCTGTAGCTGCCGCAAGTACGACTCAGGCCACTAAAGCTCCATTGCTGGACCTTAAACCAGCCGTCGACGCGAAAAGGGATCATCCTCCTGCTTATGCGCCGCCATCGCATCCGCCGCCGAAGAAAGTCGCGAGCCGGACAACGGCAGTGCGTCCCCATACCAATCAGGTCATTGAGGCTGGCAAAGTTCGTGCTAGAGATGAGGTTAGTTTGCGTTTTCAACCAGATGCGACCATCGCAAACCACCAGGCTAATGTTTCCAATAGCAAAAAATGCAGAATGCCTTGCAAAGGCTTCAATACCAGTATCAAATCTACAACAGTGAAATCGAGCCTGAACACGAGACAGACTCATACTGCAGCTGCCCCATCCATGTCTATCAGAGTATGAAAATGGGCCGGTACGGAGTGCAGGATATGTGGTCAAAGGCAGTCATGTATCCCGGTCAGCATTGTCGTTTTGATGCTCTTCGCGCCCTGTGTGAATCGGCTGACCCCTTCGTCTTCTGCTCGACTAGGCGAGAAGGCTTATAATGATAACCCTCAGAGTCTGGGCATAATTAGTCGGAATCCTTACAGACTTCGCGTTGTGTCGCCATACGGTTACACGTATTCTAGTTGGAGCGTGCCAACCCCTCGGCCAAAATACCACGCCATGTCCATCCACCAGACCATTGCCCTCAATAATCGCCTGAATGCCGAAGCCCAAGCCAAGATTGACGCGTTGGAACCAACGGTCGATATCTGGAACGATGCCGCCCTGGAAGCCGCAATGTCTCAGTTGAGCGTCATGGCAGCCAATGACAAGAAGCGATCCACCAAGGCAGGCGGTGAGAAAGATTCAGACGAACTGCCACAGAAAGGGACCTCTTCCTCTGCGGATGCAGGTGTAGAGAGGCCCGCCAAGGCATCGAGGCTTTCAAGTTTCAGGCAGGCCATCGGCATCAAATCTTCGCAAGAGAAAGCAGTCGGAAAGGCCGAAAAGATGGTGGATCGAGGCCATGAGCTTCGCAACGCAATTCTGGCTGAGGAGGAAGGCAGGTGGCCTGACGAGCAGTGGCGGCACATTGTGGCAGTATACCAGGAGAAGGTGGGCATGACCGGAAAGATTGCTTACCTTCGAGCTCGCCAGCCCATCCAGTATCTCCATCTACTGAGGGCCGGCTACTTTGAACCTATCCCTGTCGCCTGGGCCACCCAGGCTTCCAACCCACTAAAATTCAGCATTGAAGCAGCCGCCGGATGGAGGGGGATTACCCCTGCCTGGCGAGGGTACGAGGACACCGCCGAGGAGCGGCTCTACTGGGTCTTGAACCACCGAGAAGGCAGTGTTGGATTGAGGATGAAGCCAGACTTTATTTCCGAGATGGACATGGCTCGTGCCAGAATGGCTACAGCGGTCGAGCCGCCTCCCGAGTACTACTCAGCCACCGACACTTGCCACCTCCAACATACCTCTGTCGGCTACTCCAAACAAGTCATGCCTAAACCCTTCGTGGCTTACGATCGACCTGAGGTGCCGACAGACGACACCATGATTCTTTTGGATGTCTCTGGGTCCATGGGCTTTGAACCAAGGCGACCAAGATACGACCAGTATCTTATCACGGGTTTCACCAAATCTACCCAGCCCAAGAACAAAGGTATCACCTGCAAAATGACGGTGGCTCTCGAAAGCAAGACTGACTGTGCGAGCAGATGTGGCCAAAGCAATCATCCGACGCTTCACCGATGCCATGACAAATCACGACCACCAATTTCGCGGCTATGATCTGACCACTTTCTCAGATTCCGCAGAATATATTGGCACTATCAACCATCAGAACCTCAGCAACATGTGGGGCAGGATCAGAATCGGAGGAGGCACGCGCGTCATGACAGGATGGCAGAAAGTCAAGGAACTGCATTTCCAGAAGCATTCCGAGTCCGCCACGCACCATCCGGTGTATGGTTGGCAAGCTGGGCCAGAAACACCCATGCTGCGCCTGCTTCTCCTGCTCGACGGCGAGGCTATGGACATGGACGAGTTCGAGCTGGACCTCCTCGGCCTTTCGTGGGCTCACGTTACCATCTTCCTGATTGGGGTGGACGGATGCCCGCATCACCATCGTCATGCCAACGAATTACAACGCATCAGCGACGTCAACCACCACGTCTCTTTCGTCGATGCGCAGGGCAACACGCCGGAGCGGTTTGTGACGCATGAGCTGCTCAAGAGGCACTTGGGCTATGAGGTGTCGATGACCGAGTTTGAACAGATGGAGGAGTTGCCGGAATACACAGCGTGAAATTACTGACAGATAAACTCCGGTAGTGATGTACCAGAATACTCAGCGGCGGATCCTGACCTCTCCAAACTCCATTTCCGTTTCCAGACTGGAGTAGTCAATAACACACCCTCCACATCACGGTTGATCGAGCTATCTCAACAGATGAGCAGTCCAAGTGCTTGGCTCCTATGCGGCTGGCCTGCCAAGCAGCCAAACCCGGCCTCTGGAGATGTAGGTTTCAATTTGCCGATTGAGATTCCCATTTACCGTCAATGTGCGGGAAATACAACTCCCCGTAACACCACTTTGATGAAGATCGCAGGCAGCAAGCTCACGAGGAAATGATAAATGCTGATGGAAACCCGGACCTTGATCATGGTCAGCCTCTGTATCAGAGACCAGCGGTCAAAGCATCCGACTTGATTGACTTCGCATCAGCATCAGCATGGCGGTCCTTGGGTTTCCAGAAAAAGAGATAGCCGACCACGTCGAAGGGGATGAGGAGACTGATCTCGAGAATGTGCCAGGCACTGATCGCCGCGAGCTGTCTTCTCTGGCAGCCACCGAGTTGGCCTCGTACAACCGGAAAATGCTCGTCAAGCTGGACGTGGTTCTCGTACCCACGATGGCAATGCTGTACCTGCTGGCGTTTCTGGATCGTGCCAACATAGGGAACGCGCGTGTTGCCGGTCTCCAAGAAGACCTTCGAATGAGCAGTCATCAATACTCTACCGGTGAGTCCATGCTACCTTTGAAAACCTGCAGTGGTGGCGGACATATCACTAACATTGGCCGTGATAGCGGTAACTGCCACATATGTGCTCTATGTAGGTCTCTTTGCCCGGCAATGGGAAAGAAGGCTAAACCAAAAATCCTAGATTGCCGCCGAGCTTCCGTCCAACTTGATATTGAGGAAAATCGGCCCGCGCCTCCTCTTATCCGGCCTGTGCTTTTGCTGGGGCGTCGTCACAACCTTGCAATCGCAGGTCAACAGCTACTCTGGCCTGCTGGCCGCTCGGCTCATCCTGGGCATGGCTGAAGGAGGTATGTCGCTTGTCATTCGGAACTGACGGTGTCAACTCGACTGGACTGCCTCGAAATCATGGGAGGGTGTTGGCTAATGCGTCTCTCAGGCCTGTTCCCGGGCATCAATCTCTATCTCAGCATGTTTTATCGACGTGACGAACTTCAACTGCGTATTGCTCTCTTCTACTCTGCTGCTGCCCTGAGCGGAGCATTCGGCGGCTTATTGGCAGCTGCAATTGAGAAGATGGACGGAATCGGAGGCCTGGCTGGCTGGCAATGTAAGCATTTCACGCTCATGGGCGGTCAAACACCATGACAGCGACACTCCAACGGTGAAAATGAGGGTCCCATGCTGATTCTCTGGGATATCATCAGGGATCTTCTGCCTTGAAGGCCTCTTCACCGTCTGCTTCAGTGTTGTGGCTTTCTTCGTGTTGCCCAACCATCCCAGCGAGGTCCGCACCTTCATTGCTGAAGAAGCCAAACGCTATGCAGACCGCCTGCGGCTTGACGCGGAGTTTCCCAACACGGAACGAGTGACACTGAAAGGAGTCCTATCGGTCTTTACGACTCCCCACATCCTGATTTTGTTTCCCATTATGTTCGCCTCAGCGTGTTGTCTGTTCAGCATGGCGTACTTTACGCCCACCATCGTGGCCGGCATGGGGTATAGCTCGACGCGTACGCAGCTGATGACAGTGCCGCCGTTCGCAGTGGGATTCGTCGTCTGTGTGACCACCTCGTACCTCTCCGATCGACACAGAAAGCGTGGATTGGCCGCCATTGTCACTGGAATGGTGGCACTCGTCGGCGTCATCATGTTCTACCGAGGTCGCAGCAACGCGGTTCGCTATGCCTCCCTATTCCTTGTTATTTCTGGGCTGTACGCCAACGGCCCGTGCTACTTGTCCTGGATCCCCAACAACACGGCAGCCCACACCCGGCGGGCCACGGCAATCGCGACCTGTTTTGTGTTCACCAACTCGGGCGGAATCCTGAGCGCGTGGATCTTTCCCTCGGAGCAGGCGCCTTACTACCCCTTGGCGTCCAAATTGATCCTATCGATGACCGTGGTGACGCTTGTCTTTACGGTGGCAGAGATGTGGATGCTCGCATGGCTCAACAAGAGAAAGGAGACGCCGGAGTACAGAGAAAAGCTGCTGGGTCAGGTCCAGGGGATGGACCTGGCCGAACAGTTCGTCAAGCTAGGGGATGCACATCCTGACTACAAGTATTTTCTCTGAGCGTGGCTGTGTCGTGGTGCCCACCATGATGATATGGGCAGATTGCGTCAGATACCGTGTACCAAAGTGACCGACAGCTTGTCCAAGTAGTCGTACTCAATTCCACACAGTCGAGCAGCTTCATCAAAGGGGGCTATTGGTGGGATGCCGTTCCGCTGTGGTAAGCGATGGCTTTTCTTTCAGCACATATCTGATCCAGTTCGCCACGAGATTTCTCGACGTGGAGAACATCGAATGCTGATTGTAGTCCGTCCCACCTATAAAGCGGCAGATTGGGGAACTCCTCAATGATATACTGCGTGAGCGGAACTGGAATAGCACTGCAGTTGAAACCCCCCGACCGGAATTTGTCCTGTCTCTCCATCTGCGTCTTACGTCTAGCTGGAGTAAATCTGCTTATCAATCAATGTCATTCAATCATTCGAGGACAAACCCTTGCGATCCATATTTACTCGGCCCTTCCAGGAATTCGATGGCGCGGCCGGACTACTAGAGGGGATAGAGACTCTCGGGGCATTTCCCGTGCGGAGTCGTCATAATATCAAGTTCCGGACTCGGGTACAATTAAAAGCACCTCAGACCCTTTCCAACAGCATCCGGCCTCCTCTTATACGCCTTGCGGCAAACTACATTAACTCCTTCTGTTGACATCATGTCCGACTCCCAAGCGTGGCTCATCGCCTTCGAGGAGCACTGGATCTCGAAACATGTCCAAGAATACTACGCAAAGCAGGGCAAGCCGGACCCATACTCAGGATCCGCGTTTAGTGTCTTTCGCTCGGCTCTCGAGACGGTAGGAGAAGGTCGAATCGCCGACAACGAGCGAGGCCGCGTGCGTCTCCAGGTCATCTCTCACGCGCCCAACACGATCCCCGTCGACGCCGCGACCTGCACCGCCGCCAACGACGAGCTGGCCCAAGCAGTCTCCCACCACCCCGAACGCTACCGTGGCTTTGCGCTGCTGCCGACCGGCGACCCAGCCGCAGCGGCCACAGAGCTCTCCCGTGCCGTGACCCAGCTGGGGTTCGTGGGCGCGATGATCGACAACACGACCGAGGGGCGCTTCTACGACGACGAGTTCTTCTGGCCCATCTTCGCCGCCGCCGAGAAGCTCGACGTGCCCATCTATCTGCACCCTAATTACAACGAGCAGACGGCCGACATCCTGTACAAGGGCAACTACTCGCCAGCGATTGCGCGCTCGCTGAGCACCAACGGCTGGGGCTGGCATGCCGAGTGCGGCACGCATTTTTTGCGCCTATTTGCTTCGGGCCTGTTCGACAAATACCCACGCCTCAAAATGGTGCTAGGCCACATGGGTGAGATGCTGCCATTCCAGCTCGACCGCATCATTTACTGGGTCGAGACGATGTGGCCCAAGAGCCTGCAGCGGTCCTTGCGCAGTGTCTGGGACGAGAATGTCTGGATCACCACCAGTGGCATGTTCTCGCTCAGCCCCGCGGCGTGCTTGCTGAGACAGTGCAAGCCGGACCGCGTCTGTTATTCGGTCGACTATCCGTTTGTGTCCAACGAGGCAGGGCTCCAATTTATGGAAGAGCTGCGCGCCTCCGGCCTAGTCGGCGCGGAACAGCTCGAGGCAATTGCGCATGCGAATGCGGCCAAATTGCTCAAGCTGGAGGTGTCGTGATGATATTACAAGTAACCCGTAGGCGACTAAGCTATATAAAAATGAGAAAATTGATTGATTGAAGCGCGTTCTCCAGATGCCAGGGGATCCGTCTTAGTTCTCAAAACAATCCTTGACACCTCTCCATCTCGGAACCTCTCCACGGCCCGACGGTATCCTCACGGTCTTGGCCCAGGTGTAATCGTGGAGCGTCTCGATACAGTGCTCCCGACCAAATCCACTCGACTTTGTGCCCCCAAAAGGCGTCCCGAGGGCGTTTCGGTGGTAGTTGTTGACAAAGACTATTCCGCTCTCTACGTCGCGGGCCGCCCGCCACGCCCGATTCATATCACCCGTGTGGACCGCACAAACCAGCCCGTACTCGGATTCATTGGTGATGGCTATGGCTTCTTCGTACGTCTTGAATTTGGTGACCGTCACGACGGGACCGAACATCTCCTCCTTGGCGATGCGCATGTCTCGCTTAACGTTGGTGAAGAGTGTAGGAGGCATGAAGAACCCGTTGCTCAGTCGCGGGTCTGTGGGTAGCGCTGCCTGCGCCGCGATGGTGGCTCCTTCGATCACACCCACCGTCAAATACTCCAGGACCTTTTCTTGTTGGATTCTGCTGACTACGGGCCCGACGTGCGTGTCGTCCGAGAGACCTTCGCCCACTTTCAGTTTCTTGACGGCGGCCGAGAGCTGCTGGACGAACTCGTCGTGAACCGATTCGTGGATCAAGATTCGCGACGCGGCGGTGCACGCTTCGCCCTTGTTGTAGAACCCCCCTTCCAGGGCGTCTTGCACTGCGTCGTGGATGTTGGCGTCCTCAAAGACAATGAAGGCATTTTTCCCGCCCAGCTCGAGGACCACGGGTGTCACTCTCGCCAAAGCACTCTGGCCCACCATCGCTCCGCCGGCCGTGGAGCCGGTAAACGAGATCTTGCGTACCAACGGGTTGCTGATTAGTGCTTGTGGAACGGCGATGCCCTTGGCTGGAACAACGTGAATGACATCTTTGGGGAAGACGGTGTCGAGAATCTCGACAATGCGAATGACGGTCAACGGGGCCTGTTCCCCGGGCTTGAGCACGACGGTATTGCCCGCCGCCAGGGCCGGAGCCAGCTTTCCGCCCGTGTGGATGGGCGGCCAGTTGAAGGGAATGATGCCGAGAACAACTCCAAACGGCTCACGGACCACCGATGCATAGATGCTGCCCTGGTCGTAGAATTCCGAGGGCAGTTTGTCTATGAGACCTCCGAAATATCGGAAGACTTGAACCAAAAAGTTGACGTCGGCTGGGCGAGCGTCCCTGAAGGGCTTTCCATTTTCCTGCGAGAGGCAGGTGGCCAGCTCGTCGGCGTGTGCCTCGAGAGCGTCTGCGGCCTCGAGCAGTATAGCAGCCCGTTGTTGGGGCGACCGTAGCCTCCAGTCCGTTTGAAATGCCCGGTGAGCAGCCTCCACCGCCTGATGTGCCTCCGCAGGACTGGCACCTTGCACCACCCGGAGAACCTTCCCAGTGGCGGGATTGAAAACTTCAAACAAGTCCTCACTGCGATCTGAGGACCACCTGCTGCGGACGACCACCTTCTCTCCGGACATGACGTAGACCGGAGCTGGCTAATGCTAATGTTAGCTATCTCCAAGATCTAGGCTCGACATGAATCGCCGGATCCAAATATATTCAGACATCGCCTGAGGCGTCGGCGGACGATATCTCTAGATCCGTTATCCCCGGCCTTGTCAGCATGTTCGCACAGACGGGGAAATGAGATGAACGCTGAGGATCGGTGAATACAATCGTGGATGCGGCAAATGTAGAGCGCCAGCGTGGATGATGATTGGCTGCGAATCGTCGAGGACTGTGATTGGCTGGTTTGCGTCCTTCAAGCCGATGTATGTGCACGTGACTTGACTTCGGGTCATCATGTGACAACAAGTATTACTATGGCTCAAATGACACAATTCTAGAGTCATTTTAGCTGCGAAGTACCTTTTTACTATCTGTATTCTATGCCCCTGGACTGTCTGACAATGGTCGCCGGTCAGAGCGCCATCCGCTCCCGTAAACATACCTAGGGCCATAGGTGTTTAGGTACTTGGTTCGTTCTCATCTTCATATGTACTTCGAACCCCCGACGGCAGCCTGGCCATTTACCGACCTTCAACTTATTTTCGAGTCTAGTGCCGCTGCTGCCGGCAAATGCCATGCACCTCTGATGGCTGGACGCCCGAGGAAAGCCTGCGACCGATGCAATAATCAGAAGGTAGGCCAGAATATTCCATCTCAGACTCCCCGTCGGTGCAGTCGGGCCTTGCTGTCATCATGCTGTCCCACAGCGAATGTGGTTGCTGACATGCCGTTGTCTACAAGGTTCGCTGCCGCAATGTCGGCCCTGGTAGCTGTGTAAGATGCCAACGACTTCGGTATAGATGTTCTCACGAAGACGCGCCGTCCGGTTCGACAATCAACCCACATCAAGTACCCGAGTCGCAATACCCCGTGCCGCTCTCTGCAGCGCCAGACGCCATCTCTGAGCAGACCAGCGATACTGATGTCTTACATGTATCTCCACCGCCCAACTGGACGACCACGGCGCAGCCGACTTTTCAGACCAACGCCAGCGCCGGATACTGCAGGATCCCACACGCGCTCGCTTTGGACCTTACCGCACTCTATTTTAGCCACGCCTACAATGCCAGCCTGCTGCTCCACCAAGAGACATTTTTGGCAGAAGTGAGGGCAGGTGCGGCAAATCCTCACGTGCTGTTGAGCGTGTGTGCGTTTGCGTCAAAGTACGCAGCCTCCCTCAAACCCCTTCGTTGAAATGAGCTCATGCCATAGAGATTCTACCGAGGACCCTCCGGCTATCATTCCTTGACAGAGGCAGGATTCGGGCGAGAATGGGCACGTTCTGCTGAGTCCATGGTTGCCGCAGAGCTGGGAGAGCCTCGAGAGGAGAACATTGTCACCTACATCAACCTTGCGCTCTACTGGTACAGCGAGGGCGCGTGGCGCAAGAGCTTCATCTACAAATGTATGCCATCGGAAGTCCCTGGCTTTGGGTTGATTGCTAACTTTGTGGCTCGGCCTTTAGGGAATGGGGTCCAAATTGCATATGTCCTCGGCATTCCAGCGGGGCGTCAAGAGCCCAATGCGAAGCCACTCGATGTGGAAGTGAGACGACGTCGTTTCTGGGCGTGTGCATGCATGATGTTGTTTGGCTCCAAGGCCGATTTCGCCATGAACAACTTCTCCCAGGCCGCTGCACGACTCCGAACCCCGTGCCCGGAGAGTCAATTTCAGGCAATGGGTAAGACAAACGCAAGTGTGGTAAGAAGTAGTGAGCCCAGCATCTATGCGGTGCTCATTGATATTCTGATGATCTGGTAACCACTGCGATCGCTTAGACCTACAGAGGTAGGCTTACATTTGATAGGAATGACATCTACTATTCGGTCAAGAACGGCAACAATCAACTCGACAACCTTCAGACCCTTCATTCCAGAGTCGAAGCCTGGAACAGCTCGATTCCCGGAGCGTGGAGGTTCACACCGACTCTCCTTGACTCCTCTGCGACTCATTTGCCATTCTACATCCTTCTCCACATCTTGTATCATCAAAGTCTCTGTACGCTGCACTCATCCATCGTCCCTCTCTTCTCGTGGGGTCATTCGGAGCCGGGACTCAATTTTGCCCGTCAGACCTCGGCCCAGGAAGCCTTTGAGCGAGCTTGCTCCGTCTCGACTTGCCTAAAGGCCATCCTCCAGTCTTCCTTGAGCCCGGATCGCATTCCTAGTTTCGTCGGGTACGCAGCATACGCGTCCTGCGCCGTCCAGATCCCTTTTCGGTGGTGTACAGATCCAGTGGTGCGGGCACGTGTGTCGGCCAACCTTGTGGCAAATCTCAAGATCATGCAACAAATGGGGCTTTACTGGCGATTCATTTCTCTTTTGGTGAGAGACAGCCTGAAGCATGAGCAATTCAATGACTGACCGGTGGCTTGTAGTGCACCAATGTCATGGCCATCTACTCGACCGTCGAGAAAGACCGGCCTGATTTGCATGGCGAGCCGAAAGTCTTGACTCCCAATCAGCTGTGTAATCGCTACGGTCACGGTCGTGCGCATACCTCGATCCTCAGTCACAACGAGATCGTGTGGAACCGAGGATCGATGGCCGAGCGCGATGCCGAAATTGTCGATCTTGGATTACAGCCAAGTGAAAGCCAGCACGGTGCAGTAGACGAAGGCGAGTCACCTTCAAAGCATGCACAAAAAAGCCAGATAACTGACCGCGCCTTCACGCGCCACAGGAGCCATTTCGTCCCTCATCGAAGAAGTCTCAAAGAATAGCAATCCAGCCAGTCCACCCGGCAATCCACTTCTAATGCTGGAGCCGAATATGTTCGATTCTCTGCCTGACTACAGCACCAACGAGTATCTTGTTCCCAGCGAGCAGGTCTCGTCATTCGACTACTGGCTTGATCAATTCGACGCCGAGATTGACTTTAATGTCAATTCCAAACAATAGCCTTAGTCCCTAAGGCTGTGCAAGGACGCGTGGGAATATGATGTTGACAACTAGACAACTAGTGGTCACGGGGCTTCTTCGTCTCTTCATTGCATATCAAAAGCACTGCTTTGGCTGGAAGATCAAATGGATATTTCACCCTGCATGTATCGGAACATCATTTCCAGATAGCCAAAAACTTAGCCCAACGTGCTACAATACTCTTCAAAATCTCTTTCGTTTGAATTTAGATTGTGGAAGTGTCAGATTGGTCTCTAAAATGCTGAAGTACCAGCCTCACAAGTCTCTTGCAACTGGCGCGAAGGACCATAGGCCGGATTTCCTGATAGCTCTATGGAAACTACCCTATCTACCTGCCACAACTGTCCTGGACAATAGGCTCTAACGACTGTTCCAGCGATGTTGCTCTTTGAAAATCTGTTCGAAACATTTCCTTGCCATAGAGGTGACGTCTAGGCCACCTGGATAATCTATATAAACTCTTCATTAGTATATAGGATAGGGAGACTTGAAGCCATTGAGCAATCGAAAGACAGGATCAAGAAGGTCTGGATGGCGAGTCATGGATTCCGATCATCTAGTTGAGCGACTTCCAGCTACATAACCTGCCCATGGAGACGGTTCAGATGCTGCTGCCGCTGGATGCCCCCAACTGCACGGATTTCTTCGCCAGGGTGCACCACGCTCAAAATGTAGAACACAGGTCTGAACAGTAATTACTTCCACCTCCCCGTCGCATACCACAGGCGTGCGTACTCTGTCGTGGACGTATCATGGCAGCGAGATGTATAGACTTCAGGTTCCCTGAGCATAAAGTGACGATCTTCACCGTTCCATACATTGGTCAGGACAGACTGAAGCCATCAACCCTCAAGGTATCGCTCTAGGCCCCATCAAACAATTACAAGAGACGCCCACCTAAATCAGACAGCTTCTCGCTCGGTGCTAGCGAGGCAGGCTGCGTGCTGCCCGAAACACAGCTGCCTTCGACATGGACCAAATCCTCCTCGACCGCCATGCCACCAATCGTTAACGCCTTGCAATCCTGCAGCACAAAAAACAGCCTCGCCCACTGCGACTGCGACGGGTTCCTCCAACCATGCATCGTAGCCCGCTGGATGACAATGTCGCCCCTGTTCATGACCGCCCTCTCTCCCGAGTCCAACACCATCTCAATCGTGCCCTCGACCACGACCCCGTAGTCCAAGCTGCACGTTCGGTGCATGATCGCCTCCCGTCCCGGCCCAATGTCCACCACCCGACACACCGTGCCGGAGGGGACAACCAAGCCCGGCCCGCCCGCCACCATCAGGGCGTTGTGTTTCTCGATATCTTCGTCGCCCGAGAGCTGGGGCGGGAACGAAGTTGTGTACGCAACGCTGGCCGCGGCATCCTTGGTGGCAGACGAGTTCCAAGACGCTGTCCCCGTCGAGTAAAAGATCGCTTTGCCTGTTTTCGGGTCGTGTGTCGTAATGTGTCTGTGTACCGGCGGCAAAGGGGAAATCTGGGATCGATCAAATGTGGCGGCCGAGCCCATGGTTCTCAGCTCGAGACGATGAATCCAAGCCGACAAAGAAGCGCCCATACGATGTCCCAATGGTTCGCAGTCCACCTCGCGACCAAAACTGTCTTTTTCTGGGCATTTTCGCGAATCCGGCCTTCTTTTTTGCATTTACCGCCCCATGCCCCCTTCCCCATTCCCCGACCAGTCCTCACACACTTTGCCGATGATGAGCGGGAAATAAAAACCCCCGGGGAAAGGGTTCTATCCGCCCCATCCCTATATGATCACAAGGTGCAGCGGTGGCTTTAGGGAACTACCGACCATGGTTGTTTAACCCCTCCCTCTTGGCATTGCCAGTGCACGCAGACTGTGGCCCAACAAAGCCTCCCGCCGTACTATGCTGCTTTCAGGGGTAGATGCATCAGTTTCTGATTGGACGGATCAGACCGAGAGCTTGCCCTGGCTTGTATTTCGTTCGTGACTCTTACTCAGCATCCGTTGTGCAGTCTTCAAGCCAATAGGCGAAGGACAGGATGGCAGAAGGTCGCTGCAGGTCCACGATGATGCCGGACTTCATTCGTTATAGGTGCGGAGAGAGACCAGCAAGCCAGGCAGGCAATGAGTAATCATGCTTTGTTTGGGTACCAACCGGGTTGCCCAAGTTGTTCTGGGAATGCTTCGTAACTGCAAAAACGCTGATAAAAGACTTGACTCGCTCCAGATGGAAGGTCGAGAGCACGGCATAATTAGTCGCTTCACAACGATTCAGAATGCAAGAAACCAAGACAAACGGTTCTTCAGATCAAAACGGCCGCGCTCAAGTCGTCGAGTCCAATTCACAGCAACACATCAGCTCTGAAGGACCACTTTCTGCAGCAGCTAGGGACCATGGCACTTTACCAGTCGGGAAGGACGCCAAAGAACTGCACACAGGTGATGGTCGGCAAGATCGTGGATTTCGAAGGATCATAAGAAATTTCACTCCTTCGTACATTCTTCCCGTTTCCTCTCTCCTTCAACACCGCAGTCTGCTAACACCTTGTGCGCGACGCACAGATGGTTCATCATCACCATGAGCACCGGCGTGCTGTCGATCATGCTCCACCAATTGCCCTACAACGGACACTGGCTTCGAGTCATCTCTGTCATTTTCTTCGTCGTCAACCTCGTCCTCTTCTTGACTTTTACCGGATTGTCGGCACTGCGCTACACTCTCTATCCTCGCATCTTCCTGGCAGTTCTCAAACATCCCCACCAGAGCCTGTTCCTCGCCACCTTCCCCGTCGGGCTTGCAACTCTGGTGAACATGACTGTGTTGGTGTGTGCCCCGGAATGGGGGCACGGCCTGGCGATATTGGCGTGGGTTCTCTGGTGGATAGTGGCTGTGCTGGCGTTGACCACCTGCTTTCACTTGACCTTTGTCATGTAAGTAGCCCCTGTTCCGACTGCCTTGTCGTGTTACGCCGGTCATCATCGAGGTGTATCTGCTAATTATTCTCTAGCATGACACACCGAAGAGGCGAGCTGGAGGAAATGACGGCCCTCTATCTGATACCCATTGTCGCTGTCGTCATCGCCGCGACCTCTGGAGGCCTCGTCGCGAGCGCCATCCCAAACCCCCAGCATCAACTCTGGACTCTGATCATAAGCTACATCTTGTGGGGAGTCGGGTCGCCGCTCTCATGGATCATCCTAACTATATACTTCCTCCGAATGACTTTGCACAAACCCTTGAAGCGTGAAGTCATCGTGTCCCTCCTCCTCCCAATCGGCCCCTTGAGCCTCTCGGGGTTTTCGTCAGTATTCCCGCCAACTTTTGCTTCCTCAGCCGGAAAGAGGTAGTGCACGTGTGGCGCATGTGTGGCTAACGCTTATCTTTGTTGCAGAATCATTGTGTTGAGCAAGGTTGCAAAACACCTCTTCCCGACGACTCACACCCTCCCACACCTGCGTGAGACATCCGCAGGGGAAGTGCTTTATATCATAAGCTTCTTCGTCGGCCTCATTCTTTGGGGATTCTCGATAGTCTGGTTCATCGTCGCGGTGATGATGGTGGCCACCTCTGGTCGATTCCCATTCAACATGGGATGGTGGGGTTTTATCTTCCCCGTCGGTATGTGCTCTTGATCTTATGTACTTGGTGACTACGGTGTGGACTGATTCTTCTTCCTTTTTAATGCAGGCGTGTTTACACTCCTGACAATAACGATTGGGGAAGAGCTTGAGTCTCGCTTCTTTAAGATTCTCTCGTGTGTAAGTTCGCATTGTTCTGCGCGACAAATCTCTATATCAGAATGTGACGGCTGATACCAGTTCTAGGTTCTGACAGCGGCCTGTGTAGCCATGTGGCTGGTGATCGCTGCGATGACCCTGCAGCGCGCGATTAAAGGAACGATGTTTTACGCTCCGTGCTTGGGAACGGATCTATACGGTAAAAGAACCAAGGAACACTCCAAGGATGCGCAAAAGGAGAAGGTATGAGGGTTTAGCGGTTGGGATCCGATACCACCGGACAGCAAATTTTGACAATGTCAAGCTTGAAGCTTCGGAAGTGACTCGTCTTCATGGTCTTTTGAGCAGCGCCTCGTCCACTAATTCAACGGCGTGGTTCGACACAAGACCTATTTCGTTGCCAAAAAGTCCTTCGAGCCGCAAAAGGGAGTTTGGTAGACCATTTCTCTGCTCTGTGAGCATTCTGCCCTTGTAGGAGTGTGAGGTTTAGGAAATTGAAAAAAAAGGCAAGTCTGCACCATTCTCTCCGTTTATTGTGCTGCACAGGCAAAAGGTTCTAGTGATTATGCTGTCAGTTGGCGTTGATCGTTGAATCGGGCGGCTGCCTGGAACTCACGACAACACAACCTCGAGTACGTGACGAGGTATGTCACTCGAATTTATCGATGACACAAGGTATCGCAGCCCCGTGGAGTGGATTTTCAGCGAGGGTGTGTCTCCATCCATGATCTGTGAGAGTTTGTTAGCATCGTCAGACCTTCTTCCAGGAGATTACAGGCTTACCGCGGCGATGGCAAGACACGTCACACTATACAGGATCGTGATCAAATCTCGGGCCTGATAGTGGGTGAACGTATGCCGAATGTGCTTCAGGGCAGCCATCTTTATTGTAAATATCTGGCCCGTGGGAATATTGCTGGTGCCGCTTATCGCGCACCGTGAATCGACGGTCTCAGGTAATCTGGCACAGATTGACGCGCCGGCAGCAACGATGGCGAAGAAGACCATCTGGTTGGCTCTAGCGGTTTGAATAATCCAGCAAGTATGCTCTTCGCCGTGGGTATATGCGGGAAAGGTCACGGGTATGAAGTTTTCCAAATCTGCTCCAAGGAAGTGAGTAAGCATATATGAATGGCGTGCATTTGGGGGCCAAGAAGACAGTCACGGAAGATGATACTAAAACTCACAGCATTGAAAGAACAACCTGAAAATATTGGGTCCCAGAAGCTTGGCCTCCCCTGCCGGTATCTGCATGGCAAGCTCCAAATCTGCTCCAGATTGACGCAGCCATTCTGTTGCCGGCTGTAAAAGCGGCTTCTTTTCATTCTCATTCGTCTCATCTTCCTTCTCTAGATTCTGATAAGTTGGAAAATACCCTTGGTTCGAACCAGGCTTTCCGGAACACGGTTTTGGTTGACCACTACTGTCATATGTCGGGCCACGGTTGTTGAGATGGCTTTTCTCTATCCACCCTAATTGCCTGGCATGGGATTCCCGTCGCGTGCCTGGGAATGTCGCCGGCATCAGTCTGATTTCCGCACTGAGACGTTTTCGTTTTCTGATCACCCTCTGGACGTGCGAACCGACAATTCTCCTATCTGGCCGACGGACGGTTTGGGATCCTTTGACCAGGTGTTGATTGATGAAGAGTAGCATTCCATCTTGAGAGTTGTCGTTGGACTTCAAAACATTGCTTCCTTCTTTTCCCTCGGTAGCTGGTGCCAAAATGGCGGACATAGACACACCGGGGTCACCGCTTGCGCGCACTTTGAACCAAATTTGGCTTGGTGTTGTGTTTGCCCTGGTGTTGGTGGTAAGTCTCAAGAGGTCACGACCGTAGATGTTGTTTCAGAAGTATCCTTTCAGTTGAGACAAAGACCGCTAGTCTCTCAAGTAAGTGCTGCTGCGCCTGTGAGTGAGGATGGCTGTCACAACGGCGTGACAAGCCATTAATGCTCGAGAATGGAGCTGCCCTTGCCGAGAGAATGAAGACAGCGCCTTTTTCGGCTCGTTTGAGATTGAGAAGAGTCCGAGCAGGCATCTTCAATGGATCTAGACCCAAACCCATGCAGTTATTCATGCCCCTGCTGCCAAAAGGACTGGGACTCGCTGGCTGAGTTTGCTAATGTCGCCAACTTGTGTAAAATGTGAAGTAAGCACTTATCGCTGCCGGGTAGATCTCTATTAGTCAACTCGCTCAAGAACGAGGAATGCTTGTTGTGGAGAGGGGTCATACAGAGAAGCCACCACTCTCAATGTACTGTCAGTGTGACTGGAGCAGGAACGGCAGAGCTTTCCACAACGGGCTGTCGGCCGCCAAATTTCCACAAGTGGTTAGTGGTCAGCCCAGCTCAATGGCACGAATATCGACCAGATGAGGGGCTGAGTATGCACGGAGTAGGGTAAGAAGGACCCATACTCGCTTAGAGGCATATATATCTTTGTAAGCCGCCCAGGATAAGCGATTTGCACACTTTGTAGCCGTGTCTTATTTTTTGATGATGCGGAATTACAACGTGGCACTGCCGTGTTTTGGCCATCTTCGTCGAAAAGCGCCCACCATTTGTTTCAAATCACTCAAACCACCGTTTGAGTGTGAATCACGACCCAAGGAGCTCCCACAGGCTTCTAGATGCCTTATGCACAGCTCAAAGTTGTAGCCCGCACAAGGCGGAAGTCGATCGATATTTGTAATTTTAGTCAAGTGGTCCCTGGCAACCTCAGCCATCATGTTGACAGCGGCATCCATGGCAGCAGAGGAGCCCTCGGAATTTAGTGCATTCGTGGGCTTTGACATCGTACTCGTCGTTGATATTTCGAAGACTGCTTGATGAATGAGGTAAAGCGTCCTGTTTCGTGTCAAATTCTTCCCCTCGTCGACTACATCTGAGAGCACCAACCTCAAGCCAGTCGCGTTAGCCCCGCAATGAGACCCAGGCCCTCGATACTCGCTCATTGTGATGGCGAGTAACTGCTGCATGTCATCGTCGATATTTCTTAGCGTCGAAATTTTGATATCGTCTTCATCCTTGTTCGTGAGCACGGACATGGTTTGTTCGAGAAAGTGCGCTACCTGACCCTGGCGGCCGAATGCGTCGATGTTACTGCTACGCACGATAGGTAGGATAGTTGAGGGGCATTGATTGCGTCCACAGCCGTCTTCATCCAGCCTGTCGAGCAGTGAAGGTAAGAAAACATCGTCCGAGGGAAAGATCGTCCTTGAACATCTCAATAGTCTTCCACCTTCGATGAGAATTAGTCTGTGGGGAGTATCAATCTTTCAACTCTCCATCAATGCAAGTTCGAACTCACCTTTCCAGAATGATCAAACCCCACCATATGTTTCGCCTCTCGAGGGCTTCTAAATCCGTATACCCGGTGTCAACTTTAGGCTTATGTTGGTCAAGACCAATGATGTGACTCATCCTGGAAGACACCCCAATAGATATATACGCTGTTTGCAGTCTTCCACAAGCATATTCATATGCCGCTATCAAGATACTTGCCTGTATCATCGTCGCCGAGATGTCGGTCGTCGTTTGGACATCCGCTAATGTTGACTTGGTAATTCGATAAAGGTCCTCCAAGCCTATTGAAGATGCATGTGATGAGCGCTCAAGAGGGTGAATAATGATGAGAGACATGGCCAATAGGAGAAGGGAAAATTCGGGAGAGGGTGTCTCGTCTTGCACTTCTTGAAGCCTTTTGCGAAAGCATTGCGGAGAGATAATGGGTAACCAGGTAGAAACGCCGCCGAAGAATCGATGGGCCACTTCGTCTGGTGAGAGTGCAAACACCTTAAAGACGTCCTGGACCTGTATCCACTGAGAATTACCAAGTTTATTGTCTTTTCCCACTGGTGGAAGAGCAGAGGGTAAGTTGGAGGGGGGGATTTGGCTCCCGTTACGGTCGTCGCCAGCTGATGTGTTGGACCTGGTCGATCTCATCGGATTCCATTGTCTCCATTTCTCGTCGCTGTGGTAATTGGAGGCTCTACCTCTTCGTAAAACGCCTTCCTCATATTCACAGACAAGGTCGTGAGCTCTGCAGTATCCACAATCCGGCAGTCCTTTGTCGCACCGCTTCTTACGGGCTTTACAGCTCTTGCACACGTGTAGAGCAAGCTCGTCTTTCGTTGGATCCATAGGGACTCAAAGCTTCCAACCGACAAACATTAATGCAGCAAACAAGGTGTCTGATTTGTGACCTCAACTCCCCCATAGATTTGGAAAGTTTTGATGACGTCCGTGTTCCTGTCCGAGGGAAATCGGCAGCTCAAGCTGAGGCGGAGCCGAAGTTGAGCCCTATCACAGGATGCCTGAATCAGAGCGGCAGGCCGTGGGGGTGCCAAGGCTAAGTGCATTGTGGCCGCTGAATACCAGCGGTGAATCTTGACCTCCATCCAATTCTCTTCCCAGATATGGGCAACTCACTACTTAGCCTGAGCAATGACATCTTGTCCTGAACTGTGGTGATCCAATCCCGAGAATCACCTGTGCGGGCGTCCACAATATGGCACCTAGGTTCCTGGTTCCTGGTGTTTCACAGTCTCTGAAGGGGCTGAGAGTTCAGTACAGGCGGTCTTCTTTGGAAGGATAAGGTCAGTATCAAGATCTTTCTGAAGTTTCGCATTCTATACATAGGTAGCTGGTGCCAGGAATAGAGAGAACGGTGCCATACTATCTAGAAAATCAAAATCAAAATCAAAATCAAAATCAGGCAACAACAAATCCGGAGAAATTCGCCAGGGCTGTACGGCACTCCTGGTCATAAGTCGGGAGACCCTTGAGATAGTTCAGCTGTTCTCTCTTCTTGCCGGGGATATTGGCTCCCATGTACCAGGACTTCGCCAGAGGGAACAGGCTGGCGTCACTGGCTTGCTGGATCTCGTCACCCCATTTCTGCTCCGCGTCCACTGTGGCATTGATGTAGCGCTTGCCTTCGCTTTCCAACTTGTTGATCATGTCAAGGATGATGTCGGCCTGTGTCTCGACGCACGACGGGCCGTTACAGAAGGCCGTCGGTCCGTGGACGGTGTAGGTCATGAACATGTTGGGGTAGTCTCGAACCGTCAGGCCCAGATAGGTTGAAGTCCCGTCAGCCCAGCGATCAGCAAGGTCGGTGCCGTTGGTGTCTCGAAGGCCCATGGATTTCAAGCCACCGCTGACTGCGTCAAACCCTGTAGCCACAGCGATCACATCAACTTCGTAATGCTTCCCGTCCGAGGTCCGGATACCAGTCTCCGTGATTTCGACGATTGGGGCTGCCGAGGTATTTACAATGTGGACGTTCTCCTGATTGCAAATCTCGTAGAAATTTTGCTCGAGTGAGGGGCGTTTGGTTCCAAATGGATGTGGCGGTTCCAGAGGAGCTAGAAGATCTCGTTTGACAGGGTCGGTGATGCGCGCTCTGGTTTTATTGACCCAAAAATCGTAAGCGTGACGGTTGGCGGCGTTGTCGAACAACAAGTCCTTAAAGTTGGCCACCCAGAATTCGAACCCTCCTTTCTGCCACAATTGCTCGTAGACCTTCTCGCGCTCCTCTGCGCTGACATCAGAGGTATTCTTCTGCATCCAGTCAAACTCGAACCCAGCGAAGGTGGTCATTCGGTGTTTGAAGATTTCAGCATATCTCGACTTTCTTTCGTTTTGCTGCTCGATGGTCAGATTCTCTTGTCCCATGGGGAGACACAAGTTCGGCGTTCGCTGAAATACAAATGTCTCCTCAGCCTCCGGCGCCAACTCCTGGATAATCTGAATCCCCGTGGAGCCAGTGCCGATGACTGCCAGTCGCTTTCCTTTCACGTCGACTCCAGTGTCCGGCCAGAAGGAGGAATGGTGAATGACTCCTTTGAAATCGTCCAGTCCCTTCCAATCAGGGATGTATCTTTTCGCGGAGAACCCACAGCAAACAAGTAGATACTTGCAGGTAGCAGTTGTCCCGGTTTGAGTGGACACTGACCATTGATTAAGCTGGTTGTCGAAATCGGCTCCTACCACTCGGGTGTCGAAAATGACATCCTTGCTGATGTCGAGTTTCTTATCGACGTGATCAAAGTAGTCGCGTAATTCCTGCCACCCGGGGTATTTCTCCTTCCAGGACCAGTCCTCCCAGCACTCCTTAAGTGAATATTCATAGATAGGAACCGGAGAGTCAACGCGAGCGCCAGGATAGCAGTTCCAGTACCATGTACCACCTAGAGCAGGTCCAGCCTCGAGGATCTTGACCTTGTAGCCCTGAGCCCTGAGTTTGTAGAGCAGATAGATCCCGGCGAAACCTGCGCCCACGATAAGAACGTCGAGGTCCGAAAGAGTTGTTGGCTCCGAGGCCTGCTGTTGGGAGCTCAGAGTGATGTCTCGTCGGATAGTCATGATGAGTGTGATAAAGGTCTGGGGAGTGCTCAGACAGCAGGGAAGAAGGAGGTCGCAAGGTGTTTGTCTTATAAGGCTGGGTATAAACGTGTTTGATGAAGATTGTGAAAATTTGAATATCTGGATGTGGGAAGTCCTGCATTATATAGACAGGAGACGCACCCATCCTGAACATATCAGATTTGGAGTGTTTGAACGATTTCCTAAGAGAAGCTATGCTTGGTCGTCGGGGTGAAGGATAACCTGCGGCTTAGCCATCCCCCGGATCCCCGGTTTTCTCGCGTCGAGGTGTCTCCATTGCCCGCATGATGGGAGAGTGAAGGTCATTCAGACGATCATGGTACCAAACTGCGACAGAGAATGGACGCTGAGTCGAGTTCCATCTCTTACTGTCTTGTGGGGTAGCCAATCTAAGGACACCATGATGAATACGATGCCAACGAGGCTACCGAGCGCCCACAGCTTGTGGACCCCAGCTTCCGCAATGTGAAGACGATCTTTTCCCAACTGGGACGGCAGCCGCCGGCTCCTGGAAAAAGAAGCTAACCCTTTTAGGCTGAGGAATCCCGCTAGTCTAGATTCATCAGCACGGGAGAACTTCAAGTTCTCCGGGCAGAAGGGCGCTAGAAATGTCGTTGGCGACATGAGCATTGGATCGACCCTTGGAAACGCGGCTCCGTGTCTCAAAAAGGATGGCGTTCGCTTCTAAGGCAGGCTTGTTGTCCAACTTAGCCGAGACCTGGGCTTTCACATGGCTTACGACGGTCAGACGGGAGCATGCTCCCAGTTACTGCAAGTCGCGAGGATTGCCGGGCTCGCCAGGTTACGGAGTAGATTCTGCTTAAATTTAGCGAGCCCCAGAGTGTGGCCACCGACAACACCCCGTACGTGAGGGTGGTGAAGTGCGGGGGATGGAGCTGGAGGCGTGGGGTTCGACGGGTTCGGTTGGGGATCAAAGCCCGGATCATGATCTTCAACACAAACTTCATCCGATTCTCGAGCGACGCCTTCCAGATTTCATCTCCCGAAGACGAAAGAACTCTTTCTTGAAAACATGGTTAGCCAGGTCGTGAAGTCCTCATCGATAACCTTGAAGTGATTCTCCTGCTCCTGCTGTCCGACACGCCTCTCTGGGACACTACCACCAAACATGGATCCGAGACGCCCCGCCAAAGTCCGCCGTCGTCAGAATCACAGTTGCGATCAATGTTACCGCGCAAAAAGAGCATGTGATGGCACGGGACGAAATCGCGGAGGAGTTTGCTCTAATTGTGCTAGAACCGAGAAACAGTGCACCTTTGAAAAGGCGGAGCGACACCATAAACGCAGTCGGCTGAGTGGCATCGAAATGGAATTACCATGGCGAGTCGCAGAATCCGGCTATTTCGAGAAAGAGACTCCCTGGAAACAGGTCCCCTCCATCCCTTCCGTTTCCCACCACACTTCGCCTACGCATTCTTCGAATGATTGGAACATTACATCTCCTGGCTTTTCTATCACCGCAGGTCCGTCTTCTCAGGCAACCGAGCATTTCGACGCATACGATCACCACTGCTTCCTAGGGGCTGAAACCACGGAACCGACCTTGTCCATCGAGTCCCTCGATTTTCGTTTTGACGAGCCTGTTACTAGGCTGCCTTGGGAGTTTGGTATGCCAGAAACGGCTGCAGAAACAAAAGAACACAGCCCCGATGACGACCTTCTATTTGAGTCTACCGACAGCTTGTTCTCGACAAGCACGGATAAGAATGTCGGATGGCCGTCTCAGCGGGCTCGATTATTCGGCAGAGAGGAAGAAATGTCGGCTCTAGGAAGATCTCCATCCTTTCACAGCCCGTCCTCTGACACTTTAGCCTATTCTTTGTCGGAGAAAACGAACAAGTCACTGATTTCGGACAGTATGATGGTCATCTATCACGATACCATGGAGAATGCGTTGTCTTGTTGGCTTACCGAACAAACATGTCCCTACAGTCTCGAAGGAATCATTGAGATTGACTCATCCCCTCGAAGCCACTGGGATAGCGAGTGGGGTGCGAACTGGACAAATCGCATTGTCAAAAGTATTTGTCAATTGGACCGCGCTTCATGCATCCTTCGAGAGCGCCCATTAGCGCAGTGGGAGAACGAGGGTGCAAGTCGTACGCTGAAGGCTTGCATCATGGCGTTTGCAGCCCAGTGGTCACACTCGGCGAGCGGAAATCTCCAAGACTGCGAAATCGGGCCCGACCAGACCGCAGGGTCCTTTACGAATAGTCCATATGGAGAGAATGAGGGCGGCTTCGATCGTTATCTGCAGGAGTTACTGTGGAATGAAGCCCGCAGTTCGCTACAAGCAACCGCTGGGATGAATTCTTTCCGAGTGATTTTCGCTCAATTTCTCTTCGCATTAACTCAAAGACCAGTTGAGCGCGACAAATTTTTAAAGCTACAACACCTTCGGGCAAGGTACGCAGGCCGCGATACCAGTATTTGGAATTCGCGATCAAGTAATGCGACACTGGATGGCACAATCATTCCAACCAGCCCACCAGATCCGAATGGTGTGGATGACCATGACGAGGTGCAGGAGCTGCGAGATCTTCTAGACTTACAGGGACCTCCGATCTACCTGGAAATGGCATTGTCCCAACTCTCGGCAACAAGAGCTAGGCTTGAACGGGCCGATGCAGCAGCCTCCGCGCGGCGAAAACAAAGGTACATCAGCCCAAATGACACGGCTGATCGGAAGGCCTTCAACCACCTTTTCTGGTTGCTAATGATGTGTGACACGCTCTCTGCCACACTCAACAAACGTTCCCTCGTTGTCTCGGATGAAGATTCTCTGATCCTGCAACCTGTCAGATCTACTGACAGCCACGGTGGATCATTTACCGAAGAGCCTGAACCCGCGCAGGGAGAAAGGTTTCCAACCACTTCGGTTGCTCTGGAAGATGACGAATCGGACTCTACACCATGGGGAACATTCTTCCCGAGACGGAGTAGACTTCGCAACCGAGAAGACGCCGCGGTTCTCTTGGCCGAGGCGGCGCCTGTAAAGGTCCTCTTGTTCCGCAAAGTGAAACGATTGCAGGATCTATATTTCAGGCGAGCCGGGCCAAAGCGACTCGAGGCGGCGATTCTGGACGCCTTGAATGTTTACGAAAACTGGAACAATTCCTTCGGCGACTTCATCGCTCGCTGTATCAAAAATCACGAAAATCTCCCGTCAAGAGTCCAGTCATGGTACAGTGTTCTAGCGGGGCATTGGCACCTCGGGGCCTTTTTGCTGTCGAATTGGATAACTACGATTGATCAGAACCGCCGTGGAGACAAGCTCCATAGCGCCCTGAGGCAATCCTGCCGGCTAGTCTTCGAAATGAGGAAGCACAGTGCCTTTCAAGTCGCCGACCTCGGGCGCGTCGCTCGGCCGCTGTACAATTCGAACTTTCAGCTGAGCAGCGGCCTGCATTTCAGTGTCAATCAAGGCGCTCTCCTCACCGAGCCTTGGACCGAGATCCTGATTCGTTCATTCTCTAGAGCCTCTGACCAGTTCTTGACATGGCTCTCCGGATGTCAAGCCCAGGACCTTGCGACTGCGGAGTGGTGGAGTTCTGAAGGCCAACAGACCCTCATCGCCAACTGCAACCACTGTAATCAAGCTTTATTCGGCCTGGGTCGCAAATCAGACATGGCATTCCTTGCAGCGGTATCTTTTTCCCAACGGCTACAAAGTTTTCGAGAAAACGACAAGTCTGTCAATGACCCTGTGGTGTGGTGATCCCAAAGACTAGCATTGTCCGAGACTGAGGGTTGAAGTCGTTCTGAATTGCTACTTGAAGGGAAGGCTATAAATCTAGACACATTGTTAGCTGAGCAACTCACTAGGCAACTCCAGGAGATGTCACTGAATACTGGGCATGTAGCCCAACTTCTTTCGCCAGGTTCCGCTAGCTTCAGCGCCGGATCCTAACATGTCCAATGTCCATTTGTTTCCTAGGTGAGGCTGAGCCGAGTGGGCGGTTATAGGGGGACATGTCAATCGCCTCAGTCTTGTCCGGGACAATCGACACTCATCTGGCCGGGTTGGATGATCACCGTTACTCTATCTTGCAGACCGATGAATTAATTGCTTCGACAATGCACCGATCAGAGCGATCCACTTGTCGCAGATGGGTTTGGATCGAAGCAGGAGGAGACCGAGACCTCTGACCACCCAAATCGGAAGTCCTGGTTCACTGTGGATCCAAGTAGGTCGAATACTGGGGTTTCGATAGAAGGTGGAAAAGGGCAGGATCAAGAAAAAGGGTCTGGCTTCTTGGGAGAGACTCGCGAGGCCAAATTACGCGGGTGATATCTTCGATTCCCCTGTAGAAGAACAATAATACAACGAATGCCAAAGTTGGTGTCTGTGCTAGATGCACGGGACATGGTCATCATCATGGCCGACGCCGTCTTCATCATCAATTCTATCTCCAGGAAGCCGCTTTACGGTTCCCGTTTCCCTATATCAAAGTCCTGTCTATCGTAACCCATAATCATCTATCGTGGATGTAGTGAAAACGACCTCACCTCCATCTTCTCCCCCGTCCCAGGTGCCGGCCCGGCCGCCCAACAGTCCAACAAGGCGGCCGCAACTCCAGGCTCCATGGGGGTGACGTTCCTCGCGACGTGGACCTCCTTGTCGGCGTTCCAGGGGTTCGTCAGCCCGCGCACCGCGGCGAAGGGCAGGCTCTGAGCACACAGCCACTTAATCCGGCACGGGCTGCTGAAGCGGTCGAGCGTGGCAAGGAAGGACGGATCTGCGCTGGTGTCTTCGGGAACGGTGTGGAATAGCGACTCTGTGGATGACGAGGGAGACGGGAGAAGCACGAGCGGCGCGACTGGTGCTTGCTTGGCGGTGGTACCGGTTGCGTCTGGCGGATCTGTCGGGTTCAGGTTTAACGTCGACGGAGGACAAGTAATACCACCACTTTGTCCTGCGGATCGGGGCTTGGAGTGAGACTCTATTGGTGATATGTTGGCAAAGGAGGAGCTCGCTACTCCGGGCGAAGCTGTTTGTAGATCTTCTTCAATAGAGGGAGACTCTCTAATGGTTCTCCTAGGCCACGAGGCCTGCCATATTATCCTTCTTCGTTCGGGCTGGTAGATGACAGAGCCGGTCGAGGCTAAAGATAGCGATGACGACGCCGCCGAGTCAGAAGACACCAGTGACTCTGTCCTTGATCTCGCCATGGGCTGTACATCGCTTTCAACTTCCGGCTGGCTCGACCCGGAGTCATCCTCGACTTCGATGTCGTGGTGGGACATTACGTGCACTTCGTCGTCGAATGGAATGAGGTCTTCTTCTTCGACTCGAATTTCCGAACGCATGGTCGCATAGCCGAAGAAACAGCCCGAGCCGTTGACGGAGAAGATCAAGTAAACTTTGCTGGCTGTCTGCGGAATGAGATGAAGAGCATCCATTGTCAGCCAAGGACAACTAATTTTACAAGATGAAAAAGTGGGCGGTTCGGTGCGATGCCTTGTATCCATCCACTGCGTTAACTTACCTGAAAGGCATGGTTCAATCGCTCAACGTGCCGCTTTGGCACATGCCAGCGACCAGTCTCGAGGCTCTGGTAGAGCGCCTCGAGCGAGAAGCTCTTGAGGATGAAATACTTCTCCTTCCCCCAAGATGACCTCTCAGCCTCAGGGAAATGTGCGAACTCCTCGACCTTGCTCCGCAGACTTTTCGCCCTATCGCAGCAGATGGGACCTGATCGGCTGTGCAACCCCTTGTTGCCATTGTTGTTGAGCCCGTAGTTGACCTTGGTTGACCTGCCCCGCGACTCGTGGCGGATGCGGCAGTCCAGACGTCTCCCCTCAAAGAGTCGAGAGGCTGCTTGCCGGATGGCCGAAAGCCGTGCAGACTCGGCGCTGAAGTTGACGAACGCGTATCTTGCGTCCGGGTTGTAGGAGACGCTGAGCAGATCCCACGGAGAAGGTTCGGAGAAGTAGTCGCGCAGACTCATGATGGTGGTGTTTGGGGGAATATTGCCAACCCATAAGGCAAATTCGCCCTGGTATCTCGAGGTATGCGTGTTCGGACGCCGAGGAGGACTCAAGTCAGTACCTTGGATCACGGTTAGAAATCCTCCTCAGTTTGAGTGAATGTCGCGAGTTAATCGGACAGAGGGTAGGCCGTTCCTACCGTGTCGACACGAACCACAATAATCCATTCTTAGTTTCAACGGACAGGATTGCATGGTGCTCGTAAGGACTTGGACTTTGGATGGGATGGCGATATTGCCCCTCTTGATCTTGGGGAATGAGCGGTTGTTTAGAATCAGTCGCCTTGACAACAGGGAATATTCCGTATCCGATCCATATCAAGATAGATATGTGGCGAGGATATCATTTTTGAATAGAGAGCCACTCTGTATCGCGAGCAGCCCGACATCTCTGAGCAGGTATTCAACAGGGAATTCCAATCAAGCATGTTTGGGTTCGTTGTTGCAGGAAAGGGAGGCCAAGAACTTGCGCCTGTCAAAACGTGCTCAGCCACCCTTTTTCCACCAGGAAATTTGCTCACCTCCGTCAACCCACTGATAATGACGGGCCCAGGTCCATCCGGCCACTCTCCTAAGGAGGTTCTTATGCCGCTTGCGTTGCGCGCCATAGCTTACATACGGTGTGTGTGGCCTTCCTGCCTACCTACCTAGATTATTACTCAGACCTGCCAAGGTTGGCCTGTTGAGCAGATATCCTTTGCACGCAGATCAAGAGACATCTGAAAGTTGCTCACGTCGTCGACGAAGCTTGTTGCCAGGTGGTTGGTCCAGATTTACTCCGCAACGCGCGTTTCTGCCTTTGTCGAATGCTCCGACCGAGCACATAATCTCTTACGTCCGTCCACAAGACACCTTTGCGCAACCGCCTGATTGGCCAGGAAGCTTCCAAAGTCGAAAAGTTCCTTTCATTGATACCGCTGATTGACCGAGCGAGCAATTGGAGACCTTCCGGCTGAGGACCATGTCTTTCCGCAATTCGACCCCTGGAAACGAGGCGCTCACAAGTAGCGGGTTCAGTGACGCGTACAGACACATCCTACGTCTGGGCGGAGGTTGGGGAAATGTGAGGTGAGTGATGTTGCCGACCCCGTTCGACGAGGATTTTGCGAGTTCTAATCATATCTCTTTGGCGCAGTGGCCCGGGCATATTGTAGGTGTATCTTCCCTAAGAGGATAATACCCCTTTTCCGAATTCGAACACAGCATCTATCCTGGCCAGATACTTACTTGGCGTGTGGTGTCTCAGCATGGCGCGCGTCATCGTATCCGGGACATTGGGCTCGATTTTCATGGGCTTGAGCGGCGCCTCAATAGGCGCCATGGTCTTTGACACAGCCACAATCCCCTTTGTGGTGTCGGCGTGTGCTGGCTTTGTTCTTGGCGCGGTCGGTTTCTACCGCGACGCCGTGCGAAAGTCACAGCGAGCACTGGATCGGTTTCCGCAACTGCTCCAGCTGCACCTGGATTCCAACTTCCAACATCGCGGCTTCGACACCTGGGACGCCGCGCGCTTTCGAAGTGGTGTCTTCAGCAAAAGCTGGGTGTTGCAGAGCATGCTTGTCGCCAGCTGGTTGACGGCAACTCGCGCAATCGAGGTAAGTGTGTCTCGTCCATCCGCGATCTCAGTGTCTCTAGGGCCTGGAGATCGGAGATGTGAGCGTCATTGAGGAGATGTGGCTGACTGCGTATCGTGGATGCAGCGTATCTATGAAGCTGAAGAAGAACGTATTCTCCTACCTTTTACAGGCGCTGCGCAGGATGTAGAAGGCGTCGAGGGAGAATGAGTCTCCAGCACGAGCAGGCGATGCAGGTGACAGTCGATACCAATGCTAGGGATAGTATTGTAGTTCATCCTCCCTGGAACCTCCCCTCTCAAGCTATCGACATTGGGTTAGAAGTGACCGGACAGGACGAGGGCAAGGACAATAGACATCGCGTGCCAACAGAGAGCAATCGAACATCGTGATACCTGAACATCAACCCCATAGTGTCTTCGCGTATCTCAAGGAGGGACCTTCTCTCAGCAGCCTAGCATGTATTCCCTCGAGGGCACATGGTATTTGAATGGCGATATGTGATTGGCTCAAGGGCCTGCCCCACGTACTACGTCATAGCCCTGATAAGCATTGTCCTGGGCGGCCATTGGTGCCACTCATTTCGCCGGGACGATTTACCCCAGACGAAGCCAGTCAAAGGCGGGGGAGGAGCAAGCAGCCAACGAAGGGGACTGGACAGTCTTTGTTCCGCCTTGTCCGCCTCACATCACATGTGAAGGATGCCTAGGGGAAGGAAGCTGGGAGTTTGACTGCGAGGGGGGCGACCCAAGCTCCTCTCGTACCAACTCCCAGCTCAGCTCTTTGTCATCTCGCTTCACCTCTCTGGATGTACCCTTCTCCTTGCTATCTCTACCTATCACTTACCTCCATTTCCCAGTCGCCCTGGAACCCAAACAATACCTCACAGCTGCAAGCTCTTCCCCTGGGCCATTATTACATCACTCATTCCCCCCAATTTAGGCAATCGGGAATAAACACCCAACCATGTCCTCGTCCTCATCCTCGTCCTGGCAAGACCGCCGCTTCATGTGGCAGACCGGCCGCGAAGTCCACGAAGGCCGCCGCATGTCTGGCTCCTCCGGCAGCGACAAGACTGCCGACTCCCCCGTCCTAACCAATGCTACCCCGGCCGCCGCTGCCGCCGCCGCCGCTGTCGGAACCACGCCAGCCCTCCCCGACTATCCCGTCGTGGACAAGAAGGTGCTCTCCAACCCGGACGCGTGGGGCGGCGACCGCCGATTCATGGGCATGGGCGGGAAAGAGGTGCACGAGCCCGCGAGGAGGATGAGCGGGTCGAGTGCAAACAAACCGGCTGAGTTGCCCAAGGCCAGCTCGCCCCCTGCGACTGGTTCCGGCGGAGGGATTGCAGCTGCGATTGCGGGCCGGAGGAGGGTATGTAACTACCTCCCTCCTCGAAAGTCATGGTCCCTTTTTCCTACCCCTAGTTATATCTCATAAAATACCCCCCGACTTTACCTCCACCTTGTGCAAACACTGACTGACCCGTCCCTTGACCGAGTGATAGTCTTCCGCCTCCAACCAAGGCGGCATCTTCTCCGGCCTCATGGCAAACCGAGGCGTCCACTCCGAACGCCGACAGAGCTGGGAGGACATGAAGAAGCCAGAAGGCTTCGGCGGGTTTCTGTCCGGGCTGGTCAACACAAAGCCCGCCGAGGAGAAGAAGTAACACAAACATAGCAGAAACACAGGGGGGGCTGTTGTTGCAAGCGGGAGGGAAAAAGAGACAGATTGACAGATATCATATGTTGCCAGTGCATGTCCGAGATGTCTGGTACAGGCGTCTTGGGTCGAAGCAGGCCCAGACGGTTGATACTCGTGTGACTGTGGTGCAGTTGAGAATGATAACCACTGTGCCGCATGGTTATGGCGAGGTGGTAACGATATTGAGTTCGTTCTTGCGGGCCGTCGAGACCATGTGTGCTATCAGGTAGGCAATGGACATGGACAGGACGTGTTTTGATCCACCCCAGCATGAAAAGGGCTGAGATCACGACAAGGAAGAAAACCAGAAGCTGTATTACCATGACTACAGAATGAGAAATGCAACTTGGGCAGGTATGTCGGCGAGTTGCTTTGACTGGTTCAATCTATGAGTCTCAGACCGAGTCTCTTTTACCTCCACAAGGCCTCTGTAGCTATTTTGTCGCCCTCCCTCATGGCGTCCTGTAAGGCTGGTTCTGTCTCATCTGGGTATCTTCGCAGCAGAATATAACGAATGAACAGCGAGCTTCAAGTTCCCCAGAATAGTCTTCGCACATCTTCTCGAGCGCTCTCTGGACCGAGTAGGATGCGTAGATTTGCCAATCACTCGCCCTTCACCACCACCTTCTCTTCACCGTCCGGTGTCTGTTGTCCGCTCGACTCTTCACCTTCGACCTCGGCCGGGCGTCCGTGCAAAGCAGGCCCTCTCTTTCCCGAGATGTCCAGAATGATGGATTTGACGGTGTGCACCATGGTCTTGCGGCCTTGCCAGAGCGGGAACAGGCCGACGCAGAAGGTGCTGCAGAAGAGCCAGAGGATGCCGACCACCACCCAGCCTACCAGTCGAGATTAAGATTAGCCAAGTGAATCAAAACGAAGAAAGAGCAATTCCTTAACCCCAACGCACAACCCCGAGCCTAAACCTAGGAGGAAGTTGACGAAAACTTAATGCAGCGGGAACTTACCGGTAAAGAACTTCTTGGAGAAGATATACCCAGTCCCATACATCGGCATGGGCCATAGCACCAGCATGGCAATGGTCATGAACCCGGTCAAGCTTCTCGAGATGATCGCTGCTTTGTTCAGCTTGGTTTGCTCGGCCGCTTCTTGTTCGGCCGTCCTCGCGGCAATCTCGCGCTGGATCTCCGTGTCCACGCTGGCGCGACGGATGATCTCCGAGTCGTCGCCCTTGCGGATTGCCCTCATGGACTCCCAGTTGTAGTTCTGTCGACCGAAGGCAAAGGTGAGGATAGGGACGAAAAGGAGCGGGCTGAGCAATGCGGTCACGTTACCCGCCAACATGGGATTGTTGGAGCCTGTGCAGTCGACATTAAGAACGCCGCACTCCCTTTTGGCAGTGACGAGCCAGGCGATCAAGGCACATGCGAAGCCTAGCACGGGAGCGCCGGCGGCGGCCTGCCAATTTTGGTCCTTCCACATCAGCGCCAGTGTTGCTGGGATGACCGCACTACTGATGATACAACCCTTTAAGCGGATGCAGTTAGCATTGCATCATATAAATCAACCCAGTCAGGGACTTACCATGAGAAGGTAGAGGTAACCCATACTGACACCAGCATAGAACAATCCGGTCGAAAAAGAGGCGAGACAAACGGCATAGACAATACAGGCGGCATGGGACATTCGGATCAAGAATTTCCCAGACGCCTTGGGGTTGATGTAAGTCTGATAGATATCGTAGGTCCAGATCGATGAGACCGCAATGAGCTCTGCAGACGAGGCTGAGGTCACGGCCATGAAAACCAGGAGGAGAGTGGCGGCCGCTCCACCTTTTCCAAGAAGAGCAACGGCAGCGTAGGGGAGGACCAACCCTGCGCTGACATCGGCGTGGGACATGCGGTTCGGGAAGGTTGGGAAGACAGGGTTATTTTCCAGGGCTAGAGCAGCAAGACCCATAGTTGTCGCACAAAGCCACGGAATGGCAAACCACGAAAGACCACCCATCACATATCCAGGCAGTGCGTCGACTGGAGAGGCGGCAATGGCTTTGTTGTAATACCCGTTGTCCAAGAACACAGTCCCTGAATGAATTAGTAGAGGCTCTCAAGGTAAGGGCTAGGTATCGCACCAAAATTGCCGACGATGTTGATCACGAAAAAGATAGCTCCTTCTTGACTTCGCATCGTCAAATAGCTGCCGTCTTTGTTGCCAGACACCGGATGTCGTTTCGCGGCATCCACAAGAAGCTCCCAAACCTTGCCAGGTGAGCCAGCGACCTCGTTCGTGGCATAGGCGCTAAATGCGAAGACAAAGATGATAACCAAGATGATAACCGTGTGGACATAGTCAGTTAAAAAGGTTGCCTTGATCCCGCCGAACATCGTGTATAGAACGACGCCCACCGGGAGGAGGAAGCAGGCTGCTGCTGTGGGTACTCCACATAGAGAGCTGGCCACAGCACTGCCTCCGGTCAAAAGCATAGCTGTTACAAGGATGTTCGTCATGAGGCCGAAAACTAGGAAGACAATGTGTGTCACAACACCATATCTGGCTTTGATCACTTCGAGAAACGTATGCGCATTGGGTGCACGCCTCTTCAGTCTTGTACAAGGTCAATATCTGGGATGACTTCCGCATGGGCAACACTTACTCAATGGCCAACGTCGCAAACAACAAGATCTGAACAGTGGCTCCTGAAGCGTACCAGAATGGGCCGGAAACACCATACGAATAAGCCACACCCGAAGACTGAAGCAAAGTAGCAGCCCATGTCCAGCTAGACACGACGGCCGCAGCCACTAGACCAGATTTCACGGTTCTTCCTGCCGTCGAGAATTCTTCAGAGGTTTGGACCTGAAAGGATATCAGTTTCGAAAGCAGTCTGGAGCAGGGCAAAACTGACTTCACCGTGATATCTTTTCAGTGCCCATGTCGTCCCGATCATGCCCAAGGCAAAAGCAAACCCAAGGCCTAGGATGATGCCATATCCAAATCCTTTTGAGAGAGGAACAACAGCTGCTCCTGCGGCGTCTGACATCTTGAATCAAAGGTGCCTGCCTTAGGACACTAGTTACTGTATTTCGAAGCGGGCTTGGCAACAAAGACACAGACGGGGTATTGTGGCCGCACGGTGGGCTTCCTCGCTTTATATACTCCTAGGCTTACCGTTTGGTAAAATGAAGAAGCAGGCGGCTCCCAGCAAAAGAAAGTCTGGGGTCGTGGAGAGTACCTCATGTCGTCCACCTCACACGAGCACGCGATGGCTGGCGCTGAAAATTTTTCCTCCCCTTGCTGGCCCGATAACGGCATAAGGGATGAGAGGCATGATACCTTCGATCCTCTGTGCGACCAAGCGAGAAGCTGGGGAGTCGGGTTGGCGTGGAGTGTTGGTAGAGTTGACCTGCATTCTGACGCCAGCTGCGGGCCCTAGATACCAACCCCCGTTGGCTAACTGGAAACACTGATAAGCACGACATGGATGGGATGGAGATATGCAGTGGAGTGGGAGGTAGATCACCCGCTGGCCGTGACAAGTGTGGTGCAAGGCTTGTTGGGAGAGTGACAAGCCGATTGAAAAATTGCAAATCCATCTTATCAAGAAAACCAGCCTCGCTGATTGGCCTAGCGAGACCGTAATCGGGTATCTCCTCCTACACCTTCCTTTCCCTGCCACCCCAATGGAGACGGTGCAGTCTGCTTGGAGCCTCCCTTTAGCCTTTGTCAACGCTCGAAGTCATAGGTATACTGAAAAGGAACCCATTAGATCTGCGGGTCTATCATGGGTCGAGATAATTGGTGAAGCCGCGGAGAAGATTTGCGGTTCATTCAACATCGGTTGGCGCCCCAGTTCTTTTGACACTGCACAACAGTGCTGTGTCTGTTTTAGAGTATCATCCATCGGATCAAAGATGCCGTGCAGTACATGTGAGGCCTCGGGCAGATACTGCAATCCTGAGACGAGTGGTCATTGGATCCTCAGGACTCGAGCCGCAGCAACCTAGGCGCAGCAAAATGCTTCTCCTCGCCCAGTTCTTGGAGGCAGCTGACCTACCTTGGTCGTTGGATGCATCTTTTTCAATCTGCAGAGCGATACCAGCCTCTGCGCGATTGGTGGATCTTGGTGTTGACCTGAACAACATACCGTCTGGTCGCAGTAGCGTCCTCCAGACACGGGCTCGTCCTTGGCCCCAAGGCTGAATGATAAGCACGAACATACATAGATGCATGCTTCTCTCGTTCGAGACCTCCAATGAGGCACACTGCCTCGACGCGTTCTAGATGAGACCTACCGTAGCGAGCCTCGCTTTTCTTGATAAGATCCGTGGGCCAAACTTCCAGACCATGCATGCGCAGGGATGTGCTGCCATCTGGTCGAAGGTGTTGAACCCAATGTCTGATTAGACCAGTCAAACATCCAAACTCAGGGTTTACAACCCCCTGGGACAGGTGTATCGGGCAGGTTCTTGCGGGACCTGGTTCGGCGATTCAGGGTTCATGGCCAATGAATCAGTCGTGTTCGACGATAGCATAGCTCCTCCCGTGCTGCGGTTGCAGAGAACAGCCAATGAGCCGGATGGGATACATCGGGGCACAGGAAAGTGGTAGACTTCCATAGCTCAGCAACGGTTTGTCGAATCTTCGAAGTGAGCTGGACAAGCGAAACATTGCCGTTTCGGCCAGAGTCCAAGCAGGGTCACTTGAGATGGGGGTTCCTTCGCAACTTTGCCAGCTCGTAAATCGAAGTCAACATGTTCTCAAAATCCTTGGTTCTTTTCCCAGCCGCAGATGGCAGCAGATGCTTCTCTCCCACTCCTTCCTTTCCAGGACTGGCCTAAGGGCTGCCACGAATCATGGCCTGTGGTCGGCCGCGATAAGCAGGCCATTTCGATATCTCTGTCTGTATTCGGAGACCTCAGGGTAGACGGGCGTTTCAGGCGCAAGGTGAGAACTCTGCTTGTGGCTTTGCGTGCTACGGGTGCTCGGGAATGAAGCGAGGTACCTTGTGTCCGTGTCGTTTTCATATCCCGCCTCCATTCCGTCTCCGACAGGGACGGCGGTTGATGGCAGTCGAGTTCGCTTTTTAAGTAGCCTTCGTGTTTCTCTCCAGGACCCCGGTGGTCGGTCAGAGGCTCAAGGTTCAGAATGTCTGAAGGAACAGGTCGAGTCATAATACCATCTGGCTTTGGGAGTCTCGGCAGTTGAGCAAGCCAGCAATGATTAAGCATGAGAAAGCAACGAACCTCTTCTAGACGAACTTGGCCATTGCAGCCGAACAATGTTGGCCCGGTCAAAGAGGCTATGCGGATAGACCCGAGGTGGCATGATTGCGACATATTGCAACAGACAACGAATTGAAAGATCGCTTTACAAGTCTTTTCTTCCGCTGAAAGGTTTTTCAAATGATCTGAATGGGAATGGACAGGGAGGGATAGATGGCAGAATAGAGAGGGAGAGCAATTGGCTGAGGTCAAGGCAACGTCTGCGCTGTGCTTGGGCACACAGTATCCCGGGCACTACACCGAAGACATTTGGTGACCACGCAGGACACTCTTGCCGGCGTGGCAGTGTGGTTTGTAAGATATTTTGATGTGTAGCACTCTGTCCAGCAGTGAACATCTGAACGGAAAAGCAAATGTCTTGCCAATTGCTGCGCGTGCAACTGTAACAGCCATCACAAAACAAGCTCAACCACTGCCTCGACCCGAAGATATGTATTGACCTGTCTTTTCGTGCGATAAACTCCTAAGATTACAAAGGCGCAGCCATCCAACAAACGTTTGGCAGTCGATCCTTTTGGGGGTTTCTCTTAATGTTCATGATGGGGCTCGCCGTGGTATCCGACTATCTTCATTCTTCCAATCATTTCACCGACGGTGAAGAAACCCAACACCTCAGCGAAGACGATGCCGACAGTGGTCAGCTGGCTGCGGTTTGCGTTGCGAATGGTGCCAAGGACGGCGTCCGGGTTGACGGCTTTGAACGCAGAGCTTGCGCTTGACGTGATGGACGCCGGGTTCCGGAAGACGTTAATCAAAGGTTGGAAATAGGATTGAAATTGGGCCACAGAGCTGAGGAACGTCAGGGAGGCGTTGCAGACAATATTGTTTCCCAGTTTAGACTTACGGAGGAGCCATCTGTTGACCCTTGAAGACAATCCTTGCGAGCTCCCATCCCACGCGAGAGTAGTAGACCGTCGGCGGTATTAATGCTGCAGCCAAGTCAACAGGTGCCCCAACTTCCCATATAGAGTATTTTGCAGCATACATTCGACAAAGGAAATAACTCTTCCCGTTCTTCCGCCAACTCTGCTCAGGGCACTGTACGCGGAGGAGCCGACTTTGGAAATTGCGGAGCCAGCGGAGCTCGAAACACGGCTCAAGCCTTCTGACGCTTTTGACGCGACCTGCTTGGAGCTTTCTTGCACCTTTGCAGCGGCTTCTGAGGTGGTGGAAGCTTGTCTGAAATTGTTGCGGCGCAGGAGCAATCTGGACTGCCGGAGAAGGGCGCGAGAGGTGGGAGCTGCCGACATGGCTGCTGGAGCTCCTGAGGGAGCTTCAAGAGTAAAGAGAGAAGGGTGGTGAGTACGGCGGCGCACCTTCTCAAGCAGAGGTGAGTGTGTTGAGTTGCGGTGGTCAAACAGGACTGAGTGAAAAAAGAGCCAAAGCTGGTCTGAGGCCAAAAGTCCAAATTCAATGGGCCGGAAAATTTCGGGCCATGCGAGCTGTTGATTGGCCAGACGGAGCAGCCTGGTACCTGGCCGGAAAAACTCTCGTCTATCAATTTGTTCTTCCGCCTCACGAAGCACAAAAAAGGATGTGAAAATGTCATTGTTGACCGGCTCGGCTTCAATTTGTGCGCGTGGTCTCTATTGCTGTCTGGCTGTAATATGTTATGTCTTGTCGAAATGATCATAGAGATTCTGCCTGGGACTCCGATCTGTCAGATCCAGTCGCTCCTCCCACAAACCTCTCTCGCTCAACGGCCGCACGATTTGAACGCCCGTTTAGAAGAACTCTGCCCATTCTCTTGTATCGATTAACCGACCTCTTGTCTCATCCTCACCCTCACCCTCACCCTCACGGGTCTCAGCTCCCCTAGGCAAGCCAATACCGGTACTCTGGATCTCGTACTAAACCTGAAACAAGCTGTTTAGGCCCTAAGTCCCCCCAGCCGAGTTCCCCGGGAACCAGGGAACCAACATGCCTTGAGCCCCCGAGCCCCTGCAGCAGATCTCAAAAGTTCGTCCATCATGAACTTGTAACGTGCTATTCCTCCTTTTTGTAGACCACACTTCTCCAAGCCATGCTCATCATGTAGAGGGCCGTCGCCACAGAAGACATCTTCGATTTGCAACAGTCTCTGAGCGGTGTGTTGGTTGGCGTTCTGGTTTCATGCCTGGGTGGTGGCTTCTTTGTCCTTTTCTGCCGATCGCTTCTGAACATGCGAGCTGTTGTCGGAGCGTGCACGGGTAACTGCTTGTCTTTGTATATGCTAAGTCACAGCTGTTGATCACGCTGGTGCTATTGACACCGCGGTTTTCTCACATTCGCCTCAATTCTCACTTGGCTGGGTCTCCAAGTCAACTCGATCCCAATCCGCAAAAACAGAAACTCCGAAACGCCGGCCAACAGCCAACAGCCAAGGCGACCAGGCCAGCGACAACATCATGGCTGTCAAACATCGACAAGCTGCGTCTCAACCGTCTCAGCCTCATCAACCCAACCCTCCACGTCGCTCGCTCAGGCAAGGCCTCAAAGATGTGTTCCTTCGAACTCTACGAAGGCCTTCCGAGCCCCAAGCTGGCACACCCTCCCTCGGTTCTGGCATATTGCGCCGGGCAGAATCGTCAGGGTCCTTTTTCCCGTCGACGACCACGTTCTCCTCCTTTGTCGAGTTGCCTGGGAGTCGATCTAGTCTCGAAGGGTACACCATCTCGCGCGCCATCCCTAATCGATTTCAGTCCACCACGCACGTATCGCCACGCAAATCGCCTGGACGACAGTCACTGCTTCCTGCCACGAGCCTCAGTCAGTTCAACCTCCACCAAGCGTACCTTCACCCATCTAGCGGTCCCCAACGAGCAGTCCACGATGCTATGTCGCCTTCGTTGTTGTCGGTTGCGAGTCGGCAAGCAAGTATGGCCAGTTTCTCTACCCTTTCCACCGTTACCAGCGCTTCGACACTGAGAATTCAGGAGTCTCGTGAGGTCCTTGCCCCAAGAAAAGGGGGGCTAGGTTCATATCAGAACCCCCAGGCACCGGCAGCCAAAGCTCGAACCAAGCACGTCTCGTGGCTGCACTCACCCACTGCAAGTTCTGTCTCGGTGGCGGACTCCGGAAGGCAGACTGACGATCCATCCGGGCTCAGATTGGTCGAGCATTTTAAGTCGTTTTGCATTCTCGACACCGCCATGGAGGGACTCCCCGTCGTCGCTACGTCCAAAGAACTTCGCTACATTTTTGAGGTCGGCGAACATTTCTTCCTTAACAATTGTGAATGCGAAGGCGCTTCGATGGACATTGTGACCGGTCAAGATGCCGCAGGTGATCCAGTTACTCACCTCGTCTTATTCACACCCCTTATCATTCCCAGCAGTGGCCGCAGCCGATTCATGCTAGCTTGCCTGATCGACGTCACCCAGTTCATCAATGACACGGCGTCACTTCCGGAACTCGACCACGAGCTCGATGTGTCCACCATAGAAAGTGAAGTGCAAACACCGCTGCAGGATCGGAGGGACCTCTGCTGGACTGGGCGCACCTACAAACTCTCTGCCGAAGATCTTCTTGGCGGCTGTATGTTACCTGGCGACCGAGAAACGGTGACCAGACCACCCAAACACGTCGAGACGTCAGAGGATATTTGGCTGAATTTGGCGAATGAGGAAAGGAGCAGAAGATCGTCAACCAGGAACACATCCAGCTCGACCCCGAAGATCAGCCAGGTCGCAAGGTCAAATGCATCTCACACGTCGACAACCAGCAGTACCGTGGATGAGGTGTTGGACGAGTTTATGAGCGACCTGCAGGAGCTCTATTCGGATTTCTTCCTTTTAGGCAAATCTCCGCTTGATGACACCTGCTTCGAGATCTGCAACGTCTCACCCCTACTCTATTCGACGAGAGAATATCTCAACGGACACCTTTCTCGTACAGACGCACAGCAAATGGCTGAGTTAAGCGCATCTCTGGCCCGGGAAATGCCATTCAACATACACGTAAAATGGGGCCCACAGGGACTGGACAAACGGATGTATTGTAGTCCAATGTACACGGCAAATTCCATCACGTGGATTTGTTTCCTCGTCGATTACCAGATGCCATTGATATGGTAGCGGTAGCAGCAGCAGCAACCAGCTGCGGCAATCCTTGGATCTGTTGTCACGCCGAGCCGACGCCGAATTGCTGTGTAGGACTTTGCAGCAAAGATAAGCTTGCCCTTCAGCGATGGCACAACACAGTTGCAACGGGGTGGCAATTTACGATAACACAATAATAGCTCCAACGCCTTTGTTGCCACCGATTACCTCTGCACAGCATGGAACATTCTGCGCTGTAATCCCTGGTCTGACTCTGATCGTCGAACACGAATCTCCCCCAAACATGCGAGGGCCAGTGAAAAAGAAATGTCCTCGACAGCCAACAGGAAAGGAAGTGAAACAAGGGAAATGATTGTCGGTTGATCAATAGAAGGGCCGAGAATTGAACGATGACGGCACAACGTCGCAACTGGCAGGGTGGAAAGATCTTCTCGGGCGGAGTCTTGGAGCAAAACCTCCCCTTGTGGCATCCCGACGCCTAACTGGGTCTCTGCGGTCCCGTCTGGGCGTTTCTAGCGGGCATTCGGCAAAGCAAAACCGGCAGTGGCATTGCGGCGGGCGTGGGCACGGTCGAAGACTAAGCAAAGGCAACACAGAGAGCATGACAGGGAAGAGGCGGGCCCTCCAGACCACGCCAACGTCTAAGACTTGCCGCACACGGAAACGCGCCATCCGATCGCCCCTTCGATTAAGCGGAAGAGGCACCGAAGAGGCACGCAACATTGGGTCGAATCTTCGCTCCTTCTTTCGCTCAACACACGATGGCACCCACGAGTTTTAGCGAACGAATCCACCCAGGGGAGCCCTTGGATTTTCTCTGCCCTCGTCCACCACCTTGATCCACCCTGTGGTTACCCCAGTTCAGAGCCCGTATCCGATTTGCAACGACTTCTCCCCTCAATCCGGCATCGCGGCGGCGGGTGATACTTCAGTCTCACTCGGTGGCACTGCTCTAAAGCCCTCAGATGGAAGAGGCAAGGTTTAGAGTGCTCATGCTCGACATTTTAAAGCTACCCCACGGTTCGCTCTCGACGTCTTCAATCCCGCTGCGGCTTTCTTCTGGAACAGAGTTCATTAGGAAGGAAAGACCTAAAGCCGCCCACCGGCGAAATCCACCCTCATTACGTGGTGACTTCTTCCTCTCAACACTACATACACCCACCACAGTCTTTCGTCCGGCCTCACTGTTCGTCGGCGATCGTCGAATCTCGAACATTTTCCATTCCTTTGGTCTTTCAATAATTCCACCGTGGTGAACGACATCCTGCCTGCGCCGCGGGCAACCTGAATATCAGCCGAGATGTTCAACGAGAACTTCTCCTTCGGATCGTCCCCGCACCCGAGCTCCCTTACATTCAATGTTGAAGAGTGTACTTCGGCAGAGATCTCTCCCTTTACATCACGATGCTCATCACCGCATTCTTCACAAGCACCTGCGGCTCGTCGAGACTCTCGCTTCGACGCATACAGATCTGCGCCTCGACATCCCTCCATTACCGCGTTGACGGCACAGCTACAATCCCAAGCGTTAACCGACACCGAGATGCGTTCCCCCTCACCGTCCCTCAGTGACACGGCCTCGCCTTCCGACTCCACGACACTCGACGATGAAGGGTACTGCGAAGGGCCAGATACACCCGCGACGACGGTATCTGACTTGTCCTACGACTCCAGTGAAATTGATCCGACACTATGGGATCTTTCGATGTCGGACACAATGGTGGCTACATCATCACCTCGGCCCTCACTTTCTCTTGAAGCACAAGCATTATCTTCATACACAATGCGTCGACGGCAGCGGCAGGCCCTGGTGCGACTACAATGCTTGGCGACACGGACACCAGACCTGGCCATGCTCATCGAAGAGTGTCACCCGTCGTCATTACCACTGGAGACGGCGATCCTGAAGGCCTACAGTTCTTCTAAGGGGAGGAGTGACACCACCTGCAGCATTTCTGGAGCAGGACCATGCGGAAATGCGACAAGCTCGGGCCGGATAGAGAAGGAACGGAGTGTCGCCCTGGCTACGGTGAGGAGGGCACCGCGAATGAGGAAAAGGACTAGCTGAGGCTGGGCTACGATAAACACAGATGGCTGGACATGAGGGGATGGCGTGATACCAATACCACGGGCTAAACAGGAGCTGTAATGGAACACATGATTCAAGCACATGCTGGCTGTTCTCCTCTTTCGATGTCGATTCATATTGCTTCCCAGTCTTTGTTCCGAGACAAATGACCTCTGGCGAAAAGCCACAGAAAATCAATTATGAGGCAAAAGCAAGCGAGGTTTGATTTTGAGGAACTAACGTGGCCAGCCCGGCGGATCACCTCCCCACCGGCTGGCAAAGCTTCGTCCTGGCCTAAGGTCAAGGGTTTGGTCAGGGGTTATACGCCGCAGTTCACCGCCGATGGCAGGGGCAAGGCAGGAAAATACGAGGCATGAAGCACAGCTGGTCAGGCACTCATCGGCAGTTAAGACGAGCATCCCCCGGCCATGTTCCAGACCCAAGGAAAAGCAACATGAGGTGATTGCCATAAAGAACTTTCCAGCAAGCCTCCTTTCAGCAGGAGTCCGTCCCCATATTCCGAGAAAGCATCACACGAGCAAGGCAAACCATCGACTTTCCAAGCATACCGGCAAGGCATAACTGTTTGGCTGTTCCGTGATGCGTGTTTTTGTACCTGTAGTGTGACAGAGCCCGCTTCCTTTCAACAACACGTCCTCAAGGAGAAAGTCGGTCCCTCGCAATCTGGCTCCGGCTGAGAAAGATTTGGACAAAGTCGCCGTGGCGTGACGGTTTGGGGTCGCTTCGGGAGGCTTGTTTTGTGCGGCGGCGACAACACCCGGTTCGAATTTTGCGGTGGATGAACGGGGCGGCCTCGATGAATCTGCCGAGTCGCAAGAGTGCGGGTTGTCGACGGGCAGCGAGATGCCGTCCGTGATGAAGAGACAAGAGATATCTTGACTCGAAAGGCGGAACACTTTGGTATCTACTCGGTATGTGTTTAGCGTGGGACGGCCTTCCGAGCTGCCTGTCTCCCAAGCGAGGCTCCCATTCAGGTAATCCGGACTCACCTTTATACCTGCGAAAGTTGCACTCTCCCCGTGATACTTCCTCGCCTGCTTGCCAATGGAAGCTATGCGAACTACTAGAAAGTACGCGGTATATAGCCAGCAGTTTACTAGGTACTTGGAATCAAGCCGCGAGCTATGGTCCCGGTCATGACAATCGACACGGCTGCAGGCCATGTTCTTTTCTCCAACTCCGCGCCAGAGACCCCGGAGACCTTTACGCCTCTCATACCTGCAACAGAGTAAATCCTTTTTGCATTTCCAAATGTACCTACTTGTAGGTATGCTATTTGCGTGGCGGAATACTTGATCCTCTCCCACAAGTCTACACCAGGCCTCGAATCACCCAGCGCCCCCAAGATGCGGAACGCGGGGTGGGCAGTGAACACAAAGATCCGAGGGATCTCAGCAATGCACCACCAGCGTCGAGGCCCCTTTGGTCACGAGCCCCGAGTCCGAGTCCGATTTCGAGTACGTAGGCATCGGGTTGGACGATGGATCCCCTCCACGATTGACGATTTCCAAGCAAAAACGCTGCAGGTTACGCGGTTGGGAAAAGCACAAGCTTGCTAGCTGCTGGACTGTGTGGGGAGATTGAAGAGGTCATCGATCGGGGCGTGAATGTACTTTACCTACTCTAGACAGGAGGTACGAGGACAAATGGCCTATCTGCCGCTGGCTCGCTGCAGATGCCTGCAACGTGGGCTAGGTACATGGCTAATGAGTGCGTACCTCTGTGCCGAGTAGCTACCTGCCCTTGTACCTAGGTAGCTAGTCATGATACTGGGTAGGTATGCCTACTTGTAGGCAGCCACAGTAGGTGGTTAGCTGGGTCGTTAGGGGCGCTACTCGGGTTTCGGCGTCAGCGATGCGCCTTGGGCTGCACCACCTATGAATCTCCATCACTAGCCCGTGTAACTCTCGACCTAACGCATGAGATCGTGTCTTCCTTTGGCGTGTCTTCCTTTTGTACCCTCATAGCTGGTAGCCTAAACCCGTTGATACGTGTCTGAGTGTGGATGTAGCGAGGTAGTAATTAAGTGCTGCGCACACGAGGACGGATCGAGCGCCCGTTGGCGACTGTCTGCGGACCAGGCATGCATGATAAAAAGAAATCACCACGACGACACTGATGGGAAAAAAAAAGGGACAGTGGAGTGCCATCAGCGCTGTCAATGCAGGTTGGGAGCAGGGAACAAAGAAAAGTCAGCCAGCCTGAAAAGCTCTTCCAGTCGCGACCCGAGGCACAGGGCCCCTCGAGAAGTTGCTTTTTGTTCGTATGTAACTACCAGATCAGCCCGTGCTCGGTAGGCCCCATAAGAAACCCACCTCTTTGGGCACGCAAGGGAGCGTTGGAAGCCGACCAGCCCTAGCTACCTGCTATGCTGTAGGCCAGTTCCTGGGCGTGTTCGGGTCGGACAGCGACGAACGGGGTAGTTGCTTAGTGGGTTCGCAGCGTGGTCACTTGGCTACCAGCCTGTCCGCATAGGCCGTCTTTAGCTGGTTTGGCTGGCTGGCTGGCTGGCTGGTTTGCCTAGCACTTCCTCCACGGACTAACAAATTTTCTTTTCTTGCTTGTGGCCTTTTGATGGCTCTATCTCTTCCCCTTGTCTTGTCTTCGAGGGATTAACTTTTCTCTCCTTCCTTCGCACACTAAAGTAATCCCCCTAGAACCCCGCCAGAATTTCTCCGCTCGTGTCGTGGGGCGGCATTGATGACGCAGATGATGTTCCGGAGGTAAAAACTCAGACAGAGGGCGTAGAACGGGAAAGAAGGAAAGCAGAAGGGGGGGCGATTGCTTCGTGGCGGCGCCCCTAAGGAACCGGCCTGCGCTTTCTTTCCAGGCGGTGGGACGCACCGAAACGGGGCAGCCAACATCCAACACCCAACACCCAACTCTCGCTAGACACCTAGTTTGTTAAGTGGCCTAGGTCGCCCCGTGCATAGAAAGAGGCCGCCTGCGGAGTGTGGGGGACGGGAAGTCCATAGGGGGGGGAGGGGGCAAAGATAGGCAAAGCCGATATCGCTCGACGGCGAAAAAGAGGGAGGAAGAAGAAGGCAAAAGAATGCAGGATCCCAAGTCATGGGTCGGTCTGGATTCCGAGCGCACAGTCCATTCCGCTTCGATGGTGAATGGCAACCTGCCGTCCCTTCCAGCCTTGAGCGGTATCCCTAGGTCTGGAAAGTTGGCCTGGCTCGGGCTCGATGAGGCTGGGTCCGCGTGCTGTCCCCAACAATAGTCTCGATGAGATCCAGTAGGTCCTTCGCGTGTGGTCCATCCAGGTCTGCTGCCGAAGTGCCATGAAATAGATCCTCTCTGTTAGTGAGCTGTATGTATCTCACCTTCTCGACGCCTGCGCATATGGAAAGCATAGCCAGCTGAAATTGAGTTGTCGTCATGGCTTTTGCGACTGTATATTCGCTGCCTTCCAAATTCACCTGGCAGTGGACGTTCTGTAGTTGCGTCTGGACGGTGGCTACTTCTCCTCAATATGCGTCTCTGCCGACCAACAATCATCAATGCACAGCGATGAGCAAAGGCTGGAAAGGTGCAACCCTGCGTCAACGTAGGGATCATGCCTGGCGAGTCCAATTTGCCTCCAAGCCTGGACTAACACTCTCACTCCCATCTTCGCATTTTCATCACCATGCCGAAGCGAGATCGTCCATGCGGGATATTTGAGTCGTGCGGCCGCAGATCATGGATTGATGTACATGGATCTGCAGCGCCGGGGGCTCGACTTGGATCAGGTCGATCTCCCGTGGCGTCGTTCCGAGACGGGCTTCCCACGGCTCCAAGAGTGTTTTCCAAGGCTCGAAACGAGAATGCCGTGGGCATGACTGAGATATTTCAAAACCCAAGTTGACAGCAGGCGGACTAAAGCTTCACGCAGGTCTCTCGAAGCCAGCAGCTCCGAACCATGGCGCTCCGTATCTTCTCCGCGAGGAACCTGATGAACACACATCTCCGTCCCGAAACTGCTGAAAGGACATCTATCGGAGACTCTGACTCGGTCGAGACGGAGAACCTGGAGTGTCGAGAGAGTCGAATCCGTGAACTCAATGTTCTGTCCGTGCGAAGACCGACATGTTCAGTGCCGTGCCGACACAAGTGGTGCCATCTGACCGTAGAGATTTTGGACTTATCGCGTCAGAATTCATTAAGCCCGATGTTGGACCGTCAGCACATCGCCGTGACAGCGAACATCCCCCGTCCGCAACAAGGGACAGGACGCAGCCTCCGCGCTCCGTGCGAGTAGCCGTCGTGAGTCCTGACTCAACGCATCTCCGAACAGGCACAGCATAACATGACACTCCGCATACTCCGTACTTCGCTCGAAGTTCGATAACCGGTCGGGAGTATGCTTTCTTTCTCTTGCTCCTTTGCGACAGATTTCGAGATGGTCTTCCAGCGAAAAGAGCGCGTTTGTAAGCTGATGCTGGACGTTGAGGCCTGACGAGGTGGTCCGATCTGAATCTAGATTCAGCGATGGGGGACGATCCGCGGGAAGCGCTTCCCGTGGTCCTATTGCAGTTAGCGGAGGAGGACGCCGGGCACCCTAGACACCTCTCTGGTTAGCAGTGTGACAGCTGGAGTGGCCGCTATGGCCCAATGCAGTTGCGGTTCGTGGTGTTGGGCAAATGAATAAGCAGACAGACCACGGCCCAGAGCGGGACATGGCCGCCGATGGAAGATCCAGATCCCGTCCTGCAGCTGCAAGAACAGGTTGATCACCACATCACCTGTTGCCCGTGGCCCCAAACATGGTAAAATACCGTCCGTGGTCGCCGCTTGCTCGGAAAAGGGAGAAATCAAAACAATTCCTCGCAACGGCAACGACCCAACGTTTCGCGTAACCGAGTCGTGACTCGTGCAGCCGTGAGTCGCGTTCTTGATTCTTGTCTGGTGAGGTTTTCTGTGAGTTCTCCGTAGGTGGGTGTATTTCTCGCTCACTGCATTCCAATGGCTCCGAGCAACGTTCTTGGTTTCAGGGCTGGAGAAGACCCTCACGCGCTCGCTCTCTGTCTCTTGTCCCTTCCTTTCTCCGTACTTGCTCCGGTGTCCTTGCGATGGACAAGAGGGGAAAAGGACGAGCAGTCCCTTCAACGTGAGATGCGGACTTTGTTGCGTCGCTCCGGGCACCGTCGTGAGTGACAGACATGCCACAAGTATGTCACTCCACCGACAAGGGAACAGAAGGGCGAGAAGGACAAGGACAGTCCCCAGGACACGGAGCCAGCGAGCCAGCTCCTTGCTTCCTCCGAGCGTGAGCGAAGTCCACAGCCGCCCACGAAACGAACGGCTTTGCTCTTGGAGGACAGAGTCTCTTTCGACACACCCAGGTGACTTCATGCGTACGAGCCAGACGGCAAGCGTAGGGGGATGGCTACGTACGTACCTGGATACTGTACCATATTGTGTGTGCCCGTAGGTGCCTTGGTTGCTTCCTTATGCAGACAGGAAACAAGAGGGCGTTCCATGAGTAAAGGTAGGCCAAGCAGACGAGTTGTTGGTCGGGTTACTTCGGGACGAGCCCCAAGAACTTTGGAGGGACAAGTCGATTCCGTCCTCAGTCTGTCTTCAATATGCATGAAAAAGCACGAAGTGGTGGTGGTCGTGGTGCGGAGGAGATGGGACAGGGACGACTATATCGCTACTTGTTGCAACAGAGAGAGAAAAATCCCACAATAACGGACGAATGTGACCAACAGCTTTAATATAATTACACGAAACGTATGCCCGTTGATCCCAGTAGGGGTCTCTACGAGAGAGGGGTTGTTCACACTGACCAAAAGGAATGGAACCGACTTCTGGACATTCGAACTCTTTCTTTGCCCTTCTCCTCGTCTTTCATTGACACAAATGTAAAAGCCCCCTCAGCAACGTAATCCACACATCTTGTGCGTGCTGGAGCTAGTAGACCCATCTGGATCATCGCCGACGACATCGTGGACATGGCGCGAGCACGCCGTCAAGTCTCCGTGAGAGCAAGGCAGGAAGTGTCCACGAGCAGAGAAGATGCTCCGATGGGCTACTGAAGTTCTCCGGCTGACAGCGTTCTTGCTGCGCGTCTCCGTGGTCGAAACACGTAAAAGACAATATGAACGTGAATGCGTCGCGGAGATCTGACGGATTCAGTGGGATGGAGGGTCGTGCTTCGGACTCTCACGCATGGTTGTCTTGGATTTTCGCAAACATCACGGAGCATGTACGGAGAACCAGCTTGAAAGGGTCCCGTGAATCTGTTGCTGACCGATTTGCGAATCTTCTGGTCTCCGTAGAATCGTGATGACATGGGATGTTCGTCGGAGATCGAGGAGCGGTACCGATTCTATCCCATGACGACTTTGCGGGAAGACCATTGCGAGATTAACCGACGCATTACTCTCGGAGTTGACACGGGGTTCTGGAGTGTTTCGTGTAAGGCTTAATCGGATGGCGAGCATTGACTCGCTAAACGGACGAAATATCCAGTCTCAACCCATGCGATGGTTTTTGTTTTTTGAAGGCTGAGGAGCATCACCCTCGGTGGCAGAATCCGTGCCATGCCCAAAGACAGAGGCTGCCGTCATTCCCGTGTTTCTATGTGCTGTAATCCGAGCCCCGAGACCAGCTCCGTGCTGAACTTGAGCTCGAGGCGGGATGTTTCCCCGACAAGGGATTTACTTGGCGATGCAATGCCCAAGGCATTTTCACCCAGAGCGCCTGGATGAGAGATCTGGTGGGACAATAACGGATTGAATCGCGCAGCCACCCGCTCGGAGTACTGCATTACGCTCCGCCACGGCCTGCGGCGAACTACTTGTAAATATGCACTGTTGCGGAAGGCGCACACTACCGTAGTACACCTGCTGTCCGTATAGTCAGCCGTAGGGAAGCCCCAACACAACTTTCTTTAGCACGAGACAAACGGGGAAACCCAGGATTCCCCAGAACCTTTCAATCGGACGAATCGGGCCGTGCTTCCCGGCGCGCGCTGGCTGAGTTCGAGGTTCAGCTGTGCCCTCAGCCTGATCGAGTGCGCTTCAACATGCTTCTTTGTCCCATTTCGATTGCGTCGTCACCTACCAAAAGTCGCTGAGGAAGGCGGTTGCACTAGACAACGTAATTCGCATTCTTGTGACATACCCTCCAGACACTAGAGAGCCTTCTTCGACCATAGGAAGCCCGCGTGGGACATCCAACATGTCGGGCGTCGCCGAGGCAAGCCTAGTGCTGGGCCTGATTTCGTCCATCATCGCGATCTACGAAGGGGCTCACGAGATCTACGAAGCCGCGAGCGACGTCAAAGGCCTCCCTCGAAAGTTCCAACTGGCCGCCGAGCAGATCCCCTTGGTGCTCCACGCCCTCGGTCTTGCGGAACAGAATATCAAAGGCAACGCGGTGAGCCCGGATGCGCTGCAGAGTGCGAAGCCAATCCTCGAACGATGCAAGGAGAGTGCCGCGGAGGTGAAGGACATCTTCGACAAGACCATACCATCTAAAGACGCCTCGAGGACGGAGCGGTACAAGAAGGCAGTAGGAATCAAGTTGAAGAGTAAGAAGGTGAAAGAGAGCATGGAAGAGGTGGTGAAGAATATGGAACTCCTCGTGCAACATCAAGTGTTTCAAGATGCTGAGACGCTCAAGTATATTCAGGACGCCGTGGAACAGTTGAGTCATCTTCCCGACGATGAGCCACCATCTCAGTTTGCACACTCGGGCGCAGGGCCACTGAATGTCCATCAGGGAATGGGTAATTTGGAGAGCTACAGCCACTCGGGATCTGGTCACATTAATAAGGCGGAAACACAATATATCGGGACAAATCCAGGTACGAGCTCGATCTGATCCTATTAATGATGACTAGTGGATTTCCACATTCTGAAGAGAATAATAATATCAACGGCCAGTACTATATGAGGTGAAATGTGTTCTTGTGCAGTAGTTACTTATGCAGTCAAATGATAAGGGCAGATCGACCTATGAAAATATGTTTATAACTTAACGTTATCATTCTCAAGCCGGATTTACTCCTGTGATCGCTAATGGTTATTTTCAATAGTGCACCACCATTACCCTCCTCGAGAGAAGGCAGACTTTAGCTTTCGCAAGCCTGTCGGAGTCTGTCTTGGTCAAGTGTCTCGCATCGACACGGAACTTTTTATCGGGCGCAAATCTGAGCTCGAAGCGATCAAAAGCACTCTACAGCCAGAGGATCAGTCTCCTCAGCGACGACAACTAGTTTTGGGAGGTCCCGGTGGAATCGGGAAGACGCAGTTGGCTGTCGCTTACGCCCAACGCCAACACCAACACCAAGTCTACGATTCGGTGCTCTGGTTCGATGCGACCACCGAGATGACGCTGAAGGGCAGTTTCCGATCGATGGCCGAAGCGATCTTCGGCATTTCGGACCCTGGAGTTCTTGAGGGCCAGCAGATTCTGATCCAAGTCCGTCAATGGCTATCAGATCCCAAGAATACTCGATGGTTATTGATCTACGACAACTACGACGACCCGGGACAATTCAAAATCGAGATGTATTACCCTTTTCGCTCTCACGGAGCGATCATTGTAACGACACGTCGACCCGACCTCGTCAACGGAGAGCTAGTCCGTTTACAACCGATTCAGGATGTTAAGGAAAGTCTAAAGATCTTACAGACTCGATCGAGACGGGAAGGCGTCCTGTTTGGTGAGCTATTTCTTCTTCCTGTGAATTATACCTATTAAGTCCTTCTCCTAGATCCTGCTGCAAAACGTCTAGCGGAGCGACTAGACGGTCTCCCACTGGCGTTAGCCACCGCGGGGGCATACCTATCTCAGAGCACCTTTACGTTTGAGCGGTACCTTCAGGAATACGAACGACGCTGGAATATCGACTCACGACGACCCCTCCAGCTCCAAGAGTATCAGGATCGAACACTATGCACGACCTGGGATCTATCCTATACTCGTCTCGAGAGCGAGGACCCTGACGCCGCGAAACTCTTGAAACTGCTTGCCTACTTCGACCATCAGAACTTATGGTATGAGTTGTTTCTAGGTGGACTTGCCGAGGACACTCCAGGCTGGCTTCAGAAGGTGATGATAGACGACATTGAATTTGAGGGCATCATGCGAACACTGAAAGATTACTGTTTTTTGGAAGTACAAACAACACTACAATCATGGAGTATACATGCCTGCATTCACGATTGGACATTCGCTATACTAAACAAAACGATTGACGTGCAGGATTACTGTTATGCTTTCGACTGTGTTGCCGCCTCCATCGACGAGGATGACTTGGATTCTCTGGGTCACCTTAAATACGCTCGCCTGGCTGCTCATGGAACGTTCCTGGTACAAGAACGCTTTCGTCGAAATAAGGTCACGGAAAATATTAGTTCCCATCGATTTGAGAAAGCTATCAAGGTTTCGGAATTACTGGCACAACAAGTACAACTAGAAGCAGCAGAGCAAATGTACCTCCTTACACTGGCTGGGTACGAGAAGGCGCTAGGAGTGGACCACACGTCGACCCTTAACACCGTCAACAATCTCGGGAGTCTCTATCGTGACCAAGGTAAGCTGGGCGCGGCGGAGAAGATGTATCAACGGGCGCTGGCTGGGAAGGAGAAGGCGCTGGGAATGGACCACACGTCGACCCTTTACACCGTCAACAATCTCGGGAGTCTCTATCGTGACCAAGGTAAGCTAGGCGCGGCGGAGAAGATGTATCAACGGGCGCTAGCTGGGAAGGAGAAGGCGCTAGGAGTAGACCACACGTCGACCCTCGACACCGTCCACAATCTCGGACTTCTCTATCGTGACCAAGGCAAGCTAGGCGCGGCGGAGAAGATGTATCAACGGGCGCTGGCTGGGAAGGAGAAGGCGCTAGGA